TTAATCATCCATCGACTCATTAACGATATACTAATATTAGCATTTTTACATTTTTTTTTTGTATGAATGTTAATTTACATTTGTACATGCACACAAAGAAAAGATGCATATTTTCTGAATATTCGTGTGTAGTTGCTTTAGAAGGCAGCACATGGATGGAGATGGAGACATGGCGTTGTAAGAAAGGTTAATTGCAGGCTAATTCCACTTCGCAGATTTTGTTGTTTCCTACAAAAACATCTAACAAAAAGTATCGCTTTACACGCCATTTTCATCTTTTAGAGGCGGCTTTAAATTATAAAAACAATTAAAGAGTCAAATTAAAAAGTATAAATATAATAACACCATATGCTTTTCCTATTCTTATACTCCCTCCGTTTCAAATTAGTTGTCGTTTTGACAAAATGTATCTACAAATATTTGGACGTATCTGCAATACAAAACACGTCCAAATACGTCCAAATATTTGCAGATACATTTTGCCAAAACGACAACTAATTTGAAACGGAGGGAGTAACAAACTACAGCATTAAGAGCAAAAAATGATGCCAAATCATTGCTTCTAAGCACATACTTTTGTTAAGAATACACTAAATATAATCTTTTACTATTAACAAATGCATTAAATATAATCAACTGCCCAAAAAATATTAGTCTACCAGACACAACATATTCATGTATGATAGGTATGATAGGAATTTTACATTTTTAAGTAACTATAAAATTTCCAAACCAATATATTGTAAAAATTACGTGTGTATGCTCTTGTTTGTTTCTTTTGTGATTGAATTACCATTTTTATGTTATTAGTTGTTATTTCTGTTAAATCAAACTGTAAAGTTGTTTTATAGACAATGATTCATATATACCCTCGTAAGAAGAAAATGTGTATATAGAGCAATATATAACGGAGTTGCAATTTTATCTACATTATCTTAAATTCTCCGTACATAAAATTAGGTATATAGAATTGCAGAAGTTATAATAATAATGATCTTATTATGTTATCATTTAGAAAAAGAAAAACATTTAAATTTTAATTATTTTAGAAGGCTAAATAATGTTGCAATATATGAATTCCCGAATTTTTTATCAAAGGAAAAAATTAAGTTTATTAAATTCTAAAATAAGTCAGGAATTTCGTTTGAGTTCAGTGGACATTTTGAGAACCATTGATTTTGTTTGTGCTGTATTATATGCTTTACACATATATAATGTAATATAATATGTGTGTGGCCATAGGGAAAAGAAAACTACTAGCCTTGACCTGGATGACAATTGGCATGTTTCTTGGTGCTTTAATTTAGTCAGATTATATATAAGTTTCCTAATTACAAAATATTAATTTAAATCCCAAAAATTACAAATAGATAAGAAAACCTATTTCATATTTAAAGATAGATTAAAAAATAAATAATATAACCAATATAAACATTATTCTTGTTTGCATCTCATTTTTAACCGAGATTTCTAATGATTTTATAACATTAGGACAAACGTTAAATATCCCTAGAAAACATCTGTAAAATAAAAGATGAGACTGATTACGCATTTTAAGATATGATTTTACAAAGTGAACAACATAGTAAGGTTGCATGCAGAGATTTCCCATCTTAAAAACCTGTTTTGGGTTGGGAAATGGGTACAAGTGGGATACACATTGTATGGTCAATGTTATTTATTTATAATCCATGTTAATTTTGTCTGTTGTGACACTAGTGGGATACACACTTACAATTGCTTTCAGTTCTGTTAACACTTGGGTTTCTTTCGAATTATTGGTAAAATATTCTGTATCATTTTCAATTTTAAAACATGTAAAGTTGGTCACATGCCAAAAAGCTGTTGAAAGTAATAACAAAAAGGTTCAAGAAATTATTTTCTTTTTCCTCCCCTAATTCATATCGGATCTGGTATCGTCTAATTGGTTTCTTTTGAGCAATATAGATTTAACTTATGCAAATAATAAACTATTGAATAGGTATAACAACCCATGAATCCTTCACATTTGCCCAAAAAAACACATGAATCTTCTGAAACAAAAAGAGATATATATTGTTAAATATCATATTGAAACTATTGAGACTACACGAAGTGTTGTTAAACCTCATATACTTTTAAAATATTAAGTTTTGTACCCATTTCCTAACCCAAAATAAATATGAACGAACTGAATCGCTGTTCGATTTATGATGTGAACAGAATAATAAATGAATCAATATGTGTAGTTGCATATTCCTAGACGTTGCCTTATTAAAACTTCCCTTTCTAACATTTGTGACATAATTTCCCAAATCAGCAACACATGCTTTTTTCTGAAACCAATTCATTTTAGGAAAATTGTGATATAAATATAACTGAGACAAACAATTCAAAAGTATTTTTTTTTATAACACGCAAGACGACCTAACCTTTCTGTTTCGCCACTAGTTTCCTTCGGTAAAGCAACTTCTTGATCTTTCGTTCGCACATTATTTTATTTCTGTATAAAACTTTTTGGGAACTATTTATTTGTTTTGCATTATATTCAATTGATCAATTATAATTCTTGGGATGTTAATTGTTTTATCACAAGTATTTATGTTTACTTTAGTTTACATGTTAAAATTAAGTTATATATGTACTGCAAAGAGTGTGATTAAAAGGGTGAATTTTGTGGCTCACCCAATTTCATCCGCTTAAATAACATATTTTCCATTTAGTAAGTAGTAACTAACAACTTTCAATTTTTTAGATAGAAATAAAAGTTATTTTTCTTTGTTCATGTCGGTTTCAGTGATCACAGTGATTTCAATCGTATTTCACCCGATAATTAATCTAACTTATCTTTTTTGGTTGAATTTTTCTGAAGTCTCCTCATCATCCATAATAAAGTGAAGAACTATATACGGATTGCATAAAAAAGATAAACTTTGGATTCATAGTCATTGACCTATATACTCCACTTAGAAATTTTTCGTATCCACTAACAAGTTAGGCCATCATCTCCTTTTGCATTTGTCCCTATAATCGCTTACCAACTTTTAATGCTATAACTTAATTTTGTCATACGATAATGGAGTAGCATTTTTGTCACGTTTTTTGTCATGAAAATGTTCAAAAAACCACCTTGTTGTATTCCGAAATTTCCACTATTGATTGGTTGTTATAGATCCAGCCATGCATATCCTTCAGTTCTTATCCAGCCATATACTTACAACAATAGCCAAATCCCAATAGCGAGAAGTAAATAAGGTTCTCTTCATACAAAAAGAAGAATTTGATGGTAATAATGATTTCTCCACACACATATATATATAAATCCAAATTTATAAATACTTGTAAGGAAAATTGTGGGGGTAATAAACTGTTCTATATACATCCGAGAAATGAATAAACATATGCAAATAACTCGTAATGAGAGTCGTATTCAACAAACAACTTAGGCACTAACGAGAGTGTGTGGGAGACGAAAGCCAGTTCCATGGGTCCTCCTGCTTTGGAATTGGCATTGGAAACCTCTTTATCCTCTCCCAGTCACAGACTCACACATCACACTTCACACACAGACAGTATTTAGTTACAAACAAGTCGAGTTGTGATGGGACAAATTAGAAAGAACGAGACGAAAACCAAATTACGTTTTGAGGAACAAAACACTTTTCACTACATTAACCTTTGAATATCATCAAAGGGCCAAACCAGTAAGAAGAAGTAACACTCTGAGATCTCGTTTCTTTTTTGGGACACGTCTTTGTCTTTGTCCAAAGCTTAACTCAACATTACCTGGTTTTGGACCTACTATCATTTAATTGATCTCATTTATTTTGTTTTATTGTTTCAGCAGTTGGTTTCTGTGTAATGCTTAACAAGAAAACGACAAATATTGGGATCCACTGCAAAATAATTAAGATATGGATTTTAGATCTACATCATAACAAGGAAAGAAGACAATGACAATTCTTCCGAAAAGTATACTGATTGATTTATTCAATAATTTGTTTTTCGTTCTTGTACATAAAAAGGATTTATTAGCCAAAAATACTTGTATGTCATTCGGATTTCGGCAACATCTTTGATTTCTATGTTTCAAGTGTCTCTTTAATATACCATTTATAAAGCCAAACACAAAAAATAGAGTTGCTAACTAATCAAAACCATTGCCACATGACATTTTCTTTGGGTTTAATGTTAAACATGACAAATTTCTTATAATGTAAACTAAAAAGTTATTATTATGTTCTTTGATTAAATCTATTTTATATATTTGTAACTACAAATTTATATAAATATTTTTCTATTTGAAACAAACTTGCTTAGTTTTCACTTCAGTGAACCATGTCAAACCTTACTAGCCTTGAATTTGAGGCCCTTAACATCACCAAAAATGACTGTCTGTTTAGCATGGGCATTTGTTTGTTTAGCATGGCATTGAATGCTGAGATTCATGATTCATTTACTTGGTGATACAATCAAGTAAGAAAATATCATAGCCAAGTTCCGGCCTCAAATTCAAAACTAGAAAGTTTCAACATGGTTAACTCAAGTGGAAACAAAGGATTTTAAACTAAGGTCTAGAGATATCTGCTGATAACATATTATGAATAGAGAGAATAAATATAAGACTTGGTGTGTCTTTATATTACTTGAGAAATATAACACATTCCAAAAAAAGTTTCAGCTGAACTTGAAAAATCACCTCTTATATCACTTATTTACATTTAGGCATCAATATTTCGTCTTTTCTTCATGAAAATTTGGAATGTGAGAACCACAAAAGCTTCATACTCGTGAAGGGAAAAAAGCTTAGGCAAAAGACTTAGCCGAAATGTGTGTTTTCTGGGGCACAATACCAAAAACAAAATGCCACAAAAGAGATAAGAAGAGAGCCTGCTAAGTTTTCTACGAACTAACTGATTGACTGATTCTAACCAAAAGAAGAAAGAAAGAAAAAAGGAAATAAGAAAACTGTTCAGTTCCCAATAAGACCAACAGCTTCTTTGATGTTGCAAATCCACTTCTCAAGATTCATTACCATCTACTTGTCTTGTTGCCTCCGGTAAGCCACTCTCTAAACCTGCATTAGATTCTTCTGCTTCCTTCTCCGTTTCTTCTCTTCTTTCAAACAAATTCGCCAAGAACCCACCTTTCGATGAAGCAGAGCGATCAGGACTAGCAATGGCTGAAGCACTCATTTTCTTGTTACCAAGCTCTAGCTGAAGCTCCTCTGGCACATCATCAACGGTCTCAGCAGAAGTTTTCTCATCCTCAGTTCCTGATCGCTTAGTCTCGTTCTGAAAGAGTTCAAGGCTCAGCGTCGAACTGGTTCCTCTGTCTTGCTTCCGATTCGTTTCAGTCGCTGGAAAAAAATCAACCAAAGTAGTAGAAGAAACTTCAGCAGTTGAATCTCTAAGTAAAGTAGTATTAACCCTAACAGTAACTGCTCTCTTACTTTCACCACAAGCTTCAGAATCAGATCTCAGGACGGCAGTATGATCGTCTTTGAGCGCATCATCACTAGCAAACTGTGGCATCAGAGAGAGAGTTTGACCTTCAGGTTCAGTGAGTTTCTCCTCTGCAGAAGAGCCTCCAACATCTTTCATCTCTGTATCCACAGGGTCATTCATCTCATCAACAGCCTCAGAACCAACACCATCGTGCACCATAGTAGATTGGTTCCCATTATCTTTGTTCCCCTGAGGTGGAGTTTGTTGGTTGAAAGAGGGAATTGGGATGTCTTCTCTTGCATACATCTTAGCTTGGGGGAACAAATCAGTTGTTGGGGTAACTGGATTGACTCTGTCTGGTAAGAAAACGAGGCCTTTCAGTTGCTTATCCGTGTCAACGACCTTTACATTGAGGAAATATCCAGCCTCGAAAGAGCCTTCAACCACACCAGAAACAACTTGACCTATCAGACTATCATCATCAGTGGTGGTAGTAACTTGTTGTTGCTGAGTCTCTCCTTCTTCATCTCTGCGAGGACGACCCCTCTTTCGCTTGTTTTGAATAGATGAGGCTGAGCCTTGATTCTGTTGGTCCATTATGATTTCTTTCAACTTCAAAGTCTTCTTCTTGATCAACACTGTTCCTCTGGAAAAAAAGGTATCTTATAAGTTTCATCGTTGTGCTCATAATTACCATTATTATACAGAAAAGTACACAAAGCCAGACTTCAATCATTGTCTTATATGAATAAAGCACTTCAGAACAATCCGTTAATGAATCTAACACTAACACCAAAACAAGATCACTCTAACAACTTGAGACGAAAAAGAAAGATTTACAGATTCAATAAAGATGAAGAATTTAATGCTCAAGATAGATGAGATTTGCAACATTTTTGATGCTGTAACACACTAATTTGTTAACCTAACCACATTACAAAAACTACAACTTTCAGTGAAGGAACAAGTTGCCATTTTTTATCAATCATACAATTTGGTGGCCATGTCAAAAGATACTCAACAATGTCTCAAATTCATATAGCAATAAAACGACTGAAACCACAGTTTTAACACCGATTCAACAGTATAAATGAATCAATCCTTCTTTCCTTGAACAGTAGAAAGTTTTCATTTCCCAGGGAAATCAGAGATTGGAACATTAAATAGTCTATGATCATTTGCATAAAGCCACGGAAACTAAAAATGGACCAACAATCTCAACGATTGCAAAATTCTCCGAGAATCTAGCACAAACAAACAGAAGATACACTCACCGTCACGGCTAGGTTCACGGCGCGGAAATGCTTGTTTCCCGGAATCGGAGGTTTTTCTCTGGGGGGAAATACCAGAAAGGAGTACGAATACGTCGTGAGAATGCGTAATTGGATACGTATTCGTATACAGTATCCGTAGATTCTCGTTCTCTTTGGTTCGTCTTCCTCGTCGCTTGGCCTTTCCTCTCTTCTCTTTTTGTTTCCTTCTCTCTTTTTCTTGGTGATTTTTCGTTTTTGGGGGAATTTGGAAAAATAATTAATATTAATTTGAATTTTGACTTATATGGGCCAAAATGGTTTCCTTATTCAGGCCCAATAAAGCCTAACCATCAATTTACACAAATAAAATCCGTTTTACGCCTTGATTTTGTTTTTGTTTTCTAAAACACTATTTTTGTATCCAATCGTGATTTCGAAAAGAGAGAGGGCTGAATATTAGGAACTACCAATTGTGAAATAGAAAAAGGAATTACGAGTTATTAAAAAAATATAATTTTCTAGTATAGCTTTTTTTTTTCTTCTAGAACGTATCATTTGCAAAATTTTAAAATCTTGTTAAATTTTTGCTCTCTAGATACATCTGCGTATTTTTCTTTTTGAGAAATTTTTGCGTATATTTTGGTTTATATATTCACTTATTCAGTTACGAAATCATCAGATTTTCTATTAAGAAAATGTGTATGTAGTCATTGTAAAAAAAAGTAAAAATATATATAACATGCATGCAAACAATATAAAACCATACAAGCAGACAATTATGTTGTCTCAACCTATAGTTCTCATTTTTTTTTTTCATATATACTGGTGTCATATCCTTATCTATGTTTCGTTGAAGAATTGGTGTAGATGATGCTCGGGTAACAAGAAGAGTCGGAGAAAATGAGGGAAATTATGTAGTTTTGTGAAGGAGAGAATATATGCCAAAACTAATTAATACCTTATCCACATCTCCTTTCAAACGATTCCCTTGGTCTATATATTTTTGCAATATATATTAATAAAAAAAAGTTATATATATATATATATGTGTGTGTGTGTATATAGTTGCACTTGCACATTCATAAACCTATATATATGCTAAATTTCGTAAATCACGTAAATTTTTTAGAACAAGTATTAAGTATACATACAATAGTATATTGTATATGATGCAGTTTCTTAGTCGAATATTATGACAAGTTAACGAATTGATTCTCGCCCGACAAAAGGCATAAATTAAGATGATGGTTTTCGTTGGCTTATTATCTGATCTAATCAAATCATTTTCGGCCAAAATTTAGGTTAGTTAAAGCGTGTGACTTGACTAGTAAGCAACATAACCATTACATCATTTTAAGTAAAGATTTACCCATTTCATGTTTGGCAAAATAAGATATTTTTTTGGTTCGCAATTAATAAACTTTTCAAGTACAACGACTTGATGAATCATGATCTAGCTAGTTCTAATGTTTCCTTGTCGGGATTTATCGGCATAATTATAACAACACATACATTTGGTTTCTTCTTGAATTGATTTTTTCTCTTTTTCGTTTGTTGTTCTTTCAAAAAGTATGTTTAAATTAAGGGATCATAGGCTTGTAGTCTAGAGTTCAACGTCGGTCAAATTTCATGAATGTATTCTTGGCGACTATATTATTCATTTATTGGCTACAAATTTCCAGATAAGTTATGATTTTTTTTTTAGTAACATATCTGATTCATTCATTGATTTCAAACCATATACAAGAGCTTATACATCCATAGTACATCAATAACAAACAAACCTATATAAACTTCCAAAATTACATAACCAAACATTAAAAATTACATAAGTTCTGATTTATAATGAGATCCGATGCAAGAAAATCTTTTGATTGTTTATTCGTATATAGTTTACTGTATAAAAGTCATTTACTTGAATGATTCGGACGACGTGTGGCTAGTCTTATAGTTGTTACTTTTTGTCTGATATAATTCTATAAGAAATAAAATGTTGGTCTGAGAGACAGTATTGTAATTGCTGTTAACTGGGACTTCATTAGCTGTGATGTTCCTTCACATACCGTACCATGCCACGACCATGAATGTCTGCTTCGAATCTGTTTTAGTTCTCATCAAAATGCTTTTGTCAATTCAATCATTTTGTTTTCTTCCAATTTTCCATTCGATTTTTTGATTTTTTTGGTCGTTTACAACTCACATGCACACATAACCGGCGTTATAATAAGTTTTGGATATTTAGAAAACGAGTCACTAGATGATATTGATCTATCAAACAAGTGTTTAGCTTTCCATCTTATGACCGGTCAAAAGTATGATCTGGTATCTGTCGATCTGAGTCTAATTTATGCTAAACATACTAAACTCTTTCGATATCGAACAATTTCTTCTTTCACATTCACAAATTAACCAGTTATCTCTTAATTTATAGATTACTTCCGCTAGTCCAATCTCAACAAACTATCAATTCAATATGTTTTGACATCGTTTAAACTTTTCACACTACAATATTTTGTTTATTGGTGATGGAAAATATATCGCTATACGAATATTTACGGAGAATAAAAAGTTCGTCTCTAAATATATGCGTATCAATAACATTTGATTTTGTGTGTGTGTGTGTGTGTGTGTGTGTGTGGCGGGATAGAGGCTAAACTTTTATGTAACGAAAAATATATAGGAAAATGTTACTAATTTAGAGATAAGTTGTTGCTAGTCCCATGCAGTTGTTTTCTTGTACATATTGTTATCAATAACTCTTTATATTGTGAATTTTCTTATAACATAGATGAATAAATCCATAAAAATTCCAAAGTATCGTATATGATCTTATGGCCATTTTATGATTTGAGGGTTCAGGAAATCTGTGAAAACAATATATTGATGTTCAACAAGATTAACTCGACTATTATATTTGTTCTTAAGTATACTATTTACTTCCAAGTATAAGATAAGATGATCAAATCAACACTTTCATACATATACGTAAAAGAACATATATGTCTTTAATAATCTTTCTATAATATGAACATATTGAGGGTTGAATTGACGACAACCGAAACCATAGATACAAATACAATTAATCTAGTATTTCTCTCTCAGTGGATTAGGACAAAAGAAAAATGACCTTATATATATGTTTAAGTACTGTTTTTGGTCCCCCAAGAAGAGGAAGATGAAATGAGAAGAAGATGAAAAAGAAATGAGGATTGGAGATAGGAACAGTGTCACGAGGATTGCTTTGGATCTTCTTGGAACACATCTTGTCTATGTCTCCTTGTTTTGTCTCACTAGCACGTGAGATTGGAGTTTCTTCCTCTTCGTTTACCCAATAATATTTCTCTCGTTTTAAAAAGTCCTATTGTGTGTGTCACTATACAAGCGCCTATTCATCATGAAGCTTCTTCGGTTGTGTTGCCTAATTTCTCTATTCGCATTTTGTCGGATATAATTCGGTATAGGGATAAGAGATATCCTAGGTGATGTTTTGGACATCTTGATTTTGACTTTGTCTCCACTATGGTGTGGTTTATATTGACGAGAAAGATATTTTTGTTTCCCCTTGTTATATGATACATCGTTTTAAAATGTCACATTTGGTTTATTCACAAATTACAATGGTTCTAATTAATGGTATCGCCTTTATAAAAGTTAAGCGAATTTTTTGTTCGCCATCTCCATTTAAGAGTTTAAAATGATGTTCTGGTTGTAAAAATTGGATCTAGATGTAATGTAACCAATAGACTCTCTATGCATGTATCCAAAATCTTCTTGGACCTATAAATTTGCAGAAGAAGAAAGCAAGAAAAATGATGCCTAGGCAAATCTTTTTGCCTGTCTTTTTGGGTGAATATGTCCTTCGCCACAATAATTTCAAGCATTAAAATATCTTATTTTCTTATAAAATAAATTAGTTTGGAATCTGTCTTGTCTCTAATGTTATAGGGTCTATTAATTTTTAACCCTTTTATATATAGATGAGCAAATCTTCTGCTACAAAGTTGCTGCAAAGATATGGGCAGCAATTTTGTTTTTACAAAGTGAATTACTTTAAATCGGTCCTTGGTCTATATATATTCGAACTTAGGGCACTTTCTCACATCCCGCTTGAATGAAAACCATAGGTGTGTCCCTATCCGGATTATAGACTTCATTTATGCAGCTTTAATTATAAAACAATGCGATAGATATAAAGCATAAAATATGGTATCACAGTTAAATTGAAAATTAAATGTGATTAACACAAGAAATCAACCAATGTATGTAACCTGCGATCCTATTATCTATGTAATCACCATGAATTAATAGGCGAAAAAGGAACATATATGATATACAATAAATATATATGTAGGGTTAAATGGATCACTAAAAGGTATATGAAGCCACATATGTATAAATCAGAATATCAAGGACAAACAAAAACTTCGAAAAAGGTGGGGGAGCGAAATGTGTAATATGTTTTTTTTTTTTTTTTTTTGGTACAGAAAACAAAAGTCAACACTCTAATAGTTTTTTCAAAATGATGTTTAAATTTGATAAAAGGATTTTTTTTCAAATTGTTTTTTTTTCTCAAATTACCAAATACACCACATTTGTTATGAGAACATAAGATATCGTACAAAAAAATAAATAACTCATATATGAAAGAGTATCGAAAGTGTATGACTCTCTGTATAAAAATCAAGTTTTACCTTATACATAAATAAATCGCTGTGGTTTTTATTTACAAACATTATAAGTGGCAAAAATATTCCCCTTTCTGTACATTTTGGGAATTAGTGTGGATTTGGATACGAAATCTACATAGGTTACCACAAAAACAAAGATAAAACAATCGTATATGACATTAACGTACTCCTGATTTTTGCAATAAAGTGCGCGCATACGAAGTTTTAACCCTAGATCTAAGCGTCAAGCTTCTTTCAATTTTGGATTTGACCACTGGTTCATGATTTCTGATTAAAAAAATAAAGAATGTAGAAAGACATCAATCTGAAATATTCTGTTATCGATTTTCAAAGATTCTCACTTCATATTTGCATATGTATGTCCACCATATGGTATATTTAAACATGTGATAGATTGAAGATTGTCCGGTATGTTAACTAATCCAACAGAAAATGCTAAAGCTTTCATATAAATGACAAGCACAATCATACAAAACGAAAGAATATATAGATCACGAAATCCACCTACTTATAATATCTTGTACCAAAAATAAGTAGAAGGATGAGTATTCAATTTATATTGTGTGTATACATATATAAATGTGCTGATGAAACAAAATAATAAAACTTTTAAAACTAACGAACTGAAAAAAGAAAACAAAATGTCCCAACAACAACCTCTATAGTCTATACTTACAAAACAAAAACCTTTTTTCTTTATTTGCGATTTTTTTTCTCTCTATGATTACCTTAATATAATTGATTTCCGGGTAAACTTAGATGAGGATCAAACTGAAAAAAATATAAGATTCGTTGAAACTGGTCATGATTTTTGTTGAAACACTTGGACTAATCTTTTAGATAGTTTATTCTAAAGGAAGTCATTTGTATTTGTGCGTTTTGTATGTAATTAAATTAGATTTAGATATAAGTATGCATTGATTTGTAGTTCTAGTTGAATTTATTATTGATCACATAAGTTGTAGAGATGTAATGTAGATAGTAAGCTATATTTATACATATATAAAATATGCGAAAATAAAATACGGACTCAAACACGAAATGTAAATACAAATGGAAGAACCAAAAAGATTGTTTTTATTATGTTATACGTTTTCATAATTTCATCCACACTTGGTTTTGTCATTTTACAAATTAATTTTTGCTAGAAACCAAAAATATCTTGTTTTCTGTGTCAAACACAAATACTGAGCTTGTAATAGTTAACTCCTAAATTCATGTAAATTTTAAATCCATGAACTCTTCCAGTCTTCTCAATTTAATCTACTCATTCTTCATCTAACTATTTAAAATCTCATAGAACTTATTGGCATGATATTTATCTTTACACGTTCGCTTTCATATGAATTTGAACACGTTTATGTACATACATATGACATCATTCATTTTTTTTCCGAAACGGGCTATATATTCTGGTGTGTTCACGACACTCTAACAATATGTTATAAGCTGTTTTCAAACACAACTAATCTGAGAGGAGCAAGTGGCTCAGTGGTTGCACACCTCTGCATCTATGTCATTTGGAGTTCGACTCCACCTAACCCCATATGGGGTTAATTTCCTCATTGGGAGGATTATGGGTCCGTGGGCCAGCCTGTTGTGGCCCACAAAAGATGACAAAAAAAAAACACAAAACTAATCGATAATGAATAAATTAATCTATGTTTCTTGTATATCATTCAATGTTTTATTTCACTCTCGGCATGAGATATTTCTATCACGTCTTTTAAAATAATAGTTCTTCTACTAATTCATCTTAAATTCTTAATATGTATCATCATCATGTTATAGAATTAATTTTGGACGACTCCTTCCAAGTTACATTTCCCTGTTTGAAACGTTTCTGAAACGGAAACTCTCAAAAACTTGTCGGAAACTCGTTTTCACACGTTTCCTAATATCTTTAATTTGGAAATTCGACGGAAACTTGCGTTTTCATTTTGTGACGGCAACTTACTTCTTGTTTTTGAAAAACATAATAATAAAATAATTACAAAATAAATAATCATATTAACTGATTAATTTAATCATTTAAGATAAATTAGTGATTAATTTGATTCATAATATGAGATTAGTTTTAAGTTATATAGAGTTTGAAAATCTTTCTCTCTAGATAACTTTGATTGATAGAGCTCATAATAATAATAATAGAAAATATTTTCAAAGTTTTGACATTGAACAGTTTGATATTTAACTTTTCTTAAACTATTTAATATATAATATAATATAATATAATATAATATAATATAATATAATATAATATAATATAATATAATATACTTATTTATATATATACACATTTTCAAACTTATATTTTTCAAAATCCACGTTTCCAAAACTTTTCGCTTCCGCGTTTCCGTTTCTGTTTCCATGCAACATAGATTCTGATACATTGTTAAAATAAAATATAAAGTATGCTTTTTTGTTACTAATATGAATTAAATGGCATTAGCGCGCCCTACATTTATACAAACCCGTATACATTTAATTTGATATACAAAAGGTAAATTATCAATATAGACAAAAGGAATTCACATATGTTAATTCCTTTTGTCAATAGGAATCTGATGGCAATATGTTAGCATATGAAATATATGTTAATATCTTGCAACTCCAATGAGATTGCAGATCACTAAATTTGGTGTTGAATTGTCTCCAACAGAACTGCAAAACCAATACCAAGTTTAGTTAATTAATATTCAACACCAAATTTAGTGTCAGTGGAGAAACCACATGTATTAAGAGGGGGCATTTTCCCCTATTCTTTTTGAAAACTTCATGTAAACTGTAAAGAAATTTGATATTGCTCTCTTTGTTTTTTGCATTTAAACCCCTTTAGTTTTTGAACTCCCTCCCTAATTTTTGTTTTTCTGCCTCTGCCCCTGGTTAGTGTTATGGTTGGAGTCTTGGAGACTTGGAGTTGCTCTAAAGCAATGATTTCATCTTTCATGTAATGAATTCTGACCCTACGCTTTCAAAAGTCACAAGGTCACCACTATCAATTTAGTTCTTGTTCCATTATTTTATGCTGATTCCTAATATTACTTGCTATTCTTTATCACAAGTGCTGTAGTAAATGTTGACAAGAAAGTGTCTTGGTAAAGTCATTCAGATTTTAATTTTTATTCCGGGGCCCAAAGTAATTTGTAGAACATACACACGTTACGTATAGATTTCTCGCACTAAAACCCGATCATTGGCCTTGGCCACTACAACCACTAGTGTATATGGGACTATCTTCACTTGGTTAATTATGAATATATCGATATAGTTAGGATCTTTATTTTTGGAGTTTCCTCCTTTTCCTTCTTGTAGCTCGATTTAATTATTTGAGTTACAATTATGATAAGTAAAGGAGCTCAATCATGTATGATCTCTAAGACAAGAAGAAGACAAAAGTTGCACCAAAAAAGTAAGAATATTCAACACAGATTGGACCGGAAAGTAAAACATGGGTAGGCACTTATAGGATTACATATATAAAAAGAAACTATTTAACTTGCGTATATGGAGAAAAATAGCCAAGAAAATCTGAAAATATTTTCTTGATTCTGCTAGCTGCCCATATAGACCTATATATGTGCCCACTCATGTAAAAAAAAATTAAAAAAAGAAGAAAAAAACATTCTTGATCCACATCAGATGACACATTCACATGGAATCATCACATCAATCTCTTTAATTCAAGAGAGAGAAACAACAAAAAGACACATCACAAGTTGCTCCCCTCTCTCTCTCTCCCACTCCATGTGTAACGTGTTAATGCAATTTGCTTATTTTCAAGCTCAGTATTCTCCATCTCTACTACTCCTACCTGCTTCTCTTCCATAGATTCTTAATTTCTCATTTCTCTGTTAATTTAAAACATAATTTAAAGTTAAATCTAAAACAAAAACACTAGATATTTAAAGAATATTAACAACCAAAAAGTGTAAGTTTACGTACCAAATGATTTCTTGCAATGAAGAACAGCCTCGTAGATTGAGCTCTCGGAGTCACAAGACCTTCTCCAATAGTAATCATCGGCAACACTTATTCTCGGCGACGACGTTGCTTCTTCAGAATAAACTCTGCTCCTTGACGACGTCGTTACACGGATCCTAGAGTCGATACCGATGTTTCCGGATGATTCAGCGGATCTACATCTCCTTAATCTTCTACACAATGGCGTCAAGAAATCAAGATACTTCAACAAAACCCATTTCGACACTCTCCTCAACTTTCTACAAGAAGAAGGAGACTTGATCTTAACGCCACGTGTCTCAATCTTCTTCCCCGTCGTCGTATCCAACGGCTCAGATTCTTCCTCGGTGGCTGCTGACGTGGCTTTTGATCGATAAGGCACTACGTAGCCATCACGGAAAAGCTCGTCGGCGTGAACTAAAGAATGATCTTCGTTGGAGAAAGAGACGAAGTTATCGAACTTGAAGCTACTTTCATGGGATTTGTTGATGAAGAATCTTCTAGAAGGAGGCAATCTTGGATCCATCTCGATGAAGGAAGAAGAAGAAGAAGAATCTTCGAAGATTTGATGATGATCATCGATGGAAGCTTCTAAAGAAGGGAAGTTAACCAACCAACTGTAAGAGAAGCTGTCTATAGGAACTAGTGGCATTGAAGCTTCTTGTTGATCTTCTTCCATGGCCGATTTTTTTTTTTATGCTTTATTTTTCTTTATTTTGGGTATATATGTGTGCTTGAGTGTGTTCTGAGTATTTTGTATGAGACAAGACAATGTTTGAATTGATAACATGTGTTTCAGTGCAGATATATATATAGGAAGGGACATACACACATAGAAGCAAATATATATTATATTTAAATATTTATAACGGTAATATATATAATATTTATGTGGTTAGTTTGGTAAGAAACAATAGATATTAATAATTGGAAAGGGAAAAGAAAAGAAAAGAAACATAAGAGTTTGTGAGCCCATACTAACCTCTCATTATGTGCTGTTGCCTTCACTCCTTTCCATTTTTTAAATAATTAATTTATAGATTTATCCTTTTTCATATATAAGATTCTTTAAATTATTTATTCCCCATATAAGTATATCTTTTAATTAGGAATATCAAAACAGTACCTCTGTTTATTTTAATTTTGTTTGAAGTTCCATTACATTATTTTAAAAATATAATGCATGTTAAATATTGACACAAAATCTCATGGCCTCATCATGGGATTATTAGTTTCTTTGGAAGACATACTTATATGAAATACATACAAATATATAGCTGTATTACGTTTTAAGATGGAATTTCCAGAGCATTTTTTTTTTTTTGAATTGAATGTAAAATTTATTCTAACTCAAAAACGTCGTTTTTTACATCATGTGCAACATAATATAGAAAGAATTTCCAGAGCATTTCAAATGAAGAGGACCACGAGTTACAAATGGGAGAAAAGAACGTAAATAAAGAAAACTAAATGATAAAGTCACTTTCATAAATAAGAAAAAAATTGAAGATAGAGAGAATGGGAGAGGAGAGGAGGAAGAAAGGGGAAGAGACAGAGGTCCCGGGAAGTGTCGGGGTGCGAGACGAATGTTGTCGAAAGTTTAGGGGACAAAAGCCGAAAATAGAAAGTGACGTGGAGACTCATCAAAGTCTTACTTATGGGGCCATTTTGCATGGTCTTTTTATGGGTTACGTTTGGGAGACTCGAAATAAGATTTTACTAATTAGTAGTGGTATTTTGAGAAGTGCATTTAATGATTTAAATCTCTCAAATCTCGAAGGGAATGTTTTTTGGTCGTCTATTGATGCTAACACGAGGTATAATAACCTTTGAGACATAAGTATCTCCTAGTTTTAGAGAGTTTTTAAAAAATATTTCATTTAATACGATATTTATAAGCTTGCAACATGCATGAATGGTGTAATTAAACAGTGTAATAATATACTAGGTGATCGACCGGGCTACGCCCGATTATATTATTTATAAATATATTTGGTATAAATCATCTTTAATTTTCATTGCAATTCCTTTGCAGTAGTTTTGGTATTTCTGTCATGTTAGTTACCCTCTATCTTTTGTTCAAAAAATCCATATATCAAGAGAATAAGAACGTTCATAATTTAGATAAATGTTTGCAAAACATAAACAACTGAGATTTTTAAATTTAGAATGAAACAACAAAATGTAAATAATAAATTATCTAAAAAGGACAGAGTATGTCATCTATTATGTCTTATGATTTTTTGTGTGAACCTTAATTTTTTTGGTCTTACCGCTCTTTCTTTTTTCAGAAATTTTGGTTGGATTTGTTTTAACTCTTTGTTAAAAAAAAACCATTATAAAGTAGTTAATTGGAGTTCTAGTTTTCTTAAGATGTGGGAAGTGTGTATTTTGTTATTTGGATACGTTATATTTGGTGTAAATAAATAAAGCAGAAATATGTTGGTTTATGTACTTGTATATTTTTTGGGCTACTGCTTATGACCAGCATGATTTTGTATTTATTTTTGCGAACGCTCAAGAGGTGTTGAAACTGTGTTACTTGTTCATAACATAAGGAGAGGTAAACAATTATATCCTTGCGAAATTTGTAAAGCTTAAGTACAATCATCTTATACAGTATATTCTTCTGTGGCTGTGTATTATGTTAGCCTTTTTACCTTGCTAGCTTCATTCGAAGTAAAATGTGATGATGCTTTGATTGTGGGTTTCTAAGTTCTGACCAACAACATCTAATGTAGAGCATATATTTGAATAGCTGCGGGAGATAATTTTTTTTCTCTCTTCAATAGTACTTTACTGATTGAACTTTAAACCCAAAACAACATAAGTTTTTAACTCTTAAGAAACAGATCAACACGCAATTAACCAAAACAGAGCATAAAAACAAAAGCCACACTAAAACAATAGACAAAAGATAAACCATATGATATCATGACTGAATTTGTTAAAGAGATAATATCATGATTAATTTTTTTACTATCAATAATATAAATAACATAAATGGTAATTTAATTTCTTTAACTAAAAAAGTTAACTTGTTTTAAATCATATATTATTCATGTTATTGAAGTTGAACCATATATTCTAAACTTTTGATGATACCCCACATTACCACTTTTGCAAATGGACTTGACAGCCATGGACTTGGTTTCTTGCCATGGACTTGGTTTCTTGATCCTTTGCTCATAGCCTTAATGTGTGCTGGTTGAACGTGTTGCTCTTGCTCTCTTGTTCGTAGAAAATCGAATATTTATTTTCCTCAAAAAAATGTTTATTTCTCGAGACATCACTAAAAAGGAAAAATAATAGTTTAATTTAAAATAGCTCTGAGGCTCTATTGTTGATCAGAAATAGTTTGACTTAATTACTTTATACTCTGTATTTAAATCCATAAGCATTTCATTTTCAGTGTTAATCTTGTTTACAACTCTTAAAATGTTTTAAAATATCACATTTTTGCAAAACATATTGTTGGATTCATGAATTAAAGTGAACAATTTTATTCGTGTCATGAAAACCAAAATCCATAATTCAGAAACAGCCAAATTAGATAATAATATAACATCATCGACACATGTTGTAATATTTTCATCCCTCTCTTTTTGCCATATTCATTTCTTCTCAAAACCAATTTCTTTTTGTTTCCTTTTTTTATTTTCTGTTTTCACTTTCCCGTGCTAGAAAATATCATAAAGGAATAAATAAAATTGGATTCACCTTGAAACGAAAGAGATGTCTATACAATTATAAGGCAAAGTGAGATAAAGAGTTGGATCACTTAGCTCTCTCTCTACCTATAAATTACATCGTCTCTGAAGCCAAAAAGAGCTTTTTCTTCATCTTCTTGGTATTGTAGCTTGGGAAGTAAACAACCGCCAACCGTAAGGAACCTTGCATTCATCAGGCTCGTCTGGACCAAATAAGTAATCATACCTACAAAACAACACACCTAACACCCGTTTCTCATTCTACGAAGAGCCACACACAGATTTACAATCTCAGAAAAATGATAAAGTATGCTCCTTTATGCCCAATTCAAGTGTCAGACTTTACTAAACAATGATTCACAAAACCCACTCTCGATTAACAATCACAGGAGAACTAATGCTGCAGTTTGAAAAATCATGTATTTACTCAATCCAACGACGCAAGGTTCAATCTTTTTATCAGCAAATAAAACCCAGAAAGCATCGAGCTTCTCTCAGAAAAATTGGAAAGAGGAGGACCACTTAGGAAGTTATGGTCACATGTGCCTAGCTTCAGCCACCTGTTTTATGTTCCTCTCTTGACAAAGATTTCCGTATTCTTCAATGCCACAGTGTGGTGTCATCTCGAGTTTATCTTGTTAATGTTCCTTCCACAACAACTTCACCTAATACCAATTTCAGAAAGATATGTCATCAAGTGATGGGAATTCATGTCTATGAACACATAAACCAAAGATTATAGATGCATCATGATTTTGTAAGAAGATTCATGAGTCCTAGAGATTCATGACTTTGTAAGAAGATATATATACGTTTTGCATCTTTATGAGTCTCAAAATATGCAGATACCACATGGAATGAAACACCCTAGAACAGTGAAAATTATCTGATGAGAGTCTGTGAAAAGTACCAAACCAAGGACATGACAGCGATTTCGTCCATGAGATTGACATTCCCAAGTTGTCGAAACCCTTGTTGCTTGCTCCAATACAATAATCTATTCACACAGAAAAACTCACACAGAATCACCAAACTTTTAAGTCTTTCTCGGGTCAAAGCAGTATCCAACATTAAGTCATACCTATTGGTCGTTATCCTCTTATTCTCCTTGTGCTCCCGCGTAAGAATCTCTCTAACAAAGAAAGAAAAATCCGGAAGTTAACGGAACATCTAAGAAGTCCATCTCAATATCACATAGTTCGAAACAGCAATAAAGCCAGCGTACAGTTGCCCTTCTGATCACAAACTTTAACTCCATCTCTACACGACACTAAAAATCAGGGAAAAATACAAACCTGAAGGATCTCTGATCTGGGAATGCATTAGAGGAGAGAGGAGAAGTGGAATGGGAGGAAATTGACCGTCGATTTTCTCGAGGACCTTGAAATTTTGGGGTAGAAAGAGCTTTCGGAGCCATCGGTTGATCTGGGCGAATATCTACAACGAACGAATTGAATTAAAGTTTTTTGAGTTACCTTACTGCTACGTTTGGAAGACGGTCCTGCTCTACTCCACCCTCTTATTCCTCTCGCTTCTGCGCACCTTCCCCTTCTCTTTTGTGCCTCGATGCATCTCTCCATAGAAACCTGAAAAGTATGTGTTTAGTAGACAATTGAAGTTCTAGGAGAGAGGTACTCATGATTTGGAGAATTCGTTTGCAAATAGGGGAAAGTTATGCTTGTGGATGAAATTTATTTTAAACTAAATAGACAATACGAAGGATTTGTGGAAGATGAAGATGAATCGAGGTTCATTGAATGGAAGAATTGGAAGCGTTTGAGTTTCTGAAACAGAAAAAGCTAGAGATGCGACGAAAAGCTTCGTGATTTTGGAAGGAGTAAAATGATACTGACGTGGCATCGTTTAGTGAAGTTCTTTTGTTGAAGTTTGAGATGCTGACGTGGCGACGTGGAAGGCCTCTGAAAAGTGCTGACGTGGGTAGCCTCTGAGGCCCCAAACATCTGCTTTCATTAGTATAGACTAGGGATATCCCGCCCGGGTTTATGGATTATAGTTTTGTTTCTATTATATTTTCATAAAAAGTGGTATTACAACAGTAACTGAACAGATTGATAAATGGAAATGTAAATTTTACAAATGACGAAAGTTTGTGCCATTGTGTTGCATTATCACAAAGTTTATCTTATTTATAAATAAGCTATAATTCTGAATTATACACATCTTAAATAAAGGGAGTATTTAACAAAAGGAAAATACAAAAGGGAATATTTAGTTAATAATGTATACATAAAAGTTAAATCTATACTTAAGTTTAGTTTAAAAAAAAAAGTTGATTATAGGCTTGTAGCTTTCAGTTTTTTGTTTGCAATTCGAAATTAGTTTTGGTAAAGAAAAGTTGTGTAGTTTTCTTTTTATGTTTTGTTCAGTTATTATTTTGTGTTATATAAATTGTTACATTTTTGTTGTTACAAAATATTATATTTTATTGTAATGTTAATTTGAATGAATGAAACTTTATATCGACATTCAAACTCATATGAGTTATTTTCTTACAAACATCTCGTAATTAATTTCATGTATATATGTTACTGTGAAGTGTGAACACATCACAAAAAGTGGAAGAAACTCAAAAAGTGAAACTCAAAAAGTGATAAGAGAATACTATAAGCCCTTCCTCATATATTCTTACAAAGATCAATTGCGTTTCTAAGATAATCTTGTTAAGAAATTAGGATAACACCAACCACCTCAACAAATTCATCTAAGTATAAAGCACACGCAAGACTAAAAAGAGGTAAATACAAAGGTTTGCTTGTTTGCTCTCTACCACCAGGAACGGAGCAAAACAAAATTAAAAACAGAACCAGAACTTCCTCATAAAACAACCCTCATGTCATGTCATAAAAGAAAATTCATCTTCTAGCTTTTCACCTCCACGAAAAACTTTCCTTTTTTTTTTCGTTTCTACAGCCATTTACGCCATGCTCCTATACCTGAAATCAAAAGATACCGAACACTAAATAAGATTACTGTATCTTTTCGTAGTTATTCTTGGAAACTTTTCAACAGTCTTTCATGGATTTCTTGCAAGATATAAAAATACCTATTACACACTAAAACCTTTATAAGCTGTACTGTAAAATGTATGTTATATATAATCAAACCCGCATAGAGATTACCTTTGACACACAAAATACAACCATTCAAAGAAACCGAACATTTGGTGATTAGAAAGATCATGGGACACAAATTTTTTGCCTTATTGTAATTGAGATCAACTGCCCAAGAGTATATGAACTTGAGCTAGCTATTGAACAATATCAAAAAAAAAAAAAAAAAAAAAAAAATTGGAGATGCAATTACCAGTCTTGACGTTCTCAGCCTCTCCATCTCTTCTCCAAACACATATATTCTCTGATTCCTTTGAAGTTTTTGGGGGGAAGTTAACAATCAATCAAGTGTACATGTTTGTTTACCATCTGAAAGAGAGTAGTAAAAGGACTAAATAAATTTAAATTTGTATAGAGTTTTAATTATAATATTACCACAAAAAGAACCTGGGTGATGTCTATTGTACACCAAGTCACCAACAAGGCAATGCTGACCCCAACTGAAAGGTAATAGCCACATCTGCATTTTAAAGCCAACACCAATTCGAGATCGACACCTTTAACTTAAAGAATCACACCGAGGACGGAACATATGATTTTCATAGCAGGAGTGAGCATCTTTCTTACAATATGTACACATTTTCTCAAGCTATCCTTCTTACTGCAGCAGCATGTCCTCTAGGACATCAACATGTTTTACTTTTCGCTAAATCAGGGGAGCCAGCATAGATTTCCACTGAACGTTTAAATTAAGACAGCAGAGCTTTTCCATATACTTGTAGCATTATTCCCAACACATCATAAATCCAATGGACTTGTAACTGATAACAGGTAACACCACCAGAACATTAACAAACAAATAATGCCAATATAAACTAAAACAGATAGTAGACACACTGAGAAATAGAAGTAACACCTGAATGTGAGCTCTTGACTTTGTCTGCATATTCTTGATAGTCTCCCCACCTCGACCAATAATCACACCAACCTTATCATTTTGAACTTTAATCTCCATCTGTTCATGGACCCTAAAAGGCTAGGTACACCTCCTGCTTCAGTCTATAATTGCAGCACAAGAACAAAAAAGGCCAAATCTGAGGTCAGACAACAACAACAAAAATTTGCCATTTAATAAAGAACCAACACGGATGTCAAAGACAAGTTAAAACCTCTGCTATAATCTGATTGATAAGCATCTCTCCTTTCTCAATAGAAGCAGCTTTTCCAATTATCCCACCCGTCTTAAAGATGAATCTGGATCAGCTCAGAATTTCTCCGAATTTGGATTTTGGCACTAGATTTGAGCTGAAGATGCCAATAAGCGTGCCAACCTGCCAAGTATACCGAGAGCACTCTGTAAGACTAACTCACATAAGGGTCAAAAGGGAAACTAAATTCCACCAGTTCCGCTCGTTAACACATCCCAAACCCTCCCTTAAAATGGGCGCCAAGTTTGGGGCGACTGTCCCCGGAAGGAAAGCTTCACTAATGGAGTCCTGAACCAGTAGATGTTGGAGGGAATTAATTCTATAGATTGGTGAAGTGAAAGATTTAGGGGTTCGTACCTTCTGATCAAGTAGTAGCGTGATAGACGCAGGAGGCAAGCTATGAGAGTTTCGGCGATCTGGAGAGGTGAGAAACCGGGATTGGGTGCTGGTGGAAGAATCACAGTGGACAGATGATGAAGGTTTTATAGTGGGTGTGGAGAATTGAAGAGCGAGGAGCGTTTCATGTGGTGTGAAGTCGGCCATTAAGTGGCGAAACGGTCCGAGCTGGCATACAGAGAGTCGCGACGGAAATGAAATGAGGAAGGGTGCTCGGCTTTGTTAAATTAAAGTGCCACGTGGCAGGTAGATAGAAGATTCGAAAATGCTGACTTGGGTGCCTTGAGGCTTGAGAGACCCCAGACAGCTACTTTAAGTTATTAGTGATTGAATGAGTGTTTTATAGTCGTCTATTTAAATGACGAATATTTGTTAAACGTTAATCGATCAAATGTCTACATCATTCATGTTGCAAACAGTTTAATAAGATATCGATTTTTTTATAATAAAACTACAGTCATATGTAGTCAGATCAAATTATCAACTACCTAAACTTCTTATTCTAGAAATAAAACGATTATAGACATACATAGACTTGATAGTAAATGACTAAATGCCATGGACCAAGTTTAAAAAAGAAGAAGATTGCTAGTGAAAAACAAAAGAGAGCCTGAAGTTTGAATCATTACAGTCAAAGATGGAACATTTTAGCCTTTTTTTTGTTTTTAAGATAAATACATTAAATTTCAATAAAGATTGAAATCTTTACTAATTTAAAGAAGCTGGTTGGGGCTCTCAGAGCACCTCACAGATTCAACCATTGAATGTCATGTGGCATTTAAAAAAAAAAAAATCAAATAAGTAAAAGCTTCAAAGAAATTCATTCCATCAGTTCTTCCGAATCACGAAGTCGCTTCGGCCCGTTTGGAACCCCATTGTAACACCAGGTTATTCTATTCGCCTTCCTTCTTCTCCGCTCACTTCTCCACCGATTCCCTTTCCCACTCCGCCATGCACAGATTCCGAGGAGTTTTCAAGCTGCCACATCACCTCCTCCTAAATAGAGTTCCAACCCGAAACCCATCGTCTCCCACAATTTCACGATATCAATGAACCGAGATCCATTCATCTCATGTGGTTTCTCAACTTCACGTTTCAAAATCTCTATCAGATAACTAAGGGATACAATTTCAGTATCCCCATTCTACAATGACTTCAGGTTTTATTTAGTAAAGATTCTACAATGACTTCTTCTGCTGCAGGAGAAATCAAGACGACGAGTAAATTAGTAAGAAATTGCCTGTCTATTATGGATTTTTTTTCCCTGACTTGTGTATTGATTTTATCATGTTCTTTTCCATCACTCCGATTTACTGTTTTTTGTTGTTATGCCCAACCATCGATTCAGGAAGAGAATGCTATAAACTGAACAATTGTTGTTGTTGAAGGAGTAATTTGGAAAGGAGAGAAATTGATTCAAGTGGTTCCTGAAACTCTTGATTACTCCCTGCCAAGGTTGGTAAGCAAAATCTCTTGATAATTCGTTTGAACTAGTTCAAGTTTTAGCTTTTGTAGTGCTGTGTCAAATTCTTTTGAAAGTTTCTTCCTTTTCGATCAATTTTTGTTTTTTTTTTTTTTTGTTATTCTCAATTCTACAGGGAAGAGATTGGTTTTTGTCACAAACAACTGAACAAAGTCAAGGAAACAATATGGCGAAAACTTTGAGCCCCTTGGCTTGAATGTTAACAAGGTTAGTGACTTGGTTTTAAAAAAATCTAGCTACATTTGCTGTTATGAGGTGACCAATTGTTCGTGATTGAAGCAGTAACATTTTTTTTTCAGGAGGAGATATTTGCATCTTCTTTTGCTGAAGATGCGTACGTGCAGTCTATTAACTTCCCAAAAGATAAGAAGGTAAAACCATCTTTAAATCGAAACTAATATGTCTCAATCTCATGTGCTAATGAAATTATTAAGAGTGCCTTTGCAATAGTGCTAATGTAAATATTAATTCAGGTCTTTGTGATTGGTGAAGAAGTCATTTTGAAGGTCCCGTATGTATTATCATGACTTTTCTTACTAGCTTCTTGGATTTGTTTTTCAAATAGATGTTAACTTTCTCTTCTTGGTTCTAGGTGATCTTTATGTATATAGCTCTTCCTAAATACTTGTGCTACAAAAAAGAGCAGCACTTTGAAATTTCTTCCGTATCTTCTTTTTTCTTCTCTGTGTACGCAAAAGAGCAAGTGTTCTCAACAGTTAACTGCTCAAATGCAGGAGGATGGAAAAGCCAGATTCAATTGAAGCCAGAATTTCTTATGAGCACGATCACGATGTATGTCATCATCCTTCCTTTGCATTTGATTTCTTTTTGCTTCTGTTTCTATCCTTTAACTTATAGAAAGCATGAAATGGTTGTGCTTGATACTGAAACTATACTTCCAGGTAGGAGCTGTTTTGATAAGTTGGATCGAACAATGGCGATGAGAAGAAAAAAAAACAGGCATTCTAAAAAGTTGTCGATTGAGTTGGTGGTGGGTTGCGTGAGACTATGGTTGTATGAACAATGGTGTGAGCTACCGGATATGGGGTTCGTTGTGAGCTTCAAATCGTTTTTCAATCGGAACAAAAGGTTCTATCTTTTCATATCTTCTAGATGAAATTCTGTTCCTTTTTTTTGGCTTGGGCTGAGATTTTTGGATACAAATCCTTGCGATTTGTTTATCCTTTCTGGCTAATTTGTCTACTACAATAAAAAGGATTTGATTCACTCGATTTTGACAATAGTTGTGCAGGGTTTAAGTCGTCGATCGATTGGTGGTGGGTTGCGTGAGATGATGGTTGTATCATGTACGAACATTGATGCGGACGACATGCAAACATGTGTGGTGAGCAGATCTATTCTCTAGCTTTTAGTTTTGTGTTTAATGTGACAATAATGCATATGGCACTTTCTTAGCAAACGTGAGCTCAGTGGAAAAAGTAGAAGATTCTAGCCATCTATTTCTGCTTTTTGGCCTTTACTCTATGAATGATGCGGTCGAGAAGCCAACGCTTTGTCGGGTACGCTTATAATCTTCATTATTCTCCCCTTATGTTTTCTTGGTTAGTAAAGTTTATGTTCATTCATTGTGTCCTTAAAGATAATCACCTTCGTGCTTTTAGCAGCAATTGTTTTACCTGAATAATTGAATTCTCATAACCGAGTTGAGATTGTTTTCTTACCAGGAAATTAAAGGCAAAAAGAAAGACAAACGAACAAGCCATAATTTCCTAGCTGCAATTACTGACTGAAAACCCATGATTTTCTTGGGTATGTTCATATATTTTTATTCAAACCTGCTTTTTATGTTCTGGTTAGGAAAGCATACTGTTGTTCATTTTGTGCTCCGCTTCTAAAAGATTGTTGTGTTCAGCTTTCAGCAACAGTGTTTGATTATTAAAACATGGTTTGTTCTTAACTGTGCAGAAAACTAATGGCAAGAGGAAGAACAATTTACATGTTTCTTTTCCAGGAAGCAGTTTTATGGATTGAAATGTTTCATTCTCCAAGGCAAGCAACTCATCATCTCCAATTCAAGATCACTGATGCAGTAACGCAAAAAAATAACAAGAAAGACCCAGTTCGGGTTTGAAGAAGAAACTCTAGAATAATACAAGGTAAAACAACTCTAAACCTCAAACTTTCTTCAACTTTCCGATGATGTTTTACATCACAGCCATGATAGCATATATGGCTTAAGGATACCCGGTGTAGACTCATGGTGACTTATTTAGTATGTAAAACAAATATTTATAATGCCTCTTTTATGATCACGTTTATGACAAAATAATAAATCGCCGTATGCCTTCTCATATGCAGATGGATTAATGGGAGCTGTGTGAGTTATTCTTTGCTCTTGACAAGCATAATCATAAGGTGTTTGTTGGTCTTGACGTTCAGTGAGTTGTGAGAAATCAGCAAAAGTTTCGATGTCCTTTCACTCATAACAAATATGAATGACCCTTCACTATCTATTTTTTCTCAGAACGACGTAAGAGGATAACAGAAGATATTTGTTTTTTTGTGAGGCTTTGTGGCTTAAGAAAATGTGGTAGTTCTCATCATATCATGGATCCCGATGTTCTGTCATTTGAGAGAGAGACGAAGCGGGTTGCGAGATGAAGATTATGGTATTACCAATCTCAAGCTGCTCCAACTCTTAAGTTGCACCAGACTCAGTTATGAACCAAGCCGTTTTGAAAGAGACAAGAAAATGCTCGGAAAATATGATTCTAAAGCCTGGACCAGAGTGTCCTTTGCCACCGCGAAATGATGCAATGAGGAAAGAAGATGCAGAGTGTGGATCACTGATGTCTGATAAATCTCGGACCTATCATTTTTCCGGCCAGAGAAGAGTCGGAGAAAGAGATATCTCGGTTAGAATGTGTTCACGTCTTCTTAGTAGCGCAGCTTTGTCTCCTCCTCCTGCACATGTAAACATATACTTCTTTCTACTGTACTGTGACTCTGCATTTGTCGTATGTATTCTTCTCATGTAATTTCATGGATATTTTAAATAGTTTGTTGGTAGTAGTTTGGAAATGCCATTCCCCATTTTGGATATTTCATAAATTAGAAGTCTGAGGTTTCATTGACAGAAAGACTATTGAATATTTAGATTACTAGAAACACATAAGTGAAGATTGCAAGCTACTCATCTAAACACTTAGCTTTAAATTTTGTCAGAAACAATTTTTAAGAATACTAAATATTCATTTTTGCTTTACAGCCTCTGAACATTCATTTTTATTCATATTTACTTATAAAATTTAGTACTTGAGCTTTCAAAATAATAGTTTTGGCAATTCTAAAATATTTAAAAAAATATACTTGGCTATAATACTTATAGTAATCAAAATACCTGATATTGAAAATAAATGTATTTGGGAAAGAGTATAGATCAATTTACTAAATAAATAGAAAGATGAAAAATATTCAAGAATTGACACATCAACAATTTAGTATTTATTTATGGAAACTAAAATACCGTTTTGAAAATGTCAAAATATTTAAACATTTGTACTTATGTTGAATCATACGTTTTACTAATGATATTGGAATCTGAAACTAAAAGTAAGAAATGATTATTAATATATTTATTATATATTAGATATTTTTACAAAAAAAAAAAAAAAAAAATTAAAACACATAGTCCCGCGCGTAGCGCGGGGTAGCCTCTAGTTTGTATATAGTAAATTTATTGTAATGTATGGTCTCCAGTAATGTCTAAATTAACTGACACAGTTAAATTCGTTTATCTGGCATATACTGTTTAACTCAAAAAGACCATTCAATCGTTCATTTGTCTCGTTTTTTATTCTCCAGCAACGTGAAGGAAGGAAAAAAGAAGAAGAAATAGGATAAAGAAAAAGAAAAAGAAAGAAGAAGAAGAAGAAGAAGAAGAAGAAGAAGAAGAGGGAAGATAGAGGATGATGGAATTAAGTGTAGTGATGAAGGTGTCAAGGTGGATATGGTGTCGGATCTGTAGGTACTGCATGGTGACAATATATATCAGCGGTAGTGAAGGAAAGTATTTTTCAATCTCTGGAGAGACTGAATTCTCAGCAAGCATGTTGGTGGAGAATCTTGCAAAATAGAGCTTGCAAAATCATCTTCATGTTACAATAGGAATCCACTCACACACACTATTTCTTGCTCATTGATAGCATAGCGTTATAATAATATGTGTTTGATAGTGTTTTCATAAACGTTGTGTTAGCCGAAGCTATCATATAGCACTTATTTTATGTGCTATTATATGTTTATCTACTATAGCGTTATTACAGTGCTTTAATATACTTTGTTGTAGCGCATTTATGTGCTGTATTATATTTTATTATAACTCATTTTGAATGCTGTTAGACTAGGTATCATATCATATTTGTGGTGCTGTATTAGTATCATTGTAGCCAATTGACTAAACTATGATTTATTGTTTTGTATGAGCTTGTTGAAGCAATAATTGTTACTACAATAACTCTTATTTGATATGATAACATACTGTATTTACAATGCATAATAGTAAACGAACCCTTTTTCATAGATTGAAAATTATATATATTTCAAAATCTTAAACAAAAACATCAAGTACACACAACATTGACAACAAGAATGTTAAACATAACGTTTTACGAGACAAAACACAAAGAAAAACAAATTTCTTCATCGGTTTACTTGCACTTCTTGTTTCCTTCCTCTCTGCATAATTTAAGTATAGATCAATAGCATTGAAAAGGAGCTAAAAAATAAATTAGAATAGCATCTAAATTGTGTTACAAGATATGAAATCATAGTATAGGTTACACGCTATGATATGTTACAACTTCATGTTCCCAATTTCAACTTAGATGGCTGTCTTTGTGATTGTCATATTCTTGAAGTTGTGTAGCATTTTGTTAAAAAATTGTTTTGATATCATGTGGGAGATTGAATCTCTCTTTTAGCTCAAATCTTCCAGGTTTTGATATTTGTTTTTTACAAGTTAGTTTCTCTTGATTGAACAGCAACTAGATAAAACAAAATATACATGAGTAGAAAACCAAAAAATGAAATTTTCAAATGAATCAAGAATTTAAAGATGAGATAAATATTTAGTGACGGAAAGTATTCAGCATTTTTCAGGCAAATATTTAGTAGCTTATGTGCCGACTTCGTGCAGAATGTGGTGATATATTATCTTAATGTTTGTAGTACTTAAGGTGTAGATATGTTGTATGTATGTGTATATAGTCACTATGTACTAGAAATGTTTGGAACTTGTAGTGCAGCAAAATTTCATTTTTTTTTGTGTGTATGAAAGATAATCAATAATTCCAAAGACCAGCTCCTGCTTTTCTTCATCTGCACCAATAAGAAGAGAGTAATCCATGACATTTGCATGTTGGAGTCTTGGAGAAGCCGAGTGTCTCTCTCAATGGCAAGCAGAAAGTTTTCTATAGACAAGTTGCTGATTTGCGGAGGAGATATGTTGAGATGGTTGACTAAGTTCTGACCAAGAAGAACATCAAAAGATTCAACCACTAAATGACCATGAAGACTCCCTTTAAGATCATACATCTTTGAGAACTTTTTGTTGACAAGAAGATTCTCCATTACCATCAAATGTTTGAGTTTCTCTGTAGCTAAAGAGCTAAGACTAATGTTTTTAAGATCGGAGTGGACCAGCTGTTGAACCGGTTCGACCGTGAACCGGAGGAATCTCCAATTTGAGTTAATGCTGAAAACCGATTTTGATTAAAACAAAAAAAAAACGATTTTGGCGGTGAACCACTTAAAACCCCGGTTTTGGAATTTTGTAGTCTTCCACCATATTTTTTGGTGATTTCTTACAATAAAACTTTCAATTTTGCTGATCAATCTAATTACAACAATAAAATGTGAACAAACAAAGAAAATATTTTCTAAAGGAACTTAGTATTTGAGAAGATACGGACGAAGGAGAAGTTAAAAGGGATGATAGGCTCTCAAAGATTTTTTGTTTGGATTCTCAATAATTAATATAACAAAAAACTAAAAATGGTAATGTATATTGATGATAAATATTATATTCACCTAAATTGCCATATATGTCATAACAAATATTATAAATATAAAAAATTGTAAAACCCGGTTGAACTAGTCGGACCAGATTAACCCACAACCCAAATAATAATTCGGTTTAAAAGCATTGGTAACTGAACCATTGTATACTCTCTTCATTTCTTTTTGATGATTTTTTTAGCTATTTTTTATTGTGTCTTGAAGAGAAATTTTATAGGTTTTCAATGTACTTTTTCTTGATTAAAGTAAAAAAGACTAGATTCCAATATCTTTCTTGCATTACTATTGGTTTAAAGTTGTACTAGTAGCTTACCTGCACAGTAGTAGTGCGGAGTTACGTTTATTTTTGGATATCGTATATAAATTATTCAATTTTCGATTTGAATTCGAGCATACCCTAACTTGAATGGACCCAATCTGATATAGAGCCCAAATTCTTTTGATACTATATGGATTAAAAAAACAATTACCCGATAGACCCAGACCTGAATGATACCTATCCAAACCCGATCCGATTACCCGCAAGCCTATGAGATAGCATATGAACCGATCAATTAATATATTTATCCAAGTAATTCAGATCGGGTATTTGTTTTCTGAACCATCGGTTTGTTTTAAGTTATTATTATTCTTATATCCAAACAGTTTTTATTTTTATTCTTGTATCCAAACATTTTTTTTTCTTTTATTTTTGTATCCAAATATTAGAATGTACTTCTCAATTAATAATATAAAGATAGTTTAAAAAAATTATTGAACTTTTACATTTTCTTATTATGTGTAAAAAAAACTAGAAAATTCATCTTAAAAAAGGGAGTATTATAATAACAAAATTACAAAATGCATACTGTCTAATTTCTGAAACAAACTAAGAAGGATATGAATGAATTTTGTTATCTTCAATCGTCCTCATCAAATACCATCTTCAATTTCCTTCTGCGAAGCGGGCTTTTTTTTTTTTTTTGTTTCTAATAGTTCTTTTATTCATCTTCTTCTGAGGAGATATCATTTGGTATACAAGATGAGTGAAAGAAGACAACAACGAAAAGAAAGCGAACAAATCCAGAGGAAGAGATTAAAAGAACTACATTTGAATAAATTCGAACCAAGTGTGAATGAAGGAGACTTGTGTTACTGAAGTTGAAGATCGCTCTAGTTGAATTGCTCTGTTCGATCGGTCCAGCCCTGCAAGCTTTGCTAGGAGAAGAAGCTGAATTTCTTTCACCAAAGAGTGGGAGGTCTTCGGAGAAGTAGACGAGGAGGAATGAAGCCTTGAGTTACGCTCAGCACAAATAGCATAGGTCACTCCTTGAAATATAAGTTTGCAAATAACTTGCAACTTAGGTTGGTTGAATGAGGTTCTAACCCACTGAATAATGTCTCCAAAAGTTGAAGGCGGATTCAAAGAGGGATGAGTGAAAAAAGAGGTCCACACTTCCTTAGAAAAGGTGCAAGAGAATAGGAGATGATCCCTGGATTCTTCTTCATTGCCACAAAGCAAACAATCTGCAGGCACTAGGAGACCCCAAGATCTCAACCGATCTCTGGTTAATAAACGATTCCGAACAGCCAACCAGAGGAGAAAGCCGTGTTTTGGTATATGATGCGTAAACCAAACGGTTTTGTGCCTAGATATCGAAGGTCCAGGAGGGAATAAAGAACTCCAAACTTTTCTTGTAGAGAACTGAGCTTGAGGCAGAGCAGGGTTGTGCTTCCATAAGAACAAGTCTGGGGATGAGTCATTTTGATTCAAGTGAAGCTCAGGGAGGCAATTCCTTAGCAAGAGAAGAAGAGAGTGACGTCCTCTTGGAAGCAGCCACTCATTATTCACTCTAGCCTGTGAGACTGTTGCAAATCTATGGATACCTGAAATTCTCGGTCCATTAGCAATGGTCAAATCAATCAAGGGACCAAGAGAGCTCCAATTGTCATGCCAGAATAACGCATTTTTCCCTGAGACAAGCTGACAGACAATAAACGGACGGGCTAAATCTCGAAGCTTCACCTATCGCTTCCAAATCCAACTTCCTGTGGAGTTAAAGTTCTATGTCCAGAAGTCTCTTCCTTGAATTATGTTTTGCTTAATCCATGCCACCCAAAGTGAACCTTGTTCCGCGAAGAGCATCCAGATAAGTTTCAGTCCGAAAACCTGATTAATCTGAGCAATTCTTCGAATTCCCAAACCTCTAGCCTTCTTAGGAGTGCAAACTATCTCCCACGACACTTTCGCTCCATTAGCTGAATCTGAGACTCCGTTCCAGAGAAATGCATTTAGCATTTTTTCAATTCGTTCCAAGCAGCTCTTTTGAAGAGGAAAAATTGAAGCTCAGTAGTTGACAATTCCATAAAGGACCGATTGGATCAACTGCAGGCGACCAGCAAAAGATAAAGGCCTAACTGTCCAGGACGAGATTCTGGATTTAACCTTATCAATAAGAGGCTGACAATCCTGCCAAGTGAGATTCCGAGGCATCAACGGCAGTCCAAGGTAACGAACTGGCAGAGAGCCGGTTTGGAGTCCAAACTTAGTAGCCAAATCCTGAGTTAGCTGATTATTGTCTCCGTCCAAAAACAAGCTAGTCTTTCTTAGACTCAGAGCCAGACCCGAGGCATCCTGAAACTCCTTTAGAATCTCAATAATGCCCTTCAAAGACTCCTCTTTCCCATCGAAGAAAACCAGTAAGTAATCTGCGAAGCTAAGATGAGTTACTAGAGGATTTACACATAGAGGATGAACGCCGAACCTTCCCTGGTCTGCATCCGAATCAAGACTCTTTGACAAGACATCCATAGCAAGAACAAATAGAGAAGAAGAGATTAGGTCGCCTTGTCTCAACCCTTTCCTTCCCGGAAAGAAACCCACCAACTCTCCATTCAATGCCACATAATAATAAGGCGAAGTGATGCAAATTTTAATCCAAGAGATGAAATTCTGAGGCAGACCCAAAGCCTCTAAGATATTAAGAATAAAAGACCAATTGACATTATCATAAGCCTTTGTAATATCAATTTGAACACAGCCTCGAGAAGTAGGACCTGGCCTATTAAAATCCATCACTAACTCGGGAGCCAATAGAACATTCTCGCAGAGCAATCTACTATTAACAAATCCCACTTGGTTTCTCTGAACTACATCCAGTGTAATAAGTTTTAGCCGATTGGCTAAAAGTCTTGAGATAACCTTATATACAGTGTTGCATAGAGAGATGGGTCTGAAATCTGATAGAACAGAAGCTCCAAGGATCTTCGGGATAAGAGAGATCACCGTCGCATTCACTTGCCGTGTCAAAGTACCATTGAGAAAGAAATCTTTCACCGCTGAAATTAAATCATTTCTGACCAAATCCCAAGACAAAGTAAAGAATTCTACCGTGAATCCATCTGGTCCAGGCGCCTTGTTTTTTGGCAGGACAAAAACGGCATCCTTAATCTCTTCTAATGATGGGAGAGTAGATAAACGGCGTGAAAGGCCTTCAGAACATCTAAAGCCAAGAATGGAGCTGAGCGTTGGAAATGACGGCGGTCGAACATCGGGATTAGCTTTTCCCATAAGCTCAGAATAATACCCCAAAACCATATTCTTCAAAGCTGTAGTTTCTGAGATTCTATTTCCCTGATTATCCTTAAGAAAGTGAATAGCGTTCCTTGTGAGGTTTGCTTTAACTGACTTGTGAAAAAAGCCTGTATTTGCATCTCCTTCACTAAGCCATCTCACTCTAGATTTCAGCCTAAAGAAAGACTCTTTTGCAGTTGCAAACAGCAACACTGAATCTCTCGCAGCTCTTTCTTCTTCAAAGATAGCTGGAGACTGATTAGAAAGCACCTGTCTCTGAAGAGATTCCAAACGCTCAAATGCTTCTCTTGACCTTGCCTGAATATTATTGAAGCGAGAGTTGTTCAGAGTTTTGCAACACACTTTAGCCGCTCTTAGCTTCTGGTAAAGACTGAACATTGGGTTTGAAGGCCGAAGTAGACTGTTCCAGGCTTCTGAAATGAGTCTCGGGTAGTCGGGATGAAATGTGAAGAAGGTAAAAAAATTAAACCTGGAGATCCTTCTCTGAACTTCAGCCGAGATGGTAACCAAGCATGGTGAATGATCAAAGCAACCAGGGACATCGAAGTATGCATTAGACGATGGGAAGGCGTCTTGCCATGCTTCATTGATAAGAGCTCTATCGAGTTTCCTTGTCTTTGGATTAGAAGAACACTTATTTGTCCAGGTATGATGACAGCCCTGAGAAGAGAGATCATACAATTCTATATCAAAGAGGCAATCCCTGAAGTCACCTAGTCTCTGAAAGGGTGATAAAGACGGTCTGAAAGAGTAGACTTCAGCTGAACTTAACACTTGATTAAAAACACCCAAAAGAATCCAAGGAGATGCTCTCAAGAGATCATTTGAAGCAAGAAGTCTCAAAGTAGTCCAGAGGGGAATCCTTTCTGAGCTTACATTATGAGCATAAACAAAACCCACCGTGATTGATATGCTAGTAATAGGATTAAACACTCCACATAAGATAAGCTGATCCGTTTTGTAGTAAGGGATTACTGTCAAAATAGGATTCCAGATCACGACTATTCTTCCATTCTCTGCCTCTTCCGAATGATTTGAATCATATCGCCATCCAGGAAACGAACGGTTCATAACACTTGATATATTATGTCTCTTCACACGAGTTTCCAAAAGCTCGTCAAATATAGGAAGGTTCAAGGTGATCCACCTTTAAATAGCTAATTGCTTAGTATCGCCGTTAAGGCCCCTGACATTCCAACAAAAGCTTTTCATAATATACACCAAAAAGGGGCAAAACACTAGGAATCATTCAAGCTGAACTCGAGCAGGTCCCTCAGGTACCTGATCGAAAGAACCAAAAACCACTTGATTGATAGAAGTTTGCTCAGGATGCTGAGAAGTACTCTCCGTGCATGGGTTTGACGTAGAGAGTGACAACAACTTCTGCCTCTGTTTCCTCCTATCAGACTTCCTCCCAACAAATTTCTGATAAGGAGGATCAACTTTAGCTTTCTCCAAGGAAGAAAAGCGATTTCGGAGATTAACCTGAGCAGTTTTGATGATCTCCTCTTCCTCCTCAAATTGAGATTGAGTGACCGGATTACCTCTCTTTTTCCTCGACAAGCTTGAGTGAGAGGGGGAAATGGATTTGGGCCTACGGATCACCCTATCCGAAGCAATAGAGTTTGAGGCTTCATTTGAGGGTAGAGGAGAAGAAGGTAAACTTCTTGAATGATGATGTTCATTGACAAGATTTGTTTGAGACTGAGCGCTGACCCTACAGACTGGACTGACTGGAGATGTTTGAATCTGAGGAAGGATCGGAGGAGGAATTATTTCCATAGGTGAACTGGGAATGGTGATTGATTCTGGGCAGCGTAGCTGCAGATGTCCAAACTCCTTACAAAGACTGCACTTGGGAGGAAGATTGGGGTAAGAAGCCGAAATTAGAATAGAGGTCCCAAGTTTATCTGTTATCCTAACTGTGGGATGACGCTTCTTGTAGAGATCAATAACCACCTTCAACTTGGTAATCCCATTTGAATAGGCATTCAACTTTGGGAATTCAGAGTGAACTGGGATTCCAACACCAGAAGTAATAGTACTAAAGCCTTCTAGCCTGCTAAGCGGGCTTTGTGTAAAGGACGCAGAAACAGGTGCGACGTCCTCACCCGAATCTGCCAACTCATCATCCTCGAGTTCGTGATCAGATAGAAGATTTGGATCTTGATCTGGAGATGAAGTAGAAGGAGCGTTGTCGCTGAGACCATCTGTTTGAGATTCTTTACTTTGTCCGGTAATGTGGTTTTGATCAGCGTCCTCATCTTTGCCATTGGTAGGAAAATGTGGACTAGTTTCATTCCTAATTACAAAAAGAGAGACTTTACTCAAGATATCAATCTCAGTGGTTCCTTTTACCTCTGATGAGACAATTATGAGAAAGGAGTTTTACCGTTCTGTCTTGTCTAGAGAACCTTCTGGAGTGATCTCATTGCTTGATGTCGTGTGCTTCTCGATCTTCTGGCTTTTTCTGCTTTTCCTACAAAAGAAAACTACCAAGAATTAATTTGGAATCGTTCAAGAAACCAAGTTTGATAGTCATTAGTAAATCTTACTATAAAACGTAGTTACCTCTTCTTGAATGCTGATAATGTTTCGTTGTCAGAGTCATCTTGTGAGGAATCATCAAGGTCATCTTTTAGCATCATGTCAGCTTTAGATTTCTTACCACGAGGGAGAGGAAGACCAAGTTGCTTTAGTTTACGTGAAACTTGAGCAGTGGTGAATGTGTGTTTCAGAGCCCAACTCATTGGCAATCAAATAAGAGGAGCGTCTTTGGTCCTTGATCTCATTGCTTTATCTCGTGCGCTTGTCTATCTTCTGGCTTTCTATGCTCTTGGTACAAAAGAAAACTCTCAAGAAATCAAATTGGATCGTTCAAGAAACCAAGTTCATGCGATGCAGCAATATGTGAAGGGAATACGGGTTTGATGGCCAACTCAATGCTTGTTGGTTACATAAGATGAAATCCATGTTCATATTTCATCACCATTTTTTTAATATATCAAAGAGAAGTATGAATCAAAGCTACCTAGCATCTAGTTACGAAACAATTATAAGATCGTGAACAAAAAGTAGCTAGTTCAGAAATATACACAAAGATAAGAGAAGATAATTGGTACTGCTTCTCATCCTCTTTCAAGTACTAAAAATGTGTTAAGTATGTTTCTCTACGCACAAATGTGTTAAGTATGTTTCTTTAAGCACAAAATGTGTTTAGTGTTTTTCAAAGTCTTTAGATTTTATTCAAACAATAAATTTTTTTTTATTATGATCACAAAGAAGTGATGAAGAGGATGATCACAAAGAGAAAATGAAGAGGCTGAGCAAGAAAGAAGAATCTATATGTCGATTGCTTGCGGAAAACGTTATAAAAGAGAGGAACAATATAAGGTTCACATCCTACTGGTTCGATATAAGATAGGTTTAAGAGTCATTAGAGTGTGAATACAGGGGAAAATGATGGCGACTGTGCGCAAGGTATATAGCGCAAGAACAACGCGCACAATAGTGGTTTTGAACAAACATTGTCTTTACCAAGTTTTTTGATAGATCCGTGCGGAGTCATGATCCGTGACAGTATTGTAAACAAGTTTTCGCATCATTTTACAACTTTGTTTTGTAAAAAAGAAAAAACATGAGGCGGAAAGTTGAATTCATAGTAAAGGAGAGAGTCAAGTAAATGATTTTGTTGTTTTTTCTTTTGATTTAGCAAGGGAAAAGAAAAAGAAAAAGAGCCAAATCATTTTTGTTTTGTTTGTTCGTGTGAAGTGTCAAAGAGCATAGTAAAGACCAGAGGATTACTACCCCCGTACGGTAGCATGGCGGATTAACCATTAACGTCTCAAGATGACAGCTTTCGCTGCTACACACGTCCTTCTTTCTTTCTCTGTCTTTTTTTCTCTCACTTTCTAATCTCTTCTTTTTCTACTTGTGGGTCCCAACAACCTATTAAAATGGGAAGTACAAGATTTATTGTGCCAGAATAATTTGTATGATTACCTACTCTAGGCATTGTTGGCTAGGTGGCTACGCCTTGGTCCGATAACTTCTGATTACACCTTTATTTTGTTTGCTATTTAGTTTTGATGTAGTCATTTTCTCTAAGCTCTTGCCTCTTTGTATTCTTGGATATGTATAAATAATAGTATCTATTTTAATTTAATAACGTTTTGATTTTTTCCAATAAAAGAATCTAAGATCTCTTTTGAGAAAATAAATTTCATATATACACTAACGTTGAAAACAATACAGTAAATTAAATATTTTTTAATGATTTTAATACCAGAAATTAATTATTCACACGATAATGTCTGATCACTATAAAAAAAAAGATTCATATTAATTATTAAATGTTAAGATTTGCAGACAAAAACGAATAATTGTAATCGCAAATTTCTAATGAAAAAATAATGTTATTTAAAAAACAAAATCTACTGTGAATATATTAAAAAAATCTACCATTGACCGATTGACGTCTCAAGATGACGGCTCTTTACGCTGCTACAAAACGTCATTCTTCTCCTTCTGTCTTTTCTCCCTCTCTCAGAAAATGTAAAAATAAATCATCGCGAAAATCAAGATGCAGAGAGGTAAAAACGTTAATGACACGTCAAAACCTTAATTAAAAGTAAAAACCTCTGTCTTGATCTTGCAGCTATTAGGGTTTTAGAGCTCTCATATATTATATATACATATGTACCACTCTTCAACAAACTAAAGCTATTGTTGTCTTTAGAAGAAACTTAAACTTATGTATTTCTTTTGTTCTAAAAAATGAATCTGTTTTGTGAACCAGAACTTGGTAAAGTCATTGTAAAACGGATTTATTTTTCGAGAATGAAAGAAATGTAGAATTTTAAGTCTTTTTCTAAAGATCACGAATGGCAAGTATGTGAAGCATATAAACTCCATAAGCAAGCAATTATATGCTACTCTGTTTGTCCATCTTTTTGATTCATTTTTTAGATTTAACAAAAATCCAATTTCTTCCAATTGATGGGTGTTTCTCATGAATTTCCGTCCGAGTAAGTTTTGTCCGATATCTCTTAATTTTTGAGTTTCCGCAGCTTAAATTTTTGTGATCGGCTTAATCAATTTTCTACTCATATATAATATTCCCTTGACTTCTATTAACTGATTCCGATACACTTGAAGGAATTGCGAATCTCATTAGCTCATAGGTCTAACGAGCTTCACTTGATTCATATCCAATCTATATGCGTGCATATTGTTGGGTTTCAAGGGGAATATCGTGAGAATAGAAAATTTAGGATAGTGATGTGAACAGTTCAGAGATATAGTCATACTGTTTCATATTTGAGATGTTTATATGTTACATGCACAGCTGGTTTACAGTTCAGCATGCTTTGAAATTATGTTTATATCATGTCGCAACAGCTGTCAGACTATGTTTAGTTAGATATTCAATATGTATGCGTGTGATTGTTTCATGGGAAATGTCGTGAGAATCGAGAATTTGAAATAATGATGTCAATGCTTTAGAGATAGAGTCATACATGTTTGAGATGTATATCCGTCATTTGCTGGTTTTTACTTCTATGCTTCAATTGGATTAAGACAATTAGGCATGCTTTTAATTGCTCTGTTCTGGCAAGTTTCAAGTATTTATTGACAGCAGTATAGACACTCTAGGAAGACTTCACATGTCTTGACGTTTTCCCAGTGTTTGCTGAACAAGGCAATTCTGCCTCTGCACTTCGAAATACATGTGGCTCTGGATCCGCCTGACTGCTCTCACTACTTTCTTGCTTTTGGTATCAAGGTACAATACTTTCAGTTTTGGTGCTTATTGTTGAATTGAATCTCAGCTTGAGGAGGGAGTGTGTTGCTGTATTATCTTCTGTTTCTCCATTTCTTGTAGGTAAGCCAATGGTGTGCACAACATTTAAACATGTCTCTAATGTCCATGGAGGAGTCTCAAGAGGAAGTGCATTCAAATATGTTTGATAAACCACTTGATTGATAGAAGTTTGCTCAGGATGCTGAGAAGTACTCTCCGTGCATGGGTTTGACATAGAGAGTGACAACAACTTCTGCCTCTGTTTCCTCCTATCAGACTTCCTCCCAACAACTTTCTGATAAGGAGGATCAACTTTAGCTTTCTCCAAGGAAGAAAAGCGATTTCGGAGATTAACCTGAGCAGCTTTGATGATCTCCTCTTCCTCCTCAAATTGAGATTGAGTGACCGGATTACCTCTCTTTTTCCTCGACAAGCTTGAGTGAGAGGGGGAAATGGATTTGGGCCTACGGATCACCCTATCCGAAGCAATAGAGTTTGAGGCTTCATTTGAGGGTAGAGGAGAAGAAGGTAAACTTCTTGAATGATGATGTTCATTGACAAGATTGGTTTGAGACTGAGCGCTGACCCTACAGACTGGACTGACTGGAGATGTTTGAATCTGAGGAAGGATCAGAGGAGGAATTATTTCCATAGGTGAACTGGGAATGGTGATTGATTCTGGGCAGCATAGCTGCAGATGTCCAAACTCCTTACAAAGACTGCACTTGGGAGGAAGATTGGGGTAAGAAGCCGAAATTAGAATAGAGGTCCCAAGTTTATCTGTTATCCTAACTGTGGGATGACGCTTCTTGTAGAGATCAATAACCACCTTCAACTTGGTAATCCCATTTGAATAGGCATACAACTTTGGGAATTCAGAGTGAACTGGGATTCCAACACCAGAAGTAATAGTACTAAAGCCTTCTAGCCTGCTAAGCGGGCTTTGTGTAAAGGACGCAGAAACAGGTGCGACGACGTCCTCACCGGAATCTGCCAACTCATCATCCTCGAGTTCGTGATCAGATAGAAGATTTGGATCTTGATCTGGAGATGAAGTAGAAGGAGCGTTGTCGCTGAGACCATCTGTTTGAGATTCTATACTTTGTCCGGTAATGTGGTTTTGATCAGCGTCCTCATCTTTGCCATTGGTAGGAAAATGTGGACTAGTTTCATTCCTAATTACAAAAAGAGAGACTTTACTCAAGAGATCAATCTCAGTAGTTCCTTTTACCTCTGATGAGACAATTATGAGAAAGGAGTTTTACCGTTCTGTCTTGTCTAGAGAACCTTCTGGAGTGATCTCATTGCTTGATGTCGTGTGCTTCTCGATCTTCTGGCTTTTTCTGCTTTTCCTACAAAAGAAAACTACCAAGAATTAATTTGGAATCGTTCAAGAAACCAAGTTTGATAGTCATTAGTAAATCTTACTATAAAACGTAGTTACCTCTTCTTGAATGCTGATAATGTTTCGTTGTCAGAGTCATCTTGTGAGGAATCATCAAGGTCATCTTTTAGCATCATGTCAGCTTTATATTTCTTACCACGAGGGAGAGGAAGACCAAGTTGCTTTAGTTTACATGAAACTTGAGCAGTGGTGAATGTGTGTTTCAGAGCCCAACTCATTGGCAATCAAATAAAAGGAGCGTCTTTGGTCCTTGATCTCATTGCTTTATCTCGTGCGCTTGTCGATCTTCTGGCTTTCTATGCTCTTGGTACAAAAGAAAACTCTCAAGAAATCAAATTGGATCGTTCAAGAAACCAAGTTCATGCGATGCAGCAATATGTGAAGGGAATACGGGTTTGATGGCCAACTCAATGCTTGTTGGTTACATAAGATGAAATCCATGTTCATATTTCATCACCATGTTTTTAATATATCAAAGAGAAGTATGAATCAAAGCTACCTAGCATCTAGTTACGAAACAATTATAAGATCGTGAACAAAAAGTAGCTAGTTCAGAAATATACACAAAGATAAGAGAAGATAATTGGTACTGCTTCTCATCCTCTTTCAAGTACTAAAAATGTGTTAAGTATGTTTCTTTACGCACAAATGTGTTAAGTATGTTTCTTTAAGCACAAAATGTGTTTAGTGTTTTTCAAAGTCTTTAGATTTTATTCAAACAATATACTTTTTTTTATTATGATCACAAAGAAGTGATGAAGAGGATGATCACAAAGAGAAAATGAAGAGGCTTAGCAAGAAAGAAGAATCTATATGGCGATTGCTTGCGGAAAACGTTATAAAAGAGAGGAACAGTATAAGGTTCACATCCTACTGGTTCGATATAAGATAGGTTTAAGAGTCATTAGAGTGTGAATACAGGGGAAAATGATGGCGACTATGTGCGCAAGGTATATAGCGCAAGAACAAGGCGCACAATAGTGGTTTTGAACAAACATTGTCTTTACCAAGTTTTTTGATAGATCCGTGCGGAGTCATGATCCGTGACAGTATTGTAAACAAGTTTTCGCATCATTTTACAACTTTTTTTTGTAAAAAAGAAAAGACATGAGGCGGAAAGTTGAATTCATAGTAAAGGAGAGAGTCAAGTAAATGATTTTGTTGTTTTTTCTTTTGATTTAGCAAGGGAAAAGAAAAAGAAAAAAAGCCAAATCATTTTTGTTTTGTTTGTTAGTTGTGAAGTGTCAAAGAACATAGTAAAGACCAGAGGATTACTACCCTCGTACGGTAGTATGGCGGATTAACCATTAATGTCTCAAGATGACAGCTTTCGCTGCTACACACGTCCTTCTTTCTTTCTCTGTCTTTTTTTCTCTCACTTTCTAATCACTCCTTTTTCTACTTGTGGGTCCCAACAACCTATTAAAATGGGAAGTACAAGATTTCTTGTGCCAGAATAATTTGTATGATTACCTACTCTAGGCACTGTTGGCTAGGTGGCTACGCTTTGGTCCGATAACTTCTGATTACACCTTTATTTTGTTTGCTATTTAGTTTTGATGTAGTCATTTTCTCTAAGCTCTTGCCTCTTTGTATTCTTGGATATGTATAAATAATAGTATCTATTTTAATTTAATAACGATTGATTTTTTTCCAATAAAAGGATCTAAGATCTCTTTTGAGAAAATAAATTTCATATATACACTAACGTTGAAAACAATATAGTAAATTAAATATTTTTTTAATGATTTTAATACCAGAAATTAATTATTCACACGATAATGTCTGATCACTATAAAAAAAAGATTCATATTAATTATTAAATGTTAAGATTTGCAAACAAAAACGAAAAATTGTAATCGCAAATTTCTAATGAAAAAATAATGTTATTTAAAAAACAAAATCTACTGTGAATATATTAAAAAAATCTACCATTGACCGATTGACGTCTCAAGATGACGGCTCTTTACGCTGCTACAAAACGTTATTCTTCTCCTTCTGTCTTTTCTCCCTCTCTCAGAAAATGTAAAAGTAAATCATCACGAAAATCAAGATGCAGAGAGGTAAAAACGTTAATGACACGTCAATATGGGGTTTGGGTTATTTAGGGGGTGGTGTTACACTGTGGGTTTGGGTTTAGGGTGTAGGGTTTATATTGATGGGGTAGGGTTTAGTTTTTGGTGTATTTTAAAAAAACTTGAATTATTACAGAAGAATTTCATAATAAAAAAATCATTTATTTGAAATTTATATCTACTTTCAAAATTACATTCACAAATAGAAAAAAAAACTAAAACAACTAAAGAAAATCCAGAATTGAAAGATAACAAAACTAATAAATTTTTAAAAGACCTCAACTATATAAAGATAGAATCTATTTCAAAAATATTGAAAATTTTAACTATCGAAATGAATTGGTAGGTGATATGCAAGACACAAACAAGACATAATAGATACATAAGTAAAAGAAAAGAAAACAGTGAAAAAGAAGATGAAAAATTTAGAAAAGAAAAAGAAAAGTCGAACATGAGGAAAAAGAAAGGAAAGAAGAAATAATGGAATGTGAAGAAAATTCCAAAACAAATGAAGAATATTACGTAGAAGAACAAGAAAGAGAAGATAAAAATAAGACACCTCAAGATTACAAAAATAAGAAGTTTGCGAAAACAAAAACGATGAATACAATAAAAAGTTGTACTACTTATATTATTTAAATCTTTAATTAATAATTGTATTTAAAAAATATTGTACCCGCACAAGGTGCGGGACAACCACCTTGTTTTTATGAATCTAAAATTTTGCCCCCATTAAAATATATACTTTTTGTCCTCATAACACTTATTTAAGTCAATTTCAAGCCCAAAGTTCTACAAATTAAAATTATATCACTTTAGTTATGAGCCCATATTTAATTAGTTACCTTAATTAAAACCGTTTATATACAAGTTACTTTAAATATTTTGTTATATTTTTTTTTGCTTCCGCTGAATATAATTCTAAATTCGCCAATCTCCTCCTAGGGGCGAATCTACCTTAGCCAAGGAGGTGACAGCTGCCACCACTAAATTTTTGATTTTGTAGAATTTTTGATGTAATTTTTTATGAATCTAAAATTTCGCCCCCACTAAAATATATACTTTTTGTCCCCATAACACTTATTTAAGTCAATTTCAATCCCAAAGTTCTACAAATTAAAATTATATCACTTTAGTTATGAGCCCATATTTAATTAGTTACCTTAATTAAAACCATTTATATACAAGTTCCTTTAAATATTTTGTTATATTTATTTTTTCCCCCGCTGAATGTAATTTCTAGATTCGCCACTCTCCTCCTCCGTCCAGCGCTTGGACCGTCAATGGGAATGCCACCATGTAGCAGGGTGCTGGAAAGTGCTGGTTGCGGATCCCGTTGTGCGCAACCTGAAGCACTCTTTTCCTCAGCTTGAGTTTGTCGGTGGAGCTACCTTTGAGCAGTACCAACAAAAAGATCCTTTAAGTTGTTAACATAGTTTTCTACTGGAACTTAGGAACACAGAAGAAGAAAATTTGATAATATATTAACAAAGCTTGATAATATTTTGTCATATTTATTATGATTTTGCTTATGATTTGCATCTGTTTTTCTTATAATTTGCTTATATTATACTTAATTTATTTTTGTGAAGGAAAATTTTGAAATCTCTCTTAATTTTATTTAGAAATTAATTTTTTTCATTTCTAAATAACAATAGTTTATCTATTTTATTTATTAAGCCAAATTGCTTCAGTTATAATTATTAAGTATTTCGATTCTCTTAGGGGGTGTTATTGGTTTATGGTTTTTAATAGAGTTTAAATCCAACTATAATCTATTGTTATTCAATCATGATTTTTAAATCTTCTAACAAAATCTAGTGTTATTGGTTTAAGTATTTAGATTCCTTTCATTAAAAGAGTTTAAAATCTAGTGTTATTGGTTCTTGTCTTTAGAATCTCTTCATTCAAAGAGTTTAAAATCTTGGGGGTGTTATTGGTATATGGTTTTTAATAGAATTTAAATCCAACTATAATTCATTGTTATTGGCTTCTTTGTAATATGTATGTTTTCATCTTTGTTAAAAAGATTGCAGACGTAGCAATTCAAGGTGGTGTAGTCAGTCATTAGATGCGGATATAATAACAATAGGACCATATAGGAAAAAAGATAATCACAACGGAATCATTAGGCCTGCGATTTAAGGTTGTCATGTTGGGTTTGGGTAGATTCCGTTCGGGTTCGGTTCTTTCGGGTAGTTGGTCTTTCTACTCATATATGTACTTTATGGATTTTAGTTCGGTAGAGGTTCGGGTCCTTTCGGGTTAGGATATAGCTTTAGAATACCGAAATTTACCCAAAATAGCTCCACTCTTCCCACCTTTGGCAATCCACGAATCACAACTCCTCAAAGAGTTGATATAATCCTCTTCTGATAATTGGCATTTGGATCTTAGCTGCCAAAAACTTTCTTGACGTTGAAAACAGACCTGGTATTTTGGGTTGAGCTCTAGAGAGTTCTTTTCCATATGTTGAAAAGAACTCTCTAGAGCACATCACGAAAACTTTCTTGATGTTGAAAATAGAACCATCAAAAGCATTGCCTTCCTGTTACAATAAGTTTCCAATCACACATCTATAAAAACAAATCATAAGTATAAAGAAGAATACCATTTTGAATTTGCAAATGATACTGTGTTTAAAGATGATATATATATATATATATATATATATATATATATATTTAGTAATAGGAAGTATTCACCTTTTCATGCAAAAATTTAGTAGCTTATGTTCATATTTTGTGCAGCTATATATGTCGTGCTATATTCTCTTAATGTTGTAGTACTTAATGTGCATATGTTTTGTGATGTATGTGTATATACCAAAGTACTAGAACTGTTTCGAACTTGTAATGCATCAAAAATTCATTTTTGTTTATGAAAACGAAAATTCATTTTGTATAAGTGAACCGTCGATTGTCGTCTATATACAATAATAATATACCGATAATTTAGACCAACAAAAATCTTAAAAACAAAACTAATATTAGATCCCTTATGTAGACAGCTTGAACACGAAGTAAAATACAATTGTCCTATTTAACAAAAAAAACTAAGAAGAAGTCAAACTAATTAACATTAGACACAAACTTTTTCTCTAAGGAACTACAATGGCTGTCATGTTCTTTACTACATTAGAGAAACTTGGCAAAAAATATGATAAAATGCAATGTGAACTTTAGAAATCATATTCAACCACATCTTATCGAATATTCAATATAAAACAAATTCTACAATTAGTAGATTAATGAAAAAATGTTAAAAAATCATATTCTACTATTGGTGGATGTCAGAGCAACAAGTAGAAAACATGAAAATAACACAAATGCTAAATTGTGTATACACTGATAGCTCTTTCTGGTATCTTGCCAGCATCTCATTCCCTTTCGCAGATACACAAATGTCGTCTGATTCTTTGTAGATATGAATATAATGAACATGAATGTCTTCAACAGAAAATCCTCTTTTACATCCGGTGCTAAATTTTTGACATAGTTAGAATGATTGGGTCTTACATGCAGTCCATGAACTCAAATCCGTTGGGAAATAGACCAATATACTCATGATGTAATGTTGTGCTCGTGCTCTCATATGATGTCTCCACGAGACTCATATGAAATCTCGAAATATTAAACAATACTTGCAGAATTTTGGTAAAACAATACTTGCATATATATTAGAATTAAGTTATCATCAAAATTAATGTGTTTTTGAAGATTGTGAATTTTAAAAACTATACTAAGGGATATCATGGGCTACGCCAGGGGATTTTGTTATAAAAGTTTTATTTGTTTATGATAATTATAAAATTTTGTATTTGAGCATATAAGTTGTTTACATGTTTTAAATGCTCATAAGACAAACTCTAAATTGTTAAAAAGTAAAATGTATTTATGTCCTACCATCTTTAGTAACACATAAATATATGTCCTATTGTTGAGAGTTATTGCATTCTTAGTAATCATAAAAAAAAAATGGTATAATCTTACCTCCGTGCTCTACCAAAGAGAAATCTTAACATTTGTAGTAAGTTAACTTACCAGAATTTTATTGTCATTAGCTTTACCCACCATCGTTAGCTTTATAACCTTCAAGAAAAAAAAAGGTAGGTATTTTGCCACATTTAAATCCTAAAATTCTATGTGAACATACGTTTTGATTCTCATTTATGCCATCCAGTTTTATCTCCTTTTGTTAAACTCTTTGTCTTCGTACTTATATTATGCATGGTCATACCATATGTATGCTTTTACCTTAGTCACTTTAGTTAATGCATAATTATCTTCACGTGAACGGGCATGTTTGATTAAAAAAAATGGAATGGTGGTAATGTTTTGTAATTTTATGGATCCAAGCAATTATATATTTATCAGATATGAAAATAGTTAGTATATTTTTATCATGTTAAAATTCTACTATGAATTCTGAAGTTGGTAGAACAGAAAATCATTTTATTTTATGACCATCCAATTTCAAAAAGATGAATGTTACATTTTTTTTTTTTTGGTCGAAGAAAGGGGGTGACCCCCTATCCCTAATATATTGAAAGAGAAAACACTATCAAATTAACCTTTATCCCATGTATTATTAACAAGAATGTCATTGCTTAGGTGTCATCACTAGGTTCACTTTCAAGCCAATTTCTAATTAAGACAAACTTTACTAGACAAATTACATGATATGCCATTGTATAATATATCTTACTTATTAACAATTAATTCTCCCCAAACATTAACATTAACGAAGCCCATTAAAAATTAACAATTAACATTTAATTTCCTTTACAATCAACTACATATATAGTGCATGTAAACTTTATTCATAGTGCTTCACATATACATGTGACTGAACTATAACTTCACACTCTTATTTTATATTTCTACACATGAGAAATATATATTTTTTATTGTTATACATAGTTTTTAACTTGATAGCACATATTTTTATTGCAAGTTTAACATACAATAATTGGTGTATGAATACACACATGCATGTCCGTTTCGTGTATGATGTGTTACTCTATAAAGTGATTAAACTGGTATTGATTTACGAATAATCATGATTCCTGAGAAGACTAAACTAAACCTTCAAGTAATCAATCTAAAGTGGCCATCGTACAGAAAATGTAAATATTTGGGTGATCGATATTGTCTTCCCCACTTACAAAAATCCCTCAGAATAAAATGGGATTAAGGTGATACATTTAATTAGTTTTCAGTTAAAAAAATTGACAATAAGTGGTGATGGGATCAGAGCCGTCCATGGGCCGCAAGCTAAATTCGTTAGTGGGCCGATAAATTAAAGGAAATGTTCTTAAACCAAAAATCAGATGCAAGGGAGATTCGAATCTAGCTCCTTCACACTAACGTATTGACACATAACCAACTCAGCTACGTGATAATTTTGTAAAAAATGCGGCCGATATTTTACTTATTCTAAACCGGGCCGCAAGCCCTGCTTGCTCAGCTTGCTCCCAGGGACGACTCTGGATGGAATTCGACATTACTTAATTTTTGAGTTTTTAAAACGTTGTATTTTATGATAAAATAATAATTCCCTTTCCAAATATAAATGTGGTGATTGGAATCAATATCATGATTTTAGAATGCAATTCATAATGGCAAATACAAATTATGGAATGACTTCAAATGTGTTCCTATGTATGTGTTCATCATTGAAAATCGTCAAAGTGTAAGACTTTTAAACTTGAAATTTGTGATAAACTAATAATTTGAAGTTTCCAAATATAAATGTCGTGTTAATACGATAGTAATCTTGATTGATAATCGTAGTAATGGGGATTTAATTTGTTGTCAATCACTTTAGGATCGTGGTCAAGAAGAGGATACTCTGCACTTAATATTGTGGTATACACTTCTAAAGGCTCCAACCTCATTCATTAGCTGTTTTTTTTTTTAATAGCATCCCTTTGCTGTATAAGATGATTAATTTCTCTTTGGAAACGCAGATAAACACCAAACCAACTATAAAATATGTTGCTTAGAATTTTAAGTTTTGTAAATAGACATTTTTTAGTAAAAAAATTTTGGAGTTAAATATCACCCTGCGCAGGGCGCGGATCAAACTCTAGTTTTATTAAAAAGAAAAACTACAAACGAACTCTACGCGGAGTAGCAACTCCGGCCATATCATCTATGAAAACCGGCTTAACAGCATCCGGAACAACTACAAAAGAGTGAAAACCCAAAGGCAAAGAAAACGCATAGTTGGCTAAACCGTCCGCAAGGCGATTCGCTTCCCTATACATATGAGAAATACGGACTATCCAGTCCTTTGAAATGAAGCCATGACACAGACGTACCAGGAAAGACAGCGGATTCGCGTCACTAATCTCTGTCAATAGAAAACCCACAATCATCTCCGAGTCCACCTCCACAGTTACTCTCTGCGCCTTGCTCTCCCACGCCATCAGTAACCCATAATAGACACCCCAGAGTTCCGCCAGTGGAGCGTTACACACGCCAATATTGAGTGCAAAACCCCTGCTCCAAGAACCTCTCTCATCCCATAGAACACCTCCTGCAGCTGCCATGCCTGGGTTACCTCGCGAAGCACCATCCGTGTTCAATTTGACCCATCCATCGCTTGGACAAGTCCACTTGATCTGTCTCTCCACTCTTCCTCTAACAGATGAACTAGTCGTCCCACTCTTAGTCTGTGCCATAGTCACTTCTTTCGCTTGGTCTTTAACAAACTGCACTCGATCTCGGCATTTTCCGGTTCCATCAAACACATTTATGCATCTCCATTTCCATCCCCACCAAATAGTTATAGCGAATAACGTTGCCCACGTAGTCTCCCTAACGCTACAATCATCCCCAAGATTTGTATAGACCCATTCGAGCAGGGACGTCGCAAAGAATTCCCGTCTCTTACTCAGCGGCACCAATCGACGCCACACTCCTTCCATTGCCGGACAGTCACATAGTATATGAATAATTGTCTCATCTCCTCCTTTGCAAACCTGACACATGCCTGAGACGGACAGATGCCTACGTTGCCTCTCCACATTCGTCATGATCACCTGATTCACTCCAAGCCACAGTAACACTCGGATCCTCTCCGGGACTATACACGCCAAACCCGTTGGAACAAGTTACCCAGATCCGGTCGATGCGTGATATCTTAAGTTGTGGATGTATACGCAGAGCTCACTGTAAATTGTCCATCCGAGCTTTCTCCCCACGAAAGCCTATCTCTGATACCAGTGACTGTATCCGTAACAATAGCCCACAGATGCAACATCAAGGAAGCCGGGAGAAAAGGTTCGATATATTCCACCATCCAGCCAGAGCCGTTTCTCCAATAGTCACACACTCGTAACTCTGCAGCCTCATTCGGTATATCCCTCGTTACAACATCAATCAGTGGTCTATCCAACAACCACTTGTCTTTCCAGAACCTGGTCACTTTACCATCTGCAATCACCCAGCTAACTCCCGGTAAAATCACTTCACGCAGACCCACACATATGCCTCTCCACGTGGATGACCACGTTCCTTTAGCCTTTAGCCACTTCTGATCATGGACATCTTGAACGTGGTATTTACTTCGCAACACTTTAGCCCATAGACTATCAACATCATGGAGCAGCCTCCATCCGACTTTAGCCAACAACGCTTTGTTCATTTCCGTAGGTGATCGTATGCCTAACCCACCTTCTTTCTTAGCTTTGCAAACTCGGTTTCCAACTGATTAGATGCTGCTTTCGTTGTTCTGCGCTACTGCCCCACAGAAACGAACGAGATATGCGGTCCAGTTGGTTGAGTGTAGACTTCGGCAAAGAAATAACACTCATAGTGTGAATCGGAATCGAGGAAAGGACTGATTTAGTTAGCGTCATCCTTCCTGCGAAGCTTAAAACCCTCCCCTTTCAGCCAGTAAGACGTGACGAGACTCTTCCAAGGATCTCTCCAAACGTGTCCTTGTTGATACGTTTCTGCAATATCGGCATCCCCAAATATTTTTCCAACTCTCTCATCGATTGGATCCCACTTTCATCTGTGATCAACTTCTCCAAATCTCTACTGACATTCTGGGAAAAGAAGGTTTTTGATTTCTCCAAACTAACATTTTGTCCCGACGCAGCGCAGAAGAGCTCAAGGACTCGCCGTATGACTCTGATTTGAGCTACAGATGCCTCAGCAAATAGTATGAGATCATCGGCAAAGAAAATGTGAGAGAGCTGAGGCCCTCCACGAGACAATCTGATCGGTTTCCACTCTCCTCTAGCTGTGGAGACATCAATAAGATGGCAGAGACGCTCAAGGCAGAGGACACACATATATGGTGATAGCGGGTCGCCTTGTCGTAGTCCTCTCATTGGAACAAACGGTTTAGCCTTCTCCCCATTCCAAAGTAACTGCATTGACGGGCCACAATCGCACTTCATAATCCACTGGATCCACTTCTCCGGGAGCCGAGCTGCTTTCATAGTGTCTTCCAAGAAGTCCCAACGCACCCTGTCATAAGCCTTCTCCAGGTCTAGTTTGAGTAACATCCATCCCTTCTTGCCCTTCTTCCGTCGCATTGAATGAACAGCCTCCTGGACTACTACTATGTTATCCACACTGAGTCTCTCTGGAATGAAACTAGAATGTGCTGGCCCAATCAGTTTGGGCATCAAGCTTTTTAACCTCATCACCATCACCTTTGTGATTAGTTTGAACAAAACATTGCAGAGGCTGATCGGTCTGAACTGTGTTATCCGTTCCGGCTTCTCGACCTTTGGGATAAGCACAACTAGAGCATCATTCATCCCAACTGGTAGTTCACTTTTCTCGAAGAACTCGCTGACAAAACGCTGAACAGAGCCTCCAACCGTATCCCAGCAGTCTTGATAGAATACCGGTTGAAATCCATCCAACCCTGGAGCCTTGTATTTCCCCATACTCCACACTGCCGCAACCACGTCCGTTGGAACAAACGGTCTGTCCAGAAGCTTCAATTCGTCCCGGGTCAATACAGAAAATCCCTCAGGAGGTAACTCCTCTACGGCCGCCTCCACATCATCCATAGAGTATAACTTCTTGTAGTATCCCACTGCCAAGGATTCCAACTCAGGCTGACTTGACACCCACTGACCATCATTATCTTTCAGAGCCTCAATCTTGTTCCTTCGTCGTCTAATCACCGTCGAGGTGTGAAAGGAACGAGTATTCCGGTCGCCAAACATTATGTACTTCTCTCGAGATTTTTGGAACCATATCAGTTCCTCCTGCTCCATCACCACGTCAAGCTCCTTACTCAGCTCCTCTTCTCTCCTCAAGAGGTCGTCTGTCCGCTGCAGTTCCAGGGTTTCTTGTATAGCTTTAATCTCTGTCAACAACTCTTCTTTGCGCTTGTTCACATCTCCAAACACATCACGGTTCCATCTTCTCAGTTTATCACGTAAACAACAAAGAGCCTGTGGAGTGGATACCGTATCGCTCCAGGAATTTGTCAACAGCTCTTTGAAGCTCCCGTGGAGCAACCAAGCTGCCTCGAAACGAAACGGCCTTCGCCGCGGGTCCCTTATCTGCTCCGGACTAAGTTGTACAAAGAGAGGAGTATAGTCAGATGCTAAAAAGGGGAGATGAGTTACCGATGCTTCCTGCCACTTCACTCTCGCGTGAGCATTACAGAACACTCGATCAAGCCTCTTAGCAACGTAATACCTCTCAGTTCGACCTCGCCGCCAAGTGAAGCGATGGCTCTGAAACCCCATATCAATGAGAGAAGTCTCATTGATCTATTCTCCAAAAGCCACTGAATCCGGTGATAGCTGACCATTACCACCGGTCCTCTCGTCTAAGCGTAGGATTGTATTAAAGTCTCCACCTACCATTAGGGGTTCATCAGTCCCTTGTATTACTGATAAGTAGGATTTTTGTATCAACTAATCTCAATCCATACCACTCATGTCATTGTAGTATTTGAGATGTCAATCCAAGTGGAGATTTAAACTATCGAAATAAAGAAAAGGCAAAGATCAAGTTTCGATAAAAGATTGGGTTTTGTTTTGTAAAGATCTATGCTTTAAGCTAACAAGATGAAATAAAGATTTAAACTTTAACAATATAAGATAAAGGAGGCGTCTTGGGTGAGACTTAGTTGGGATCAAACGAGCTCAACCTTCCTTTCTCAACACACCAAGACTCAAGCTTTGTGCTTAGACTTTGGGTAAATCCGCCACTCTCGTGGTCAGATCGCTTTGCAAGCTGAGAATCCAAAGCTAGCTCTCGCTAGTGGACTCAAAGTTACAAGCTTTCACAAGATCTAGTCTAAAAGTGCACAAGATACATCCCAACAACCAATCTCTTAGGTTGGGAATGTTTCTCTCTATCGCTAGCTCTCTTAGGCATTAACGCAAACACCTTCTAGGTGTACTAGCCTAGATTCGCGACTTCAAGTGATCAAGAAGAAGCCGAGATATAAAGCTCTAGCTAAAGAAAAGCTGGTCAAGGGAGATTAAGGAAGAGGTTAACAGGAAGCTAAAGCTCTGACCTTTCCTAATCTCACCCTCGAAACCTCTAAAGAACTACTCGCTACTCATACTCGAACCGAAAGCAAAGAGGTAAAGAAAGCTAGAAATCATCATTAAGACAAGATTAGCAAACTAAGTACTTCTTAAACTTAAAAGATTCAAAGTAAAAGCTTACAAAAGATCTCCAAGAACAAACTGTTTTTCTTGGAGAGAAACTGGTTACAAGATAAAGATTGCCTAAAATTAGGTCTTAAAGGTTTATATAGAGAAGGGAAAAGTGTATCCTTTGGTCAACGTTTTTGCTTTGACTTCACAGATGCGCGCAGCTTGAGCAACTTCCTCAAGCACTCTGTTTCCTTTTGCTCAAGGCTCTGTTCCGTCTTGCTTGTTTTGCCATCCGATTACTCCGATCTCCTTCTGGTCCATCTCCGATCATCACCTCCGGTCCCTCCTTCGCCATAAGCTCCGAATACCTGATAAATGCACCCCAAATGCAATGGAAATGCAAAATGCTATCCTAAAGGCTAAATGATCCTAAGTAGACTAAAGCTACACTAAATGTTATGAAATGAGACTCAATTATACACAGAACTATGCAGTATGAGAGGCTAAATGTATGCAAATGTTGAGTACATCAATTACCTGACTCAGTTTGTCCCACAAGCCGCTTCGACGGCTCACAGACGGCGCCGCCGCATACACCACCACAGATGAAAGGTGGTCCACAACAGCCATTGACTTGTGCATAGATGAACTGGTCGGAAGATTTCACAATTGTAACTGTTCCACACTCTGACCTCCACAACAGCCATAAGCCTCCACTCTGACCTATACGACTCGGAAGGAGTTATCAAACCCCAGTCCTCGACAAATCTTCCCCGCCTTCTCACCACCGGCATGGGTCTCAAATAAAGCTAGAATATCTGTGTTGAATTTCTTCAACATGTAACGAATTGAGCGTCTGGAATTGGGTTTATTCCCCCCCCCCGGAAATTCCACATCAAAAGATTCTTCATCAGATCCTTGTAAAAGCTGAATCGAATTACCGGGGCGGCACATTAACTGGTCGGGATCCCCATAACTTCCGGCGATCGATTCGCCTGCACTAGTATTCTCAACAATCTTGAGAATTTTTGTATTATTGTTTGAATTTTCTTAATGGATACAAAGACCGAGACTCAATTGGTATCTATCCAAACCCGACCCGATCAATTAATATATTCGATTTCTAGTTTGATGGAACCAAGTTCCGGTTGGTTAAGTTATTGTAGAGGATCCGCATCTCATACCCAAGCAATCGGGGTATGATTTTTTTGTTATTTAAACCATTAGTTCGATTTAAGTTATTATTTTTGTATCCAAAGAGTTATCTCTTATTCTTATATCCAAACAATTTTTCTCCTTTATTTTTTATTAGAATGTATTTCTCGATTAATAATATCTTATTATATAAAGCTGGATGCGCACGACGTGGTTGCGACACGTAGGATTTTTATAAAATTCAGGATCGCGACATGTGTCACTTTTAAGTTTATGTCCGTTAAGATCGTGACACGTGTCTTAGGAAAAAAGAGAACTTAAAAAAAAAATTCCAGAAAAATGTTAATTAAAAAAAACGAAATTTAATTTAATCTATTATATCAAAAAGGAAAAAATAATATTTGCCAAATCCAAACAGAAAAAGGTTTCCCATTCATCAATTTTTTTTATATAAAGTTGGATGCGCACGACGTGGTTGCGACACATAGGATTTTTATAATTTATAAGATCGCGACATGTGTCACTTTTAATGTTACGTCCGTTAAGATCGTGACACATGTCTTAGAGAAAAAAAAAAAATAATAATAATAAAAAATTTAGATAAAGGAATTTAAAAAAAATCCATTACAGTTAAAAGAAATAAAAATATATTTGTCATATCCTAATAGAGAAAGGTTTCATTCATCAAATTAATATTATCCAAACAAATAATAAAATCAAAATAATGTAATAAATAAAATCCTATTTGTACATGGAATATGTTATGTAAACTAAATTTCCTATAACTGCATGTAATAGGTTACTTGAACCCCTATAAAAGAGAGTCAAGGTTTCTCAATCATAAATTCATCAAAGCAAATCCCTTTGATTCTATTTCTCCAATTTAAAAATCATGTTTTTGAAAGTTTTGCGATACATAGGATTTTTATAACTGACAAAATTGCGACATGTGTTTTAGAAAAAAAAATTCTGGAAGTATGAAGATCGTAACATGTGTCATGGAATAAAAATAATAAAAAATTAATATGTATAAGACTAACTAAAAATTAGAAAAACAGATAACAAATAATTAAAATAAAAAAAATAATAATCCATTAAAAGTAATAAAAAAACAGGAAAAAAATAATTTAAATTCTTTTGTTACATCTATTAAGAAAAGGAAAAAAAATTTCGAAAAGGAAAAATACCAATATATAGTATTTATAATGGTCTGAGGCAAAATTGAGAAAGAAAAAATATAAATAGAAAACTAACAAAATAATTATCAAGCAATTAACTAATATTAAAAAATTATAATTGATATTCTAATTTTAAATAGTTTGATTTTCAATTTTTGTTAGGTAAAAAAATTGAAATAAAGATTTCATCAATTAAAATCTCTTGAATGGAATAATAAAAGTTTGATTAATTAATCAGTTGATCAGATTTAGACATGTGTAAGTCTTTCTGTATTGGATAAAAATAATAGTAAAACAAATTAATTCATTTTGTCATATCATAAATTCAAAAGAAAAATCAATTACAATAAAAATGTAAAAGTATTACCAATCTTATTTTATTTAAATATTTTTATCGGGTTTTCAATATTATTTTGTTTACGTTTAAAAATGATCAAATTTTGTTTAATATTTTCCATGCTTTTATTATAAAATCTTAAAATATACCCGCGTATACGCGGGCCTTAATCTAATATATATATAGATATAAGTTTTAAATATATAATTATTTCATAACTAGAAGATATATTTAAGACTATTATAGTCTAAATTTGGTAAAAGTAAAAAATGTGTAGATGGACAAATGTTCATTTTTTGGAGGTATATTCACAAATCCCCAACTAAATTCTGAATTTACCAGAAAGTTAAAACAAACTAAGGATATGAAATGAATTTCGTTATCTTCAATGGTCCTCATCAAATACCATCTTCAGTTTCCTTCTGCTAAGCGGACTTTGAGTAAGAGACGCAGAAATAGGTGTGACGTCCTCACGGGAATCTGCCAACTCATCATCCTCCAGTTCGTGATCAGATAGAAGATTTGGATCTTCTGGAGATGAAGTAAAAGGAGCGTTGGCGCTGATATGAACATCTGTTTGAGATTCTTTACTTTGCCCGGTGATGTGGTTTTGATCAGCGTCCTCATCTTTGCCATTGCTAGGCATATGTGGACTAGTTTCATTCCTAATTACAAAAAGAGAGACTGTTATGAGACTTTACTCAAGAGATCAATCTCAGAAGTTTGTTTTAATTCTGATGAGACAACTATGAGTAAAGAGTTTTACCGTTCTGTCTTGTCTTCAGAACTTTCTGGAGTGATCTCATTGTTTGATCTCATGTGCTTCTCGATCTTCTCGCTTTTTCTGCTCTTCCTACAAAAGAAACTTCTCAAAAATCAATTTGGATCGTTCAAGAAACCAAGTTTGATAGTTATTAGTAAATCTTGCTATAAAACCTAGTTACCTCTTCTTGAATGCTGATAATGTTTCGTTGTCAGAGTCATCTTGTGAGGAATCATCATGGTCATCTCTCAGCATCATGCCAGCTTTAGATTTCTTACCAAGAGGGAGAGGAAGGCCAAGTTGCTTTAGTTTACGTGAAACTTGAGCAGTGGTGAATGTGTGTTTCAGAGCCCAATTCATTGGCAATCAAATAAGAGCAGCGTCTTTGGTCCTTGATCTCATTGCTTTATCTCGTGCGCTTGTCAATCTTCTGGCTTTCTATGCTCTTGGTACAAAAGAAAACTCTCAAGAAATCAAATTGGATCGTTCAAGAAACCAAGTTCATGCGATGCAGCAATATGTGAAGGGAATACGGGTTTGATGGCCAACTCAATGCTTGTTGGTTACATGAGATGACAAAACCGGCGAGATGGAATTGATGCGTTCGGGTGGATTTCATGTCTCAGTCATTAATCATGGAAGGTGTTTTAAAGTGTTTTCAGTTGTTCAACATATTTGTCAGTCACGGCTTATGGTGACGCTTTTAAAACCATGTCGGAGGACTTGAAGAAGCAATATATTCGTGCAGGATTTCAATATGACTACTGCGATGAAGATGAACAAGGTGAAGTTTTTTATTATTTTATTGTTTTAACCTATTTTCTCCAGCTCTCTCATGGGGGTGCATGGGACAATTCCAGGTGATAATAAGCTTGAGAGAGTTGAGAGGATGGTACAAGACATGATTCTCTCCTCTTGCAAATTTCGAGAAGGCCAAGTAGTAAATTTTCTTGTCCTCGCAAAAATCTCAGAAGAGCAGATGGTCTATGTTCTTGAGATAATGAAATTGAGAGGTCACAATGCTGTGTTTGCACGTAAATGGCAAAGCCAGGAGGAGGATGGTGACTCCTCGCTAATAGGACGCCTTTCTGAATCTGGAATCAGTGAATGGACTTGTCCCCCAAACCTACTAGACGAAACCTTTGAAGACGAAAGCTTAAAGTGGTGGTAGAGCAAGAGTAATGCTGGATTCAACTATCTTTTGTTTAGTTTATGTTTAAACTCTGCTTGGATTCCTATGGTTTGCATAGCTTTATATTAAGCTTTTTATTTATTTTTTCAAAATGCATTTTAGAATATAGGTTTTGCTTGGGGGTCAGTAACCTTTGTGACTCACACACAAATATACAAAGCATCCTTGGAGAAAAACAACAAAGAGAAAATAGATCACATGGATTGTTCAACGGTAGTGCTCTCCGCGCTTTCGGTTTCATTGATAGGATCTCCTCCTCCAGAGAGGATTCTCCATTGCCATTTCAACTTGACCCAAGAAGTTGGCTCAGTGGTATTATCATCAGGCAGTGCCCATAAAACATGGTAATAAGCTGTTGCCAAAGTCTGGAGGAAACGGAGGAAGGAGGTCGTCTTACCGACCATGTCTTTTGTGATTACCAAAGTATTTGGTCCCATAGTAAAATGGGGACAATTGTCCGCAGACCACAAAAGGAAGTCCACTATCATCCTACGTAGTCTTAAATATTTCTCCTCTGAACAGCAAGGGAGAGATCTATATTAGATTAGATTACAGCAGACATATTTATTTATATATATATATATATATATATAAAGAGTAGAGGAAACTCTGTTTTACCCATGACAGTGATGGTGGTAATTCCAGCGTCTTTATATTCCTGCACAGAATGCTTCGAGAAGGTTTTGCCGCCAGGTAAAAAAGCCCACACAAACACGTCACCAGTATAACCATTATTTTTCAGAGCGAATTTGATATTCTCAACAACCGTAGCCGGATCGAGGTGCTCAGGGATTGGGTAATCTTCTAAGTCCCAGAAGACACCTGTCGAGTTATTACCTTCCACATCTGTGCCTCCCATGTAGAATGATATTGGAGTGAGATCCATGGAGAGAATTCGATCCAGAGACTACTCTTGAAGAAAATAATATATTAGGGTTTCGTTAGATCTGTTCTTGAGAGGTTATCTGCTGGAACGGTGGTTGCTGCGTACGAGAGTGTTATACAACTTCCTTGTCAGTTGGGCTTTATTTCAGTTTGGGCTTTAAATATACTAAAACCCACCTACAAAAGTAACAAGCAATCTTATATATATCTTATCTATATATATAAAACACAGTTGGATCTCTTTTAGGAAGCGCCACGTCAGCAAACTCTATTTTAAACAATACTTTTCCAATTCTCTTTTAAGACTAATAACTAGTAGAGTACCCGCACGTTTGTGCGGTGTGACGTTGTTGTTTTGTGTAGAAAATTTAAACCCTAAATCCGAACCCGACAAAAAACCCTAATCAAAAAATTTAAAAACCCAAACTTTTTTAATAGGTCTAAACATGAAAATCCGAAATAAAAAAATCCCGAAAACCCTGACTGAACAAAAAAATCTGGAAACTTTTTCACCCGGAACCCGACCCCAATACCTAATCAAAATTTTAAAATACTCAATTTTTTTAATATATCTAAACCCGAAAACCAGAAATCTAAAAAATCCGGAAAACCCTAAACTGAAAAAAAAAATTGAACCTAACCCGAACAGAAATTTTCAAAGAAACCCGAACAATTTCTATATCTCTATATATATCTCTATAAAATTATGTCTCAGATTTTCACCCAAACCCGAACTTGTCTATAAAAACCCGAAAATCCAAAAAGCATATTCTATTGATTTGGAATTATCGTTAGATTATGTTAAGTTTTCTTTTTTGCAGATTTTTAAGAGATGGAAAACGGAAGTTTTCTAAACCATCGGTTTATTTTAAGTTATTATTCTTGTATCCAAACAATTTTTTCCATTTATTCTTCTATCCAAATAGATTTTTCTCTTATTCTTATATCCAAACAACTTTTGTTTCCATTTATTCTTCTATCCAAATAGATGTTTCTCTAATTCTTGTATCCAAACATTAGAATGTACTTCTCAATTAATAATATAAAGATTTATTACATCAATCACTTAATCATAATAGAATTTGAAAAGTCATTTTGTATAAGAAAATAGTTTATATATTGATCTAAATAAATTCTAATTTAATAATTTTAGTTTTATCAAATAGATTTTAATAGTTTAATACGAGAAAGGATGGGATGGGGCAATACGAGAAGGGAAAAAAACAGAACGAGGCTGAACGGGACAAGACAAAACGGTATGTGAATGAATAGCAGAACGAGGCTGAATGGGACGAGACAAAACGGTATGTGAATGAATAGGACGGGGAGGAACGAGACGAGAAATAGAACGGGATAAGAGGTAAATTTTGCCTACCTCTTATTATATTTAGAGACGGGACAAGAAGAAACAAAAAGACCAAGATGGGACAAGACAAGACAGGATGGGACTAGACGGGATGGATATGACGGAAATGACGGGATGAAAAGAAACATAATGGAACGGAAAAAACGTGAATTTAGCATATCCCTAATTATATTTTAGGACATGACGGAAAGAAACAGAAAGAACGGGATGAGACTGGACAAAACGGGATGGAACAGTCTCAGACATGATGGGATTGCACGTGACGATACGGACATGGCGAATGGGACGGGAAAAAACGGATATGATAAAAAGAACAAAATGGGAGGAAATTCCTCTGAGGAATGAAAAATGATGGTTCAAATTTTTTGCGTAAACTTAATTATATTTAATTTTCGGAAATTTTTTAGTAACCCTAATTATATTTGATTAATATGTGTATGACATTTTTAAAATAATAATAAATCATATAATTAAATTAAATTTGTGAAAAATAATAAAATCAACACAACAATTTCAATTCCCGCGCGAAGCGCGGGTCACCCCTAGTTCCACATCTAGGAGAGTTGCTCTCTCCAACTAGGCTATCCACATCAGCAAAAAGTTCATTAAATTGTTTTTAAGATATTTAATACATGACTATTCATATTTCTTTACATATATTTATATTTTAAATATAAATAAAACTAAAAAAATACACAACTAAATTACTTAATTAATATAAAGTATGTGATAACTTGATGTTAAAAGTTATCAAAAAATTTGAATATAATGATATATATTTACCTTTTTATTAAAAAGATTTATCCTATTTCAAAATGTTATAATGTGTTTACAAGTTAAAAAGTTGAATATAAATTAATTAAGATAATAAAAAACCAATGAGAAATTAGAGTTAGAGTTTGCTTTTTAAAATAAATAGAAGTGGAGTTTTTATATGTAAATTTAATTGCAGTGAAAAAACATGAAAATTTTAAGGATTGTGATATGTTTGTTTCAAAATATATTCAATTACAAAATTAACATAATAGAAAATAATCAATGGTCATGATGCTCATATGCTACCACAACAAAGTAGATATGTAAAAAATTATATATATATTATTTTTTTCATCTTATTTCGGTGAAAATGCGATTTTACATTATATTTACAAATTTTAACGTTGAGTCAAATACATGTATGCATGTTTATAGTCTAACAGAAGTAAATAAATATAATATTTATAACATGCTAAAATGTTAGAAATAGAAAACTTCAGATAAAGTGGGGTATTGACATCCTAATAAAATAAAATAAAAAGACGCGCGATGTGAGACATGGCAGAAGAAAGCTTTAGGGGATTGTGAATGGTAATGTCCACCATGACCAACCGCTCCATACGGTGCTCTTATCGTTAGCCCTACAAAGATCCATATTTTCAAGCCTAATGATTCACAAGAGACATACCTACTCTTTACTCATGTCAAATCAATAAGAAATGTAAAATAAAATCATAGATAATGACCAATGCTTGTTTTTGTTTTTCATTTACCGGATCTAAGCTGTCTTAAGCGGTTGTTCATAAACTATTATCATATAAACACTTGGTACTACATATTTCAATGACAATGGACAATGACAACAAGAAGCTATATATATATACAGTAGAATCTCTATAAAACAATATTCGATAAAACAATAAACACTATAAGATAATATTTTTCTCCGGTCCCAACTCAGGCCAGTGTAAAAAATAGCATAATGCGATAAGATGATAAGACAATAATATTTTTGAAACTCTATATAAAAATATAGTCCCAACAATAAGCTAAGACAATAATTATAAAACTAATGCATATATATCTAAGACAATTTAGTAAAATATGACTCCAATGTAGTTTGTATTTTCTGAAAATTGGAGGTGTATTCTCAACATGCAGCCAAAAGTTGTGAAGAGTTCTCGAAGCTACAATTGCATCCTTACGTGTAACTACTTGCACATGTCCTTCCTCATCATCTTCAATTTCATCTTCACCATTAAGAACAGTAGACATAATTTCTTATAGACTTTGAACTTCTGAGCATGAAATATGTAAATAACAAAGTATAAGGAAAATTTGAATTAAAAATCTGAAAAAATATATTTCTATAAAGTTTCTTTTTTTGATAGAATATTTCTATAAAATAATAATTATTGTTTTATCGATAAAATAATAATTATTGTTTTATCGATAAAATAATAACTCTATAAGATAATAAAATTTCAAAGTCCCAACATTATTGTTTTATAGAGGTTTTACTGTATATAGTTCTTGAAGAATTGAAGTTTTCTGATAAACCAGCTAGTAATTGACAGTCGATTTGATTGCGTCCAATATCTGCATCAAATGCGAACCCATGACTTGTCAGAAACTGCGTTTTTGGGTCGGAAGATAAGAAAAAGAGGAACTTGCCTTGTTCTTGGTGGGCATGTAGAATGGCTCAAGCACAAGAGGGAATGGAGTGTCCAGACCACAAACACTTGAAGAAGGAATATCAGGATGCAGGATTTCGATTTTGCTTCTGTCATGAACAAGGTAATGATAAGTTTGAGAGAGTAGAGAGGATGGTACAAGACATTATTCTCCGCTCTTGGGAAATTGCACAAGGCCAAGTACTCGCAAATATCTCGGAAGAGCAGATGGTCTATGTTCTTGAGACAATGAAATCGAGAGGTGACAATGCTGTGTTTGCACGTAAACGCTAAAGCCAGGATCAGGATGACTCCTCACTAATAGGACGCCTCTCTGAGTCTGGAATCAGGGAATGTGCTTGTCCAAACCTTCTAGACGAAAGCTTACAAGAGTTAAATCGGCTTTGGACATCTTAGTAAACTCATTCAAACCACAAACAAAAAACAATCAAGGCCTAGCCGCCTAAATTAGATTTTTATTTGGTTTCCTTAAAGCCCAAGTCACTAAAGACAAATCTTCTTTAAGCCACTGATATAACGAAAACCTAATCTTATTTTTCTTGAAAACTCTGTCGACCGTGGAAACCATGTCCAAGGGCGTATTAGCGTGTAAGTTATCTTTCTTGCTCCATCTGTGAAAACTAGTCGATTTATAATGGATCTGTTTTCTCTCTTGTTTTCTTTGTTCCCGTTTTCCTAATTGTTTATGCATTCCTACACCTCGCAGACTCTCACACACACGTTTTCTGGGACGTGGATGATTGGCCAACCCCTAATTTCGAGAACCCTAGGATGATTTTTCGTAATATCAAAATACGTGTACGGGAAGAATTACATGCACAGGAAGAGGGTTATTATAATGGAAGATTGACAGCCATGGCTTATGGTGAGGCTTTTAAAACCATGTCGGAAGACTTGAAGAAGGAATATATTCATGCAGGATTTACCTTCTACTATGAAGAAGTTGATAAGTTTGGGAGAATGGCGAGTATGTTAGAAGACATTCTTCTCTGCACTTGGCAACTTCGACAAGGCCAAGTAGTAAATATTGTTGTACTCGCAAAGATCTCAGAAGAGCATATGGTCTATGTTTTTAAGATAATGAAATCGAGAGGTCACAATGTTGTGTTTGCACGTAAAAGGCAAAGCCAGGAGGATGATGACTCCTCAGTAACCTCACTAATAGGACGCCTTTCTGAATTCGGAATCAGTGAATGGATTTGTCCAAACCTACTTGACGAAATCTTAGAAGACTTGTAATGCTGTACCTGCCATCATTAAATCCAACTATCTATATATGTTTTCTCTGTTTAAACTCTGCTTGGATTCCTATGGTTTGCATAGCTTTATTAAGCTTTTCATTTTTCGTTTATTTCCTCTACTAGAATGTTGTTATCAAAAATTTCAAATTGCTTACCCAAATAATGTTGGAATTAATTGAGTTAGTCCTAAGTTAGCATGTGTGTGTATCAAACGGTGTCTAGTAAAGTTGCAACTCTTGGTTAAATTGTTTCACACACAAGAGGAAGAGACACAACTCTTCGATGTGTTTTTGTCTTAGTATATAATATATAATCCATGTAACACGTGATGTAACAAATCAAGTTTCTGATCAATAAAGTCATATGTTGTTCTTCCTTCTTTTTCATAAGACAAGAGATGAGTTATCTCTTGCTCTGTTGTTGTCTCATTCTTTCTCCTACTTTGTTTTGTAATCAAAACTTCAACAAATAAAACTATATTCCATTTCCAAGTGCATATTATACAAAAAACCTCCTCCGAAATCAAGCTCATCAGAAAACAGGAGAAATTCCTAGCCCAAGTACAAATTTGACTAAAGTTGAAGTGCAAGGCGGTTTGTGTGGAGATTTAACTACTTTTCCATCTAGACCATGTTGCATTCAAGCCAACCATCTGGTGGCTTCTTCGGGAACGTTAAAAAGGAAGCCTCAGAAGCGAGAATGAGCAGATTAACCTAGTTGCTATTTTCTTATCCGGAACCAAAACCTTCCGGTGAAGAACCTCCTGGCTCCTCCTCACCATCTTCGCTTTACTTGTGTTAGTTTCTTCATCTTATTACGGGACTACAACATCTGTGGTTCTTGCAAAAGGCTTTATTGCTGAGGGTGTTAAGGTCTGTGTAACGTTCTCTGGTGATATTAATCTTAAAATTTGTAGTGTTCAGGTTGTGGCTGCTGGGGCAAACCCTGTATTGATCACTAGAGTCATTGAGAAGACAGCAAAGGCTTTGGTTGCAAGTGCCGAGAACGCCCTCTCTACGTAGTGCAAGGAATGCAATTTGATCGTGGTTATATGTCCCCTTACTTTGTCACAGACAGCGAGAAAATGTCAGTTGCAAGGTAAATAAATCTTGATTCTGAGCTCACTTGGTCAAACTTTTCTAAAATCAAGATTGGATAAGAAATTAATTTTTGAAATAACATAAACCATAAACCAAAAACCACAAACAATAAACAATCAAGGCCTGGATTAGATTTTTATTTGGTTTCCTTAAAGCCCAAGTCAGTAAAGAATTCATTAAGCCCCAGATGTAATGAAAACCTAATCTTCTTTATCTTCAAAAATCTGTCGACCGTGGAAACCATGATGTCCAATGGCGAATTCGCATGTAAGTTATCTTTCTTGCTCGATCAAATCGTCGATTTTGAATGGACCTGTTTTCTCTTGTTCCCTTTTACCATATCCAATAACAACATATTTTAAAGTGTTTTCAGTTGTTCAACATATTTGTCAGTCACGGCTTATGGTGACGCTTTTAAAACCATGTCGGAGGACTTGAAGAAGCAATATATTCGTGCAGGATTTCAATATGACTACTGCGATGAAGATAAACAAGGTGGAGTTTTTATTATTTTATTGTTTTAACCTATTTTAAGCTTCCAAAGCATGGTGATACTTCTTTGCAAGTTTCACACGACCGCCATGTCCAGCTCCAAGAGTTTCAAGAATGTTCTGTACGTCGACTTTGACACCATCGATCCCAACGGATGCAAGGTACGAGTGAAGGTCGTTATAGAAGCTAAAGACTTTCTCAGGATTCACCAAACCGAGTCCGTTCTTGGTTATGCTTTCAAGACAGCCACATTTCTCGTTGGACATAACTCCTGGGGAAGAAACTGGATAGGAAACCTTTGATTCGTAATGCTCCATACCGGAAACACCCGGTTTAACTCCTCCCCAATACCCGGTTATCGCGTGCCAAACGTAAACATACTTGAGGGAATTGTTACTCTTGATGTCTTTGATAACGTGTCCAAGACTCAATGCAGGGTCGTCTACTCTGTGGCCTTCTTTGCCATCTTTTTGAAACTTGTGATTCTCCTTTATGTGTGTTAATCTGTTTGCGAAACTGAAAGAAGCACAACAGAGATTAGACTAGAGACATCCAAATATGTTCTAATGTGATTATTATGCTTGCGAATAGAGAGCTTACTTGGCAGCATTATCAGCGTTGAATTCAACACTGGTCTCATCCATGGCAACAGATTGCCATCCGTCATCAATTATAACGAACTTTGGGCTAATCCCACCGGCTTCAAGGCTGCATGGAATTGTTACATGTAAGAGCCATCTAAAAAAGTATGATTCTGAGCCAGGGACAGAGACTAATAATGAAGTATTGTACCTCTCAAGACCTTGCTTGACGTCACTGGCAGTGACATTGGTGTAGAATGCATCCCATGTGCACGAAAAGTCATATCTTGCTTGCTTCATGTACAGTCTTGATATACTGTGTGGTGGACCGTGGGGTTTATATGCAGTCATGATGTGTCACTCAGATGCAGTTAGAATCAAAAGTCATCTCCTGTTACAAGAAGACTTGATGTGATTGCAAGAAGACTTGCACAAAGGCTATATCCTGTTGCTAGAATGGTGGAAGGATCTTCATGAATGTTACCTTGTGCACGCCACGAAATCCATGTTCATCTTTCATCACCATGTTTTTAATATATCAAAGAGAAGTATGAATCAAAGCTACCTAGCTTCTAGCTACGACACAATTATAAGATCGTGAACAAAAACTAGCTAGTTCAGAAACATACACAAAGATAAGAGAAGATAACTGGTATTGCTTCTCATCCTCTTTTAAGTACTAAAAATGTGTTAAGTATGTTTCTCTACACACAAATGTGTTAAGTATGTTTCTTTAAGCACAAAATGTGTTTAGTGTTTTTCAAAGTCTTTAGATATTATTCAAACAATATACTTTTTTTTTTTATTATGATCACAAAGAAGTGATGAAAGATGATTACATTTAAAGCTTTTTTATTTGGTTCCATTTGTATTTATTGATTTTGCAATTACAAAGTGAGTTATACCATGACCAAAGAGTTTTCACATCAAATTTGTCTATCATTAATTAATTAAAAATACCATATTGTTTTGCAGAATACAATTTCTATAGATTTGTTCAAAAATCTTCATTTTTTACTCTTTTGTCAAAAAATCTTCTTCATTTGAATTGCATACCTATAAATAATTAATATATGCTATAAAACCTAAGGAAATCTTGTAAAATATTAGATAATTGTTTTTTATTTAAATTATAAAATTTTAAGAAATATACTTTTTGGGGTGTCAATTTTTAAAACTACATCTCGATGGTGTTAATATTCAAAATTATACTTTTTTCTAAATTTAATATCTAAGTTTGGGTTCACTAATCCTAAACTAGAGTTTAGATTTTGGGGTTTAGGGTTTAAATATAATATTTTGGGATTTAGTGTTTAAATATAAGAGTTTAAGGTTATATTTTAGGGTTTAGAGTTCTTTTAATCAATGAAAAAATGTAATTTTAAAAATTGACACCTTAGAGGTGTAATTTTGAAAATGTACATCCAAAAATGTGAAGTTTTGAAATTTCCCTAATTTGATTTATAAAGGTATAGTTTTCATTACATCAAATTTATCTCTCTTTAGTTAAAAATACCATATTGTTTTCAGAATACCATTTCTATATATATTTGTTCAAAAATCTTCTTCATTTTAATTGCAAGGCCTATAAATAATTAATATATGCTATAAAACCTAAGAAAAACTTGTAAAATGTCATATAAAGATTATTAATTTTATTAAAATTATAACTTGATTTATAAACGTATCTGTTAAAAATTGTACTTTATTACTTGAGTTGGTTTATTAACAGAAGAAAAAAAACAACTATTTACAATCCTTTGGCCCCTGTTTGCTTTTTCATCTTCTCCAACCTCTTGAGTGCTCACCTTAATGGCTTGCAGAGGAATAGAAATTATATCGTTATTTTTGTACCAGATCTGCAATCCCAGGTATGTGACTGAAGGCTCTTCTATCAAAGTATACAGATATCTCTTAGCTTTGCCGATTTTTCTTGCTGGAATATTTCCAGTTCAGAATAAGAAGAAGTAAGTCTGATTGCAACTGTTCTTTTAGGTCTTATTACAAAATTGAGGAACATATAGATGAGGAGAAGACTAATAAAGATTTGTATCTTCCCTCGGATCTTGTACGTGTAATATTGTCTCGTCTTGCTTTGAAAGACAACATACGCTCTTCTGCTGTTTGCAAGACGTGGTGCGAGATTGTTGCTTCTGTTCGGGTCAGAGATCCGCGTTTCTGGCTTATGTATCTTGATCGATATCAACCCTATGGCGTCTATTACGGGTTTGACGACCCGGTAGAGAAGAAGAAGACAAAGGCAATGATGGGTTTTCCCGAGTTATCTAAGCATTCGTGTATCGTTTATTCCAATGATGGGTGGTTACTCATAAAGGAGAGTCCTTCTAACGATGTCAAACATTTCTTGTTCAATCCTTTTACTCGGGAGCGGATAAACTTGCCTACAAACGGTCTGAGAATGGCAACAATGAAATTTGCGTTCTCTTGTGCTCCTACAAAGAAAGATTGTTTGGTATTTGGTATTGATACATGGAGTGTAAGTCTATATGGTAGAGTAAGAATCAGCACTTGGCATCTTGGTGCAACTACATGGGTAGAAGAAGACTTCCCTGACGTGATCTCCGTTGGAGGTACAAGAAACATCTTATACTCGGATGGTCTCTTCTATATGGCAGCGGAAGTTTCACTAGGGGTATTTGATGCATCTGCACGCACTTGGAACGTTCTTCCTGTGCAGCCGATCACTATCGCTGGCGTTGATGCTTGTGACACGATCAGGTGGTTAACTGAGTATAAAGGGCAGATATATCTTGTAGATGCATCGTCAGCGGAGCCGATGGTGTTTAGGCTAAACCGTTTGGAGTCGGTTTGGGAGAAGAAGGAAACATTGGATGGTTCGTCGATATTTGTGAGCGGTGAGTCGTGCGTGATGGCTTCTGGCCTCACGGGGTCAATGAGTAACGTTTTGTATTTCTGGAAACGTCCTCTCAAACAAAGGCTTCCACTGAAGGAATCGCCCCTTCAAATTCTCGACTGGAATAGCCCCTTCAAGTACTCTTTATATAGCAGGAGTTTGTGTGAAGAACGTGAAGGGGACTATCGGATGGTGCCTGGATCCACCTATTCTGGTACGACGAATAATGTCTGGATCGAGCCGCCCCACAACATCTCTATCTCTGATTACTCACTTCTTCCCTCCGATGATGCCATAAATACGCGTCTCTTTATTTGAATATCATTCTCAGCTTTTGAGTCTATTGTTGTAAGTAACATATGTTGTTGTGTGTTGTCTATTGTGACCGCAAGAGATGACTAAGCCCCCTTTCTTTCTGTTTTACATTCAAGACAAAAAAACAATGACTAATAGATTATCTTGCTTCCTGAAAGATTGTTACCTGACGTTAGTATCAAGCAATTTTGCCGCTTAAATAAAACGATTAAGACTGATTAAACATTAGAGATCTTAACTCCATATAGGACCTTTGATTTTTTTTTGCCTCGTTTCCTCAATTTTACAGGCACTTGGAAGCTATAGAGGCAAGGCTTCTTCGAGCTTCATTCTCGGTGTTTGTAGACGTTCTGACAGTGTCGAGTTAAGTGTTTCTCTGAGCCCAAAACCTTAGGATTTTTTCACAGATTTATAATCGAACAAAAATGTAGTTTACTAACACAGGTTTAGTTCTGATTTTCAGTTAAAACAAAAACAATTTACTTAAGATTGTAAATACCATAGAAGGAACCAAATGCAGTAACAAATGCAGTAACGGCGTTGATATCGTAGCAAATCAGTCATTTGTGTTTTGTGATCTCTCCTACATGAAAATTTGAAGGAACCATTTGAAGTTGTTCTAGTCATTTATCACATCCTGTTTTTCATTTTTTTTCTCTCCTTTGATTTCTTAATCAAATCCGGTTTTGAATTTTTATCTTTTTCTAAAACAATCAAATTTATTAAAAAAGAGAATATATATTAACAAATCATGATAATATATTGTCATATTTATTATGGTTTGCTTATGATTTGCATATATTTTTCTTATGATTTGCTTATGTTATATTATATGAATTATGAAATACTTTTTCCGTTTCAAAATAGTTGTCATGGCAAAATGTATCTGCAATTATTTGAATGTATCTGAATTACAAAACACATTCAGATACGTCCAAATAATTACACATACATTTTGCCAAAATGACAATTATTTTGAAACGGAAGGAGTATGAATTATGAATTATGACCACTCCATTAATTGGATTATGAATTATGAATTATGCAATCGCAAACCACATGGCTAAGTATTGCCTATTATAAAGGTGAAGAATATAAACACAGTAACTGAGACTAAAATGGATGAAAAAACAGTTTATGCATATTGAAAATCGTGACCACTCCATTAATTGGATTCAAGTAAAGTTGTAGAGAAACGCATATAGGTAAACTGAGACTAAAATGGATGACAACAGTATTAAAGTAGATTTGTATAAAAACGCAACTAGGTAATCTGCGACTGCGACTGCGACTATAGTGGATGAAAACAGCTTATGCATATTGAAAAACTTGGCCACTACAGTAATTGGATTAAAGTAGAGTTGTTATACAAACGCAACTAGATATCTCGAGTATATATATATATATATTTTTTTTTTCTTTTTTTTTTCTTCAGATATTAACAAAACTGTTTTTCCTAACAATTGGTGGAAAATTCAAAATTCACTCGCTCGGCATAACTTGGCAGCCATTTTGTTCATGAAGAAACAAATCTTACCATTGAGAGAGAGAGATTCAAGAGCAGGTGATGCCATTTCTCCTTGAATTATTTGTTATCATTCTTAAGAAAATATAAGCTCCGAGAAAAATAGGAGATTTATATATGTATCTATATGATTTTTTAATAGTATACCAAAAAGGTTTTATTAAATAAAACTAGGGAATAAAGCCCTGCGCAAGCGCGGGGTTATTGCAAAAATAATAGTGTGTTTTTGGTATTCGTTGATTAAAATTATGATAATTTTATGTTAATTTTTGGTGTATATGTTTTGAGCTAATCCAACTACTCACATTAAATATGTTTAATATGAGTTTTTAGTTAAGATGTTAACTCTATATTTCATATGTGGTTCTTTTTTTTCTATTAATCTAACAATTTTAAAATTTTATTTATTCAGTTTCAACAGACAATAAATTAGCACTAAACACGAATAAATAAGTTAAAAACATGGTCTCGAATCACATTTTGACTTAAAATATGTTAATAGACAGATTTTTTTTTTATGGAATACTGTTTGATCATGATGATCATTGATTTTTATATACAAATTTAGTTTTGTAAATTTAAATTGTATCTGTAAACCAGACATATCATAATCCTTAAAGTTTATAGTTCTTCCTTCTAATTTTGCATAACCTTTCTACTATGTTATCTAAATTATGTTATATATTTTATAAATTTTACACATATTATAACATTTTACAATAAATAAATCCTCTATAATAATTTTGATTATTAAGAAGACTATATACTATTTACTTATTTAGAGTAATATATATATTTTTTCTCCAATTTATAGTACAATTTAAATTCAAATTTGATACCAAATTATCACTTTCATCATATTTCTTAATTAGTTTTTATGTATTTTTATTAATTTTTTTTATGTATTTATTTGGAATATATATATATATATATATAAAGGAATATGAATAGACATGTATTAAATATTTTAAATACAATTTCCTATAATATAATATATATAAGATATATGAATAATTTCATTTCTTCTTCTGCTACAGTGCAACTGAATCGTTGTATAATATATCCGCAAAATTTAGAACAACAAAACTCTTAAAAACAAAAGGGATGAAGATTATATATGCCCTAGTGAAGACAACTTGAACACCAAGCAACTAAACTACATACAGTTGCGCTATGCAACAAAAGCTTTCTAAAGGATTGACTAAGAGAATGCAAGAATCAGTCAACTAGGAGAATGCAAGAATCACATTTTGACATCCACTGCCCTGTAATCAAGCTTGTATGCATGCATGTCTAAACTAATTCGTAAAGCTGGTGTTCCTTTTAACGAGTTTAATTTCGTTAAGCTTTTAGGTGCCTCTTCGTTTCTTGGTTTGGAGTTTGGTAAAATGATTTATAGCAACGTAATCGTTTTGGGGATTCCGGTGAACTTCGTGTTGAAGACATCTCTCGTTGAGCTCTACTAGAGGTTCTCTGAGATGGAAGATGCTGTGAGGGTGTTGAATTCGACTAGAGAGCAGGATGTGTTTCTCTGGACGTCTGTGGTTTCAGGGTTTGTTAGAAACTTGAGAGGCAAGGAAGCTGTTGCTGCGTTTCTTGAGCTTGTGTTCCTCTGTCAGGTCGCTGGATTTAGGCAAGCAGATTCATTCACAGACGGTTAAGGTCGGTTTGGAGGACAACACTGACGTCGGAAATGCACTTGTGGATATGTGTATGAAGGTGAGGAGAGGAGAGATATGTGTGGTTTAATGAGTTAGGCAAGCATGAGATGGCAATAAGTGTCATCAGTGATATGTGTTGTGTTGGAATCAGAATGGATCAGTTTTGCTTACCCGGGTTTATCTCCGCTTCAGCCAACTTGGGAGCTCTTGAAACTGGGAGACATCTTCATTGTCACTCTGTGAAAACAGGGTATTTTAGCTCTGTTTCGGTTTTGAATAGTTTGCTTGACATGTACGGTAAGTGTGGTAGCTTGGAAGATGCCAAGAAAGCGTTTGAAGAGATAGCTAAACCGGATGTGGTTTCTTGGAACGGGTTGCTATCTGGTTTGGCATCAAACGGTTGTGTTTCATCTGCTCTCTCTGCATTCAAGGAGATAAGGATGAAAGGAACGAACCTGAATACCTGCATGGTGACAATGCTCAGCAAGCACAATGGAACTTAGGAACAGGAATCTTGCAATGTAGAGCTTGCAATAGCCTTAACTTCATAGCCTTAACTTCATGTTACAACAGGAATCCACTCACACATTTGAGAAAAACCTGATACAACAAAAAGTTCCTTTAAGTTGTTAAAGTAGTTTTCTAATGGAACTTAGGAACAAAAAAGAAGAAGTTCTTTTAACTTGTTAAAACAATGAAGAAAGAAGCACACAAATATTACCTAATGGAACTTATAACAAATACAATAGAACTTGAAAGAGGTTACAAATACGATATTGAAAAGAGCATTATCATAATTTCAAGTTTATTTATTTCATATTAACAAATAAATTATTTTAATCTTTATACATTATCATATGGACAAGATTAAAGTTTTAGCACATCATGTTTTTCATTTTTTTCTCCTTTGATTTCTTAATCAAATCCTGTTTTCTATAGCAATCATATTTATTAAAAAGAGAATATATATTAACAAAGCATGATAATATATTGTCATGTTTATTACGGTTTGCTTATGATTTGCATCTATTTTTCTTATAATTTGCTTATGTTATATCCCGTTTCAAATTGTCATTGTAGAGATAAACTTTTGTTTCATATTACTTGTCATATTTTTGATGTAGATTAATGACATTTTCCAGTTTTATCCTCCAATTTTTTAGCTTACTGATTATTATTATTATTAAAATAAAATAAAATATTAAATATGGGTAAAATAGCAAATTTAATGAGTTTCTTAATTTGCATAAATTTTTTATCCATAACGACAAATAAAAAGAAAAGAAGGGAATACTTATTTGTGTGAAGAAAGTTTTTGACAGCTCTTTTCTATAGAAATTAAATTTTTGATTTCTGAATAACAATAGTTTATCTATTTTATTTATTAAGCCAAATTGTTTAAACTATAATTATTCAGTACTTTGATTCTCTCGGTCATTGTTGTATTCGCTAATTCTTATTTTCTAATTATTCAATGCACTTGGCGTCCTGGTGCAACTACGGGGCAAATCTGCCAAGTAGGAAAGTTGATGAAAGTTGTTTTCTTTAAAGTAAATTATAGGCTCTTTTAAGAGCTCCCTTCATCAACTTCAGCTCATCAAAGCAGGAACCACCAAGAACAATCTGAAAACCACCATGAAAACAACATCTTTGAAGTTTGAAGAAGCAAGAACATACTCTTAACGTTAACGAGTTATTTCTTCAAACGGTGTTTCATTGTGTTGATGAGTGTGATCTTCTTCGTAAGAAATATTTTTTTCATTCTCAAGAGAGACTAATTCCTCAGCTAGCACAAATTGTTGGTGTTAAATCTTGCGAAATAGAATCAGCAAAAGCTTTGCCTTCCTGTTACAATAAGTTTCCAATCACACATCTATAAAAACAAATCGCAAGTATAATTTTAGGAACTGATGTTATCAGATTTCTTTACCTCAACCCCTATTGGTCCTTTCCACAAAATCATTTTTGGATTCTCTCGACACTATGGTATTGCTGAGTTACATGGTGTATAGCTAAACACCAGACCATTGAAAATATAGCTGCAGAAGGAGATATAAACTCAGAAAGTCAAATTGAAGAGAAATTATAAAAACTTTGTAGCATACCTTTTTGTAGAAGTTGCTACACACTTGATCTTCAAACATTTTGGAAACTTATCAGCACATATCGATTCCATCTGATCAATAATCTCTCCAAATGAACCAGTAGAAAGAGTGTGATGTTCTTTGATTTCTCCCATGGTTCTACAACATTAAAGACAAGAAAATGCATTATCAAAGTAATAGAAGGAATTTCAAAAAACAATCAAGTTGAAACCAGTGAAATCAATAGTCAAGACCAAAAGATTATGGTATGCTTCTCGGAAAATGAAGAATATAAAGTTTATGGTATGCTTTATCAGATAAGCAGAGTACAACGCAGGAAACAAAAAAAACTAGATCCTTTGGTATTTTTTTCCCGAGAAAATCAAATGGGAAAAAAACTCACCTCTTTGGTTAGCAACGCAGCAATCCTTGAATCTAACACAAAACGAACAGAAAGATTAAAAACCTAGACTCCACAATGCGTCAACAATCCAAAAGTAAGCCAATCCACAGAGAAACAAAACTTTACCGGGAAAATGATTTGGGGAAAAGAATCTAACAATTTCTTGGCGATTTTCGAGGTTTCGAATGTTGAAAATTATTTTAAAATATTTTTGAACTTAACTTAAATGGGCCTAAATGCTTCCTTCTTAAGGCCAACAAAATCTACCAATTACCGCATTAACGAACTGACATAATTTATTCAAAAATACGTTTATTAATATTACTAAAACCTGCACAGTGCGCGGGATTAAGAATATACAAAATTTTAAACTGTATCTTAATTATTTAATAAATAGATGCTATTTATATTTCTTTATATTTATTCATATTGTTAAATATATGTGAAATTAAGAAAAATACACAAATAAATTAATTAATTAATATCAAATATGTGATAATTTGATGTTAAAAGTTATCAAAAAGTTGGAATATAAAATGGAGATGGAGTAAAGAAATATTTAATTTGAAATAGTATATATTTACCTTTTTATTAAAAGGATTTATCCTATTTTAAAATGTTATAGTGTGTTTAAAAGTTAAAAAGTTGAATATAAATTCATTAAGATAATAGAAAACTAATGAGAAATTAGAGTTACAGATTGTTTTTTTTAAAGAAATAGAAGTTGAGTTTTTATATGTAAATTTAATTGGAATGAATTTTTTTTTTTAAGGATTATGTTATTTTTATTTTAAAAATATAATTTATATTTACAAACTAACATAATAGAAAATAATCAATTGTCATGAGGCTCACATATTAGCACAACAAAATAGATATGTAAAAAAAGTATAGATATTATTTTTTTATCTTATTTCGGGTGCAAATTCAATTTTACATTATGTTTACAAATTTTAACGTTGAGTCAAATGCATAAGCATGTTTATAGTATAATAGAAGTAAATAAACATAAATAGCATGCTAAAATTTTAGAAATAGAAAATTCGAGATAAAGTGGGGTGTTAACATCCTAATAAAATAAAATAAAAAACAAATTGTTCATATTTTTTTTAGTGTTAGTGGTTAGGTTAACTCAAAACGTAACAAAAATATGAAAGTTAACATAAAACCATCATAATGCAAATCAACAAATATAAATTTAACTAAACAGAAAAATTATCGCAAACAACTCCGCACTTGCGCAGGTCTTCAAACCTAGCATATCTAGTGGTTACCTTTTAATGTCAGGAAAGATCCAATGTTAATTTTCAAAACTACACTTCTGTGGTATTATTTTTTTTAAAATAGACACCATAGAGGTAGAGGTGTAGTTTTGAAAATATATATACACAATGTATGGTTTATATCATTGTTTGAATTTTCTTAATATTTATATGTTTAAATATAATTATTTCATAATTAGAAGATACTATATTCAAGGCTATTATAGTCTAAATTTTGTAAAAGTAGAAACTGTGTAGATGGACAAATGTTCATTTTTTTGGAGGTGTAAACTCACAAATCCCCAAAGAATTTCTGGATTTACCAGAAAGCTAAAACAAACTAAGGAAATAAAATGAATTTCGTTATATTCAATCATCCTCATCAAATACCATCTTCAGTTTCCTTCTGCTAAGCGGACTTTGAGTAAGAGACGCAGAAATAGGTGCGACGTCCTCACCGGAATCTGCCAACTCATCATCCTCCAGTTCGTGATCAGATAGAAGATTTGGATCTTCTGGCCACGAAGTAGAAGGAGCATTGTCGCTGATATGAACATCTGTTTGTGATACTTTACTTTGCCCCTTGATGTGGTTTTGATCAGTGTCCTCATCTTTGCCATTGGTAGGCACATGTGGACTAGTTTCATTCCTAATTACAAAGAAGAGAGACTGTTATGAGACTTTCCTCAAACTTTACTATAAAGTATAAACCGGATGAGACAATTATAAGTAAAGAGTCTTACCGTTCTGTCTTGTCTTCAGAACTTTTTGGAGTGATCTCATTGCTTGATCTCGTGTGCTTCTCGATCTTCTGACTTTTTCTGCTCTTCCTACAGAAGAAACCTCTCAAGAATCAATTTGGATCGTTCAAGAAACCAAGTTTGATAGTTATTAGTAAATCTTACTATAAAACCTAGTTACCTCTTCTTGAATGCTGATAATGTTTCGTTGTCAGAGTCATCTTGTGAGGAATCATCATGGTCATCTCTCAGCATCATGCCAGCTTTATATTTCTTACCAAGAGGGAGAGGAAGGCCAAGTTGCTTTAGTTTACGTGAAACTTGAGCAGTGGTGAATGTGTTTTCAGAGCCCAATTCATTGGCAATCAAATAAGAGCAGCGTCTTTGGTCCTTGAACCTGCACATAGACAACATTAAAGAGAAAGGAGTCAATAAAAGTGTTGCACAGACAGAGTTTATGCGGAGGATGGGAAATTTGATACACTCACTTCTCGTAAAGTTCCTTAATAAGCGTTTCTTGTTCTTTGCTAAAAGAACTCACTCTTTTTCTTGTGTTCCTGTTTCAAATGCAGTAGAGGAGAGTCGTTAAAATCCGAAACTAAAATATGTAACTTTGAAAATTTCGTAAACTCTTAAGAGATACTCACGAAGGTTGCTGATCTGATGCTGCCTCAACGTGATCTAGATCATCATTTCCATTTTTGCCGCCACTTGCTTCCAGAGAGCTATCACCACGCCGATGCCTTTTCCTTTTTTCTAGACCTAGCTGTTTAAGCTTGTTGGTTACTTGTGCCGCAGAAATTCCACCATCAGGGTCCAAAGTTTCGGCAATAAGCCGGCTGCAATCTTTATCATCTTTGAACCTGCAACGATTTCATTATAAGAAACCAATTGAATCAAACTGTAATATATATCATGGAGTTTCACAACTTCCAAAGCTTATGAAATCAAAACCATTATATTACTTAAGTAAGAAATAGCAGACAATGCTGAATGATTTGTGACGCATCGAACAAACTTACGTTTCATAAAGCTCTTTAATTTTTATCTCCGTATCAGTATCTAAAACAAGTCTTCGTTTTCTTTTAGATGGTCCTGCAGATTCTTTTTCCACGAAGTTATCGTTATCGTCATCGTCCTCGTCCTCACTGCAGCAAGCAAAAAATCCCAAGCATTAGCAAATAAAAATGAATCGTATCTGCAGCTAACAAGAAACAAAAGGTATATAGACTAATATCATATGGGGAAGTTTGTCTTCTATCAAATGACAACCTTTGGTACTTTTGAAATCCTCGATCATAAGATATCACCACATCAGCTTCATCATCACCTAGAGCATCTGCTAGGTTTCTGGGGGCCCATCCTTTGTCCGATGGCCAATCAGTTTCCTCCGTTCCTGAGACCTTCTCTTGATTTCCCATTTGTTTCCTCAGATGGCCAAGCTCATGCAACATGTACTCAGCATTTATGTAATGGCATTCTTTTCGACTCTTTGGGAAGAGAATTTCCACAAAGAGTAGAGGCTGTGACTTCATTTTCTTCAACATATTCCTAACCAGATCTGTCAGGAAGGTCACTATGTTTTCATAGTCTTTACAAGGACAAGCTTTCTGCTCATCAAGGATCTTATGGAATGTTATTAGCAGAGACAGCTGCAAAATTAACCCAATAAAGTAGTGAGGAAGATGCAAGAAATTGAAAAAAGCAATGTATCAGTTGGGGGATGTGATTTAAAACACTAACCTGATACAACATGGGAGATAGTTCCAGTTCTTCTGTAATTCTCCGCAAGATGCTTACAATGTGGTGATTCGTTTGTTTTGGGTTGCTTTTGTAGAACTTTAGCAACCAGCATATGTTTTGAATGATGCTGTTGTTTGCAAAAGCAGAAATGAATGTTGAAACCTTGAAATCAACTTCATCTGTTGCATTTTGCTCTTCGCCATCAGAAGAATCGTCAGTGCCGCAAGACAAATCATCAACCAAATGATTTGATTTAGGGCTGTGTGTATGATGAGTTTCATCAGCTTCAGGCACATCCATCGGTCCATCCTCAGTTGAAATTGTTGAATTAACCATCGGTGTGCCTTTTGCAGTGTTAGCTTCGTTTGATTCTGGATGATCTTCATTTAGTTCGTGCACTGTGGCCTCTTTATTTCTCATGGTTTTTTTCTTTCTTGCCTTCCTTGATTTTTTTGAAACCTGGGGCATGAAACAGACGCTTGGTTAAAGCATTGCATAAATAACCCTTACGCCTTGTTAATTAGCTTTGCATATCATCAAATCAGAGTTTGATACCCAAGCAGTTACATACCCTCAAAGTTCCACGACCTTGAAGGTTTTCCATAAGGCCTACTATTGTGTGAATGCTTTCGACCAGGTCTCCAAGCTCACTGGCAAGAAACAAAAAGTAATCACAAGTAAAGCACAGTGATACAAGAAAAACATGAAAATGAGCTTTAGAGTCACACATTCTACAAGTCAAACAAAAACATTATGCATCCTGTCACGACGATGATAAATATGTTCCAGGATCCACAAACTATATATATCTCACTACAAGAATTAACAATCCCTTATTGCAAGATAATTTATGGCCGCCAGACTCTGGAATAAAAAGAAACAGAAGTATCAGCCAACCTTTTAGGTTGCTTGTGCGTGTCAAAACTTTTCACCAGATTCAGGATGAACTGACACATCCCTTGATCAGTTTGATCGTAAAACAACTTATAAAGCAAAATGCGGACAGTAGAAGCTTCTGTAGAGTCTTCAGGTAGCAATCTAAGTACCAGATCTAACAAGCAAAGCTGCATTGCATAAAAACAAGTGAACAATACACACCATGAGTATCCACTAATTATTTCTGAATAAAATGCAGAAAGGAATCGACAATAATTTTGTTTCTCTCTCTTACTGGTAAACCACTGACATTTGCATATATCTGATTAAATACAGGAAGCCAAAAGAGCAGTCTAAGCAAATAAGCAGCATATTGCGTACCATAGTTTTCACAAGAGAGCCTGCTGCAGATAGAAACTTAAAATCTTTAGTTTCCTTCAGACCATCAAACGCACTGCGCCATTTTGAAATGACAAGCAAAAACATTCTGTCATTAATCGTTGCTGCAACCGGAGCACAAATGTCGCTCTTAGAGAAGTTTCCTCCGGCATTCTGGTCGGTAGAAGGTTCAGAAGTTTCTTCTGTTCCTCTTCCTGGCTGAAAAGAAATATAAGCCAGGTCACTCAATAACACGGAGATTAAACATTATAGAAACTAAAGCTGAGCAACTTAGACAAATGAAATGGAGACAAAACCAAATTAGTTCAGCTACTCACATAAGAAGCCGAAGACTTGTGAAGCTGAAATGAGGTGACGGCCTGAGCAACTTGGAAGAAAATAACAATGTCGCTATTTTGAAGATGCTCCTTTTCTATATCTTCACAGACTGACTTCATCAGAACTACGAGATATGGTACACTGGGCATCAGCATCAATCAAAGGTAGCTAAAAACAAGTATAAGCAAAATTCACTCCTCTATTGTCACGTACCATTATATCCTCCTGACATAAACTGACTGATGAAATCATGTAGCAACTTCAAAACATTGTCATTTGTCACGGACATTGGTCCATGTTCCCAGACAATCTTTTCTGCGGCTCCACGACCTTTGTGAGGCTTTAGCATTGTGCTCTCCTCAGTAGAAGGTATTCCCTTTAGTACAGCTTTAGTGCCACCCTATCAAAAATCTCATTCAAATTAGATATTTTTTTTCTTTCTTTAGCATATAAACTTTTTAACAATCATTGTGAGAAACAATACCATTGTAACACGAGTGAATGTCCCACCAAATTGTGAATTACGCTGCTGATTCATATTGTGGAGTCTTGCAAGCTTCCTCTTGGCTCCCTCCTCTTCCATTAACTTCTTCAAGCTCTCAACAGAAGCCTTTTTCCCTTGATCCAACTACCATAACAAAAATGGTCGACCATCAGCATCAATACCAAAGAAACTACCGTATTGATCCGGTTGAAATACACTGACCTTCTCATTAGCCTTTGCAATGAGCTCCATATCTTGACCCAGGAGAATATAGTGATAGATCTCCAGCAGAAGCAGGTTGTCATGTCTCAGCAAACTGTTACGAACCTCAATAGTCTGAGTGATTACTAGAAATATGTCCATCACGTTCTCACGGGACAGAAGTTCAAGAAACTGATCCCTCAGCGACAGAAAGTAACAAGTGGACTCTCCAGCCTTCTGAATCGGGGAGATGTCATGGATAGCCAGTAAATTCCTGAACAGAGTGAGCACAAGCTGAACCAGTTTCCAGTCTTCCTCGTTGAATTCATCTCTGGCAAGCCAAAGCAGAAGAATCAGAAAACTGAATGGAAATTTCACAATTCTCATAAGCTTTTATTGAGTTGGGAGAGACTTACGACTCTAAGTTCTCGAGAGGGGTTTCTAACAAGGAAACAATCACAGCAACAATGTTACTGAAAGTAATGGCAGATTTCAAGCCCCATAGATACTCAATCTGCTGAGGAACATCATCTGAATCAGGCTCTATAGGCATTGTGAGAAACACCAACACCTTAACTGAACAAAGCAGATTACCAAATTCCATCAGAAATGTACAAATTTTTTGAATTGGAGAAAAAAAGGGAAGAAGAAAGAAGAGTACCTGCGTTTAGAACTAAGTTATGTTCATCTTGGTAATGCTCAATGATCGGAATCAAATCTTTTGAGACTATATTCCACGCACAGACCTGCTTGAAAACTTCCCTGCTCTCTGGATCGTCGCGTCTCAAAAATCTCAGCAAGTCTTTCAGATTGTCTGCCATTAGAAGAAAAAATTTGAAATTGAACAGCTGAAACTCCGTAATCAGATATCGGCAAAAATCAATTTGGGCGAGGAAAAGTTAGATTGGTTTACCGAGACAGTAATCACTTTTGGAGTACCCAATTCTTCTTCTATCGCCGTCTTCCTCGACGACACCGAGATCGCTGCAGATGACTGATAAACCCTCCAAATCCATCTTCTTTTTAGTAGAGATTCTCTCCTCCACATCCATTTCTGTCAGCAGATTGTGGTTTCCTCTCAAAACAAAATTGAAATTAAACGCTCCACGAAATAGATTATGAACGATGAAACTTCGAATCAAACAGACAATTCTCTTCTTCTGTATCAGTATTGCTAATCTCAGTGAATGATTAGGGCTCTTGTTGGCGCGTATAGTTCCTGAGATTTTCCCGCCATTTCCCAATCCTCAAACGTCAAAAGTCAAAACAGAACACTAAAAGATTTGGCCCATGAGTCAGGGTGTTATTGGGCTTAAAATGGGCCGCGGATCGAATTTATACGCCGTCGTTTAAGATTCGCATTTTTTTTTTCTAAAAACGAATTAATTTTCCAACTACTTTATATGATTTGTCACTCTTTCGATACGAACTAAGCATTTCTTCTTCGTAAATTCCGCCGAAAAATCAAATCTTCACTACTCTCTGAGCTCTCTCGACCTCCTTGCAAACTCTCACCTCTTGAAAATTCGCTGTTTACTCTACTCGGAAGTGGAAATGGCTCAGGTGGTTGCTACCAGGTCGATTCAAGGCTCGATGTTATGCCCCAACGGTGGATCTGTGTCTACAAGATCCGACAAGTTTCTGAAGCCGGCGAGTTTCGCGGTGAAGGTTCTGGGGAACGAAGCGAAGAGGAGTGGGAGAGTATCTGTGAGAAGCAGAAGAGTTGCTGATACTACTGTGAGATCCGCTCGTGTGGAGACTGAAGTCATTCCAGTCTCTCCCGAGGATGTTCCTAACGTATGTGACCTTGGCTTCTTTTTTGTTCTAGATTTCTAATCAAGTAATAGTTGAGAAAGCATTTCAATTTGACCAGAAACTATCCATTTCGCTTTGATTTTGAATGAAACAGTATAAAGTCTACTGCTTAGGGTCTAGTGAAATGTTTTGACCAGCTATTTTAGATGTTTGAATCTGAAAAATTGATCCTTTATTATGTTCAATCGATAACTGAAGTGTATTCCCCTGTTTTGGTGTTCAATGTGAATTGTAGAGAGAGCAGCAGCTGGAGAGATTGTTGGAAATGCAGCAGTTTAGTGACACATCAGTAGGGGTGTGGTCGAAACCGACGGTGAGGAGGAAGACAAAGATTGTGTGCACGGTTGGTCCATCAACCAACACGAGAGAAATGATATGGAAACTGGCTGAAGCAGGGATGAATGTTGCTCGGATGAACATGTCTCATGGGGACCATGCTTCGCATAAGAAGGTTATTGATTTGGTCAAAGAGTACAATGCGCAGTCTAAAGACAACACTATTGCTATCATGCTTGACACCAAGGTTGGTACATTCTCTAAATTACTTGACAGGTTTTTAAAATAAAGTATTCTCTTTGACGGTTGGTTTTCGTTGCTCTTAGGGTCCAGAAGTTAGGAGTGGAGATTTACCTCAGCCAATTATGTTAGACCCTGGTCAAGAGTTTACTTTTACAATTGAGAGAGGAGTCAGCACACCAACTTGTGTCAGTGTTAACTATGATGACTTTGTCAATGACGTGGAATCGGGTGACATGCTCCTTGTTGATGGTATGTAGATCTTAATACTTAGCTTTGTTTCAGTCTTTTTTAAGTTTCTCCAAAAGATTGATAATCAAGAATGACTGATGGCTCTATAGGTGGTATGATGTCATTTATGGTGAAGTCTAAGACTAAAGACTCAGTTAAATGTGAAGTTGTTGATGGTGGAGAACTTAAGTCAAGGAGACATTTGAACGTCCGAGGAAAAAGTGCAACGTTACCTTCAATCACTGGTTCGACTTTTTCACTTTTTTTTCTAGTTGATTTTGGAGTAAATGTTGAATACTTGAAACTCTGAACAATCGTACTCATTGATCTTTATTTGTTGCAATGCTTTTCTTGTCGCAGAGAAGGATTGGGAGGATATTAAATTTGGAGTGGAGAACAAAGTTGACTTTTATGCAGTTTCCTTTGTCAAAGATGCACAAGTGGTACATGAATTGAAGAAATACCTTCAAAGTAAAATACGTGAATCCGATTGTAAAATACCTTAAGTGAATGTTTTGCCTATGAATCTTCAGTTTTGTTCTGATTATGATATTTTTGTTACAAATTTTATGGCAGGTTGTGGTGCTGATATACATGTGATTGTTAAAATTGAAAGTGCAGACTCCATACCAAACTTGCATTCCATTATCACGGCATCAGACGGGGTAATCTTTCTATCCAACATTTTCTAGTTTGTTCGTACCTTTCTAGTATGCCTTACTGTCTGTTATCTCCTTTTATAACAACAACATTTTGGAAATTGTTTTATGAAACATTTAGTGGATTGTGGTCAAAGAAGTTTGGTGATACCGCAATTAAAGTTTCTGAATAATGGGTCCTGTGCATGACATTGCTTGATGAGATTTGTGTACTTTTTTTCAGGCAATGGTTGCAAGAGGTGATCTTGGTGCAGAGCTTCCTATTGAAGAAGTTCCCATTCTTCAGGCTAGCGCTTGCCTCTTATTTAAAATAAACTGAAGAATGCGTTTTGCAATTGCCACAGCTTTAGAACAAAATTTTCTTGCACTTAAACTCTATACAGGAAAGGATTATTAACCTATGCCGTAGCATGGGGAAGGCTGTTATCGTTGCGACTAATATGCTTGAGAGTATGATTGTTCATCCAACTCCAACCCGGGCTGAGGTTTCCGACATTGCTATAGCTGTTAGAGAAGGTGCTGACGCAGTAATGCTTTCTGGAGAAACTGCTCACGGAAAGTAAGTGATGCTTTTAGTCTACTGATTTAGCTTATAATGGTGTGTGTATATGGAAAATATTGAAGGTTTTATATGCACGAATCTGAACTTTACTTGATATCAGATTCCCATTGAAAGCTGCGGGAGTGATGCACACAGTTGCACTGAGAACAGAAGCAACCATTACTACTAGTGGTGAAATGCCACCAAATCTTGGTCAAGCCTTCAAGGTAAGCTAAGCCTGATTTCTGCTTTTTAAACTCTTCACCATTGAGTATATATATGTAGAGTTAGTCTAACTTTGCTATCTAATCCGTAGTAACAAGAGAAATGTTTTTGTCTATACAGAACCATATGAGTGAGATGTTTGCGTATCATGCAACCATGATGTCAAACACACTTGGAACTTCAACTGTTGTCTTCACCAGAACTGGTTTCATGGCTATACTTCTAAGTCATTACCGTCCCTCTGGCACAATCTATGCTTTCACAAACGAGTGAGTATTCCATGTTTATTCTTCCAGAAGAAATGACTCTGGCAACTTTTGTTGTTTTAGAAACTCACGGTAGAGGTTTTACGTTACAGGAAAAGAATACAGCAAAGATTAGCTTTGTATCAAGGTGTATGCCCCATTTATATGGAGTTCTCAGATGATGCAGAAGACACTTTTGCTAATGCTTTGGCTACACTTCTGGTAAATAAACTAACTTCCCCTCCACCAAAGGATCTCTTGAAATAAAACCAACTGTTAAACATAAACATAGACATTTGATAATATATATACAGAGTACACCTTCTGTGGTTATGGGGCTAAAGAGTTTGAGTTTGTAACTTTGGATGAAACAGAAACAAGGAATGGTGAAGAAAGGAGAGGAAATAGCGATTGTACAGAGCGGGTCACAACCAATCTGGCGATCTCAATCGACGCATAACATCCAAGTCCGTAAGGTCTAAAGCCTCTTTTAAGGCATCCCAATATCTCCACTTGGTGGGTGTCTTCTTTATTTACATGTATAACCGGTTTCGGTTAATTTTTCATTACATGTTGCGTGTACTCTAGAACTTTTGCTGTTTGATGTATCTTCAGTTTGCTTTTCTACGATTGTGTGTTTTGTCATACATTACTTTTAGCTCAGTAGTTGTTTGAGAGACAGATGTTTAATTTAGATGAGTAATAAATGTGTTAGAATCCTTTAATACACATCTATATGCTATATATTCTCCTTCGACCCTTTCATGTTGGAACCATGACTTCAAAGAAGCTCAAACACTCACAATCTTTTGACCTCGTTGAACGAGATGAAATACACTTATGTTAGTTCTGACCATATTCTAGAAACCTGGTTTTGTCTATTTATAACAATTTATCTCAAAATGACACTGTTAAAAAGAAATAGTGAAACACACATTATGCCAACTTCTGCTATCACTCTTCTATAATTGACAATGATAATGTAATAGAATCAATACAATGAGATTCCATATAAATTTAGGCTTTGGATTACTTGCTCCCAGGTTCCTACATCATTCTAACAACTCTGCTCATTCCCATTCCCATTTCCATTCCATTTTCCAACTTCCACTATTGATTCAAGCTTCATTTCCTTGTAAGTGAGACTTCATTGTAGTCCTTATGTCCAGTTTAAAGTATAGTTTAATTTACAAAGAAGGAAGAGTTTATCTAAGAATCATCCTGAAACAAAGCCTTTGGTACTGAACTACGAGGCTGAGTCCCACACTCGTCGCCGTTTCTATTACCACTTCGTGTTCGTTTAGTCTCTGGTGTCATTGGTGTCTCACATACTCTGTCATATTCCACTGATCTTTGTTCCTTCTTCCTTTTGGTCATTCTCTTTTGCTGATCCTCCTTGCCTTTACTACAATTCTTCCCTTGCTTCGGTGCCCAAACTCTACAAAGATCAGGCATCCAGCTTGTGAAACTCGAGAATCTTCTTGCCCTTTCCCTCATTTCTTGTGCTTCAACTTCTGTCTTCACTTCTCTGCACTTCTTGTTGAATTTCCGCAAAAGATTCTTCTTACTCGTACCGGGAACATCTTTAGTTCTTTGACTACGGTGATGACTCTTGACATTGCTATGGATGTTTTCTCTCCCTGACTGACTACTGTCTTCATTGTTCATGAAACTATCTTCCAGATCCTCGTCGCTGAACATAAGCAGATCCATCTCTGTATATATTATATTCACAACTTCTCCAAGAACGTGATGATACCTGAGAAGAAGAGTCAGTCATTTGGCATTAGCATGTTCTCACGTATAACTTCAAACTACAATACCTATTGAGAATGGGATTAATATTACCTTGCTTTTATTATCTTGTCCACGTATTTATCAAGGCTCCAATCACCAAAGAATCCACCGTCTAACTTGCACTGAACGGCCTCAAGAAGCATGCAAATCTGTTTTGCAAACTTCTGTGTCACAGACTCCTCATTTCCCAAACCTATCTCTGATCTTAGAATCTCCATCCGGAAAAGAATTTGCAGCTCGTATCTTATAGCTAATTAAAGAAAAACAGAACAATAATGCCAACAGCTCAGATACATGAAACGAAGCATCAGTAAACGGCACCAGATCAAACAAAGCATACGAATAAGTTGTCAAACAGATAAAAAAGGATACTCTCTAATGATGCTACTCGGTGCAGCTTCATCAGACTTCGGCTCACTTGCCAATGATGATGAATCTTTCTTTTTAAACTTGGTAACTAAATCTTTCGGTTCTTTCAGTAACATCTTGGTTAGCTCCTCAGTGACCAACGAGAGGGTTCCACTCTCACAGCTATAATCCTTCTCAAGTCTTTGAGAGGAATGGAGGAGACAGTTCTTGACAAGCCGCTCAGCTAGAGCTGCCAAGTCTATTTCCTTAGACTCAATCCCTTGCTTGATTTTACTAGGAAGATTAGCAAAGAAATTTTCTGATGACTCCGATGCATGATTACATGTGTCATTCTCGTGCCTTACGGATATACGATTTCCACTCAAAGCAACCTCCTCCTCAGATACAGGTAAAGAGATGGTCTTTTCTGTCTCTTCAGATGAGTTGTGCTTTTCCTCAACTGGATCTGCTTCCACATCTTCCGGTGCAACGCAATCACTAGCCACGGATAAGCTGCAACCTCTGGGTTTCTTAATCTGTTTCATCCAACATTTCAGAAACTTAAATTTCTTCGAACTGCTAAACTTCGAAAAATATATATCCTCTAGCTCTATTTGACCATATTCTTTCACTGATCTGCAGAACTCCTCCCAGCTAATGTCATGAAGTGAGTTCAGAATCTTTCTGCTTGCTTTTCTTTTAGTTTCGCTACAACTGACTATCTTCCTGCTATCTTCATGATCCACAGTTTGCAGAGAGACCTCACTGTCAAAAACACAGATGAAACCCGAGGAGAAAGTAAAAGGCTTGAGGACTCCTGTACGAGAACTACCATCGCTATTCGTTAAAGATACCAAAGCTGAGAAACCTTCTCTATAGAGATAACTTAGTAAGATCTGCCAAACGGGTGATGACCTTTTCGCTATTCTCTCACCTGTCTCCTTCACTAATATCTGAAGAACCCGATCAGCCCAAAACCCACTCTCCTGCTCCTGATCTTGCTCAGATTCCTGACAGACTTCATGAACAACAAAAGTACCACAAGTATACCTCTCTAGCTCGATAAGGTCATCACACATCCTCAAGGCTTTAATACTGAGGTTAGTGATTCCATCACAAAATTGTTCCTCAGACCTCTTCACACCAGAAATTTCAGAAGAAGAAAACTTTAGCTCACCGCACTTGCATTCAATAGGTTTACCATTGATATCTTCAATCTCGAGATTAGCCTGAACAGTAAATCTGTGGCAAGTAGATAGCTTCGGAGAAATACCAATTGTTGGATATATTAATCCAAAAGGAACAATTGAAGAACCAAAGATAATTGAATCCGTAGAACAATGTCCCCAACCCAATTCTCTAATCCCACTATCGAAAAACCCAGACTTGAATCCCAATTCGCTTCCTTCACCAATTCTATCTTCAGATCTAACATCAATCCAGCTTAAGAGAATATCCCTATCGTCAAACAAGTCATTCACACAGTCAAAAATCTCTCCTAGCTTTGACTTGAACAAACCCAATTCACCGAGACACTCATCGCCACTCTTAACATGGAGAAACTCAGAAACCCAATTCAAATCCATAGAAATCGGGGAAAACATCACGACCAAATTCGACCTAACGATCTCTAACCCACCATCGGTAAATCCAGGAATCATACCTATCTCCGGATCTCGAACCACAGGCTCCCAAGCGTAATCGTACACGATCTGTCGCAAAGACGCCGCGACATTGACTCCACGAGGCGACGCCGCCGCCGTGGAAGTAGATCGGAGCTCGCATCGTTTAATTGCGTCGAGGGCGCGTCTGAGAGAGACGAGTGTAGGGCCAGGGAGGTCAAATGAGAGTGAGGAAGACGAAATTGAGAGTCCGGAGAGCTTCGAGGAAGACAAGAGAGAGGATATAGAAGAAATGAAGAATTTGAAAGAGAAGAGAGAAGCAGATAAAGGAGAAAACGAGAGAAGCTTCTCGGCGGCGGAGATCACGACGGCTAGGTATCGCTCCGAATTAGGTGGTGTCACCAGAAGCGGATTGAGATCTATCAGAAGAACAATACGCTGCGTTTTGGCGTATAACGTATTTCTAGCCATTGAAATGAAACAGAGACAAAAAAAGAGAGATTCGACTTTAAAGTCTTTAGATTTGAGTTAGAAGAAGAGAGGAGGGAGCGACTAGTTTTTATCTGCTTTTGGCGGGAAAAAATACATTGCTTTGACGATTTATTGGGCTTTTAACTAAAGCCCAATTACAATTTAAAGAGAAGGCCTAACAAGTTAAAATTTAATCTGGTGACGTGGCATTTATTTGAGAAGCTAAAATTGAAGATAGAACGAGAACTCCTCTGGTTCTGATTCAAATTCTCGATCGATTTTCATTTCTGCCAGAATTTTCCCGATAGAATCAGGAATTTTTCTCGGAGAATTTTCTATCATGAACTGTATCTCTACATTCAAATTCAATCCTTCAGTTACACTATCTCCATGTGCGCAATCGTTAAGCCCTGGGAAATTTGTTCACATTTCGAGCTCGAGAGCCTCGTTTTCGCCGCGATGGCGTAGTTACTCTTCTTCTTCTTTTTATTCCCCAATTCGAAGGAAATCTCTGACCCTAGTTTCGGCGAAGTCTTCGGAAGCGGAGGAGGTGTCGGACACGGAGGACGAGTGGCTGAAGAAGCTACCGGAGAAGAACAAGCCTTTGTATTCGCATAGCTTGCCTTGTATCGAGGCGTGGCTGAGGAAATTAGGGTTTTACCAGAGCAAAGACGATAGAGCTGTTTGGTTGATTCAGAAACCTGATTGGCACGCCCAATTATCTCTTGACGTCACAGATCTCTGCATAAGGTAATCATAAGTTGATTGTTTTTTTTTTCTAGTCAAATTGAGCTCCTTTAAATTCGATTCTTCTTCGTTAGTTAAAGTGTAAAGATTTGATCTGGATAATGTTGTGAAATGGAGTTTGTTTAGGAATTGTGTAAAGATTTGATCTTTTGAGGATGATGATGAATTTGTTGTTGGTACAATCTGAAACTCAATCTTTGGAGACGAAATCTTGATACTTTGGTTACAATGAGCTGAAAAGTAAAAGCTATTGTTATCTGCATCTCAGATTCTCAAACCAGATAATTCATGTTCGAATATCTGTATGTAATCCTCCAAGTGGGACTAACAAGATGTTGCTTGAAACTACAGGTACTTGAAAAGCGGGCCAGGAAGTCTAGAGAGAGACATGGAAAGAAGGTTTAGCTACGCATTGAGTAGAGAAGATACAGAGAACGCCATACTCGGAGGACCTTGAAGAAGATATAGTTTGTTGAATATATTTGTTCTTAACTTATACTTTTGCTATATGATGATGCGTTTGCTTATTCGATCCACAAATCTTCTCTCTTTTTTTTTAAGTCACGATTCTTTGAGAGGTACCCATAAAGTTAAACCTTCAAAAGTAGAAATGTGAATGTGAAAATATCTATATGCATTTAGAGAACCTATGATCTCAAAGATGGGTTGGTAGTACAGAAAATATATATGCATTTGCTAATCAGTTTGCAGTTGTTATTGTATCTATTCACAATACGACCTTGAACCCGTCTTTCCGAAGTTTGTAATAGAAAAGAAACCAAACTAAAGTTAAAACAAAAACCACTAGCTCAAAAGAAAGTTACTGTTACATCTTCAGTTTCAAAACTCATACAAGAACACACACTATACTTACGTTAGTCAACTCAACTTAATGCAAGAAAACTTAATACATTAAAACCTAAACATGAGTTACATTACATTTTGAGAAAAAAAAACTTCAAACTGATCTGTTACTCTTCGATTTATCAAATAAAATATTGTTTCCTGATCCTATAAATTCTCTGGTTCTGCCCATATCTAAAACCATCCAAGCATTCTTAAGTCCTAAAGCAAAGAGGAATAAGAAAAGAGAGTATTAACAAGAAAGATGGGAAGCAAAGCTATTATCTCAGTCTACGTAATTGTTTCCCTTTGTTCTGCCATCTTTGTCACTCAAGGAGTAGCTCAAATGCAAAATCCACCGACAATTCCAGGACTTTTTCCACCTGGCTTAGTACCAGTTGATCTCGTAAAATGTTGGTCGTCTCTCTTCACTGTTGAAGGATGTGTGCTCGAAATCTCTAAGTCCATTTTCTCTGGAAAGTTTGAAAACGTTGAAGCGCATGTTGCAAGGTGTTTACATCCTTAGATGCAAACTGTTGGCCACAAATGTTTCCGCTGAATCCTTTCTTCCCTCCTCTCCTTAAGGGCAACTGTGCACGCATCATTCCCAACTCCCCTGCACACAATTGAAAGGAAGAATGAGTGGTGATTTATAGTTTTATAGACTAGTGGTTAGCTTCAAAGTCTAATAAGTTTCAATGTTAATTCCTTAGCAAAATGTGAGATCCATATCTTTCCAGAGCTCTATGAAAAGGTTTTTCTTACTAAAGTACTTTTTTAGAAATAATTCATTGAAAATTTTCCTTGTTTTTCATTTAACTCTTACCAATCTGTCTTGGTCACAAATAAATGAGTAGTACAGTATATATGCAATCAGCCAATCCAAGATAAAGGTATAGAGTAGTATAGAACAATTATATAACGAAACACACTTAGATTTTATATAAAAATTCAATCTCCTGCCCAAGCCACTGTTCATAACTCTCAGACACCATAAAAACGAAGTAGAAAATCAAAAACTAGAGCACGCACGTGTCTACAAAGGAGAGGACAGTGAGATTATATGACCTTTGCAGCAACAAAAACAAAAAAAAACAAATGTTATATAATTTATAAAACCCTATCATTACGTCAATCACACGCTTCACAAATCTCAATTGCTTCTCTCTCACCTTAGGTTAGCGAGTTCCTCCGTAAATGTCTTTTGAGGATATTCTCTCTTTGAGACTTTCTCTATCACATGGATTCACCACAAACTTAGTCAACATCATCATCGTCACCACAATCCGTAAGTTTTACGACCTTGACCCCAGTTTAGCTACCTAAACTGAGGTTGAGCTTAAAATCGACTGAAGGGGGATATCAAGAAACCAAACTGATGTTAAACTAACAAAAAAAAAGAAAAAAAAAATTATCAAGTCAGAATATAATCATAACGTTCACATATTTTGTTATTGTACCAATCCTTAATACGACCTTGAAGGCTTGAACTATAGAGATACGATATATGTTAATAGTCGGTTAGAAAGATATTGTGGGATTTACCTAAGATACGATACTTTGTCTATATAAACCATTGTATGTGAATCAATAAAGTTAAGCCTTTACAATATGCTAGTAGAAGACCCGCGCAAACGCGCGGTGTGACGTTGCGGTTTTGTGAAGAAAATCTAAATCCTAAACCCGAGCCCGACCCAAAAACCCTAATCAAAATTTTTTAAAAAACCCAAACCTTTTTAATATGTATAAACCCGAAATCCAAACAATCCGAAAACCCTGAACCAAATAAAAAAAACTCGAAACTTTTTCACCCGAAACCCGAACCCGACCTAAAAACCTAATAAAAATTTTAAAATACCTTAACTTTTTTAATATGTCTAAACCCGAAATCCAAAAAAAACCCAAAAACCTGAACTAAACCCAAAAAACTCGAACCCAAACCGAACAAAATTTTAAAAATCCGAACAGAAATCCACAATTTGATTTAAATTAGACGTATTTCTATTTCACTATTGGAAATTTTGCAAATATCATTCGATCATATTCTATTGATTTGGTATTATTGATAAATTATGTTTTTTCTTTTTTTTTTGCAGATTTTTTAAGAGCTGAAAACGGAAGTTTTCTAAACCATCGGTTTGTTTTAAGTTATTATTCTTGTATCCAAACAATTTTTTCCATTTATTCTTCTATCCAAATAGATTTTTCTCTTATTCTTATATCCAAACAACTTTTTTTCCATTTATTCTTCTATCCAAATAGATGTTTCTCTTATTCTTGTATCCAAACATTAGAATGTACTTCTCAATTAATAACATAAAGACTAGTAGAGGACCCACGCAAACATGCGGTGTAACGTTGCGGTTTTGTGAAGAAAATCTAAATCCTAAACTCGAGCCTGGTCACAAATAAAATGAGTAGTATATATGCAATAAGCCAATCCAAGATAATGGTGTAGAGTAGTATAAACACAAATATATAACGAAATTGATATATGTATCCATCGTAAGCTGGCTGAAACACCCTTAAATCGGTCAAAGCTTCTATGAGAACAAATTTTGAGCTCTAGCCGCCATATCTCATAGCCGTGAAAATTTCTAAAACTTCTTATCCAGAAAATTATCAAATCGATCAAAACTTATATGAGAACAAATCTAAAAATCAGTAGTGATTTAGTTCTAAATCTTGCGGGATCTATGAACTTAACAACCAAAAATCAATAATGTTGTTGAATTTTGTAGATATATATCACTTTTCGTTAATCATATAGTATTACAAAAAGAAGAAAATGTGATATATATATATATATATATATATATATATATATATATATATATATATCCCTCTCATTATGTTAATCACACGCTTCACATTCCTCAGTAGCTTTTCTCTCACCTTAGGTTTGCGAGTTCCTCCGCGAATGACTTTTGGAAATATTCTCTCTTTGAGACTTTCTCCATCGCATGTACTTAGTCAACATCATCTTCGACACTAAATCTTATGAGATACACGACCAATCCACCATACGTCCTTGAAGAAGGCTTGAACCCGTTTTTCAAAGTTTGTAATAAAAAAAAAACAAAGAAATTAAGCTGATGTTAAAAAAAATCACTAGGTCAATAGTAAAATTACAACTAACGCATCTTCAGTTTCAAAACTTAGACAGAATTTACATTAGTCAACTCAACCCTAATGTAAAAAAAGTTAATACATTAAACCTTTACATAAGTTACATTACATTTTGAGACACAACTGAATTGTTACTTTTCGATTTATAAACATCTTGTTTCCTGATTCTATAAATTCTATGATTCTTCCTATATCCAAAACCATCCAAAGCATCTGAAGTCTAAACCAAAACAAACATAAAGTAGAAATAGAGAAGGAAGGATTAATAAGAAAGATGGGAAGCAAAGTTGTTGCCTACTTAGTTGTTTCCCTTTGTGCTACCATCTTTGTCACTCAAGGAGTATCTCAAATGCAAAAGCAGCCCACAGTTCCAGGACTTTTTCCATTTGGCTCACCTGTTGATCTCGTAAAATGTTGGTCGTCTCTCTTCACTGTTGAAGGATGTGTGCTCGAAATCTCCAAAGTCATTTTCTCTGGAAACTTTAAAAACGTTGAAGCCGCATGTTGCAAAGTGTTTTCGTCCTTAGATGCAAACTGTTGGCCACATATGTTTCCATTGAATCCTTTCTTCCCTCCTCTCCTCAAGGACAACTGTGCACGCATTGTTCCCAACTCTCCCGCACACAATTAAAAGGAAGAATAAACGTTCATCTACATTTTGTAGCAAGTAGTTAATTAGCTTCAAAGTCTTCTAAGTTTTAATGTTAATTATGTTGGCAAAATGTGAGCTAGAGCCGATATCATTGGAGAGCTCTATTAATATGTTTTCTCAACAAAGTAACTTTTATAGCCATATACATTCAAAATGTTACTTATTATTAATAACTTTTATTAATGTTCTTGGTCACAAATAAATGAGTAGTACGTATACGTATAACTACAATTACATAATGAAATGTATTTATTACTATCTATCTTAACTTTTAAGTTGGGTAACACTGTAAAATGTAATGGCAAAATTCAATAACCAGCCCAAGGCGTTGTGGCCGAGTGGTAGCTGTCTCCAGTTTCAAATGTGATTTACAAAATTCTCAGGCAAAAAACCAAGTCTTTTGTTCTTTAGCTATCCATACATTATTATCAATGTATTTGAAAAAAAAAATATCAACGTGGGACAGATTATATGACCATTGGAGCGCCAAATTTTAGGGTTTCATGATCTACTAATTGTTAGGAAATTCTATCTAATTTTAGTTTTAAGTGTGAAATTTGAATTGTGACGTTTGGAAGATGAAACAGAAGTTCTAACTTTTATGTTGGAAGGTGAAACAAAAATTGTATCTTTACACACTTACACATTACCTTTTCATTTGTAACATTTACGACATTGACCTAAGTTTAGCTACCTACATCAAGGTTGAGATCATAAAGAAATCAAAATGAAGTTAAACTAACAATAAGTGATCGAGTTAAAAGAAAATTATAACTTTTACATCTTCTGTTTCAAAACTTAGACTAGAACTACATCAGTCAACTCAACTTAATGCAAGAAAACTTAAGACATTAAACCGAAACATGAGTTACATTTGATCTGTTACTCTTGGACAAATAATCTTGTTTTCTGATCCTATAAATTATATGTTTCTTCCTACATGAAAAACCATCCCAGCATCTTAAGTCTAAACCAAAACAAAGAAAGAGATTAATAAGAAAGATGGAAAGTAAAGCTATTATCTCACTGTACTTAATTATTTCCCTTTGTGTTGTCACTTTTGTCACTCAAGGAGTAGCTCAAACGCAAACGCCACCGACCATTCCAGGGCTTTTTCCACCTGGCTTAGTACCTGTTGATCTCGTAAAATGTTGGTCGTCTCTCTTCACTGTTGAAGGATGCGTGCTCGAAATCTCAAAGTCCATTTTCTCTGGAAAATTTGAAAATGTTGAAGCCGCATGTTGCAAGGTGTTTTCATCATTAGATGCAAACTGTTGGTCTCAAATGTTTCCTTTGAATCCTTTCTTCCCTCCTCTCCTCAAGGACAACTGCGCCCGCATCGTTCCAAACTCCAATACGCACAAATGAGAAGAAGAATGATTATTGACCTACACTCTTATAGACTAGTGGTTAATTAGCTTAGAGTCTAATAAGTTGTAATTTTGTTTTGTTGCCAATACGTGAATTACCATATCGTTCCAGAGCTCTATGCAAAGGTTCTTCTTAATAAAGTACTTTTTAGCAATATTTTCACTGAAAACATTTCCTTGTTCTATATATCTCTTACCAATGTGTCTTGGTCACAAACAAATGAGTAGTATATGCAATCAGCCAATTATAAATAAACGTGTAGACTGGTATAAACACAAATGTATGACGAAATGGATTTATCATCTAATTATGTTGGCAGAAACACCCTTAGATCTTATATCAAAATTTAGTGACCAGCCCAAGGCATTGTTTATAACTCTCAGAATTAGATACATAAACAACAAAAACTAACTATCATAAAAACGAAGTTGGGTAGACAAGCAAAAACTAGAGCATGCACCTGTCTGCATAGGGCCAAAAATAAAATAACCTAAAAGGCCTAATCAGAACACATGATTTGTAGTCATGAACGTATACGTGTTGGCTACGCAACCTACTTATCCTGCCCGGCCATGGAAACTCTACTCAATAACGGTTTACACAAATACTTACATGAGCCAGCTGGTCCATCCCAGAGGATGGCTTGAATGGTTTGGTAACTTTGCTTTGAACACATTATGGTATGGCCGTATGGCGAATACATTAATATTAGGCCGGGTTGGCGGTCATCGGGTCGGGTTAAATGGCCTAGTTATCATGTCATGGACAAACGGACTGCAATGTCCTTCAACATCGTTCATCGACGGTCGGAGATGGCTTCCGACAACAGGTGTCACGTTCACCGCTGGTTAATCTACCACCTTGTTGATATATATATATATATATATATATATATATATATATTAATTCGATTTACTTGCCATTTTGTTTGGTCCTCCTGTTTTCTAAAATCTATCAATATTTGTGTACGGATTTCTGTGTACTCCTAGCCCAAAAAAAAATCAAGTGATCCCCTACAAATGATGAAACTGTCACAATTTGTGTAATCCACCATACGACCTTGAACCTGATTTTTCAAGTTTGTTATAAAAGATAAGAAACCAAACTGAAGCTAAAAAATTCACTGGGTCAAGAGTAAAATTATAACTATTGCATTATCAGTTTCAAAACTTAAACAAGAATTTACAGTGGTCAACTCAAACTAATGTAAAAAAAAACACTTAATACATTAAACCTTAACAAGAGTTACATTACATTTTGAAACAAAATAAAATTAAGTTTATCTGTTACTTTTCGACTTATAAAAAAAAAACATATTTTTTCCTGATCCTATAAATTCTATGTTTCTTCCTATATCCAAAACCATTCAAGTATCTGAAGTACAAACCAAAACAAACAAAAGAAGAAATAGACAAAAAAAACGGTGTAATAAGAAAGATGGGAAGCAAAGTTGTTGCCTACCTAGTTGTTTCCCTTTGTGCTGCCATTTTTGTCACCCAGGGAGTAGCTCAAATGCAAAAGCAGCCCACAATTCCAGGACCTTTTCCATTTGGCTCACCTGTTGATCTTGTAAAATGTTGGTCATCTCTCTTCAATGTTGAAGGATGTGTGCTCGAAATCTCTAAGTCCATTTTATCTGGAAAGTTTGAAAACGTTGAAGCCGCATGTTGCAAGGTGTTTTCGTCCTTAGATGCAAACTGTTGGCCTCAAATGTTTCCATTGAATCCTTTCTTCCCTCCTCTCCTCAAGGACAACTGTGCACGCATTGTTCCCAACTCTCCCGCTCCCGCACACAACTGAAAGGAAGAATAAACGTTGATCTACATTTTGTAACAAGTAGTTAATTAGCTTCAAAGTCTTATAAGTTTTAATGTTAATTTTGTTGGAAAAATGTGTCCTAGCCCATATCTTTGGAGAGTTATATGAAAATGTTTTCTCAAAGACTTTTATTAATGTGTCTTGGTCACAAATAAACGAGAAGTAGTGAATATAATATCAAAAATGAGTAGTATATCCACAAATACTTAATGAAATGGATTTTTATCTCTCTTAAGTTGGCTAACACGGTAAAATCTTGAAAACCAGACCATAGATTCGGATGTGATCTACGAGATTTTCAGACAAAATAACAAGTCGTTCGTGCTTTAGCTTTTTTTTGGGGAAAAAGTTGGTTTTCCATTAAAATTAAACTGGTTCAATTACAATCAGAGCCTGCTTTGCCAGAGCATCGGCTTGTCTGTTCTTTTCCCGTGGAATGAAAACAAATTCGATCTTCTCAAAATCCAGTGATAACTTCAGGATATCGTGGAGAATCCCATGGAGTTCCTTTGTGGAGGACTCCTTCTTAATAGCCTTGATTAGCTCCTGCGAATTTGAGGCGACAACGAGGTGTTTGATTCCGAGATCCCTTGCTCGTGTGAGCGCCGTGATGACTGCCAAGCCCTCGGCGGAGAGTGGTGATCTGACGAATCGATGTGTATCCGATCCTTGGTGTAGGATCTCTTCTCTGTTGCTGCTGTTTCCTCTGGAGATGACCCAGCCAAAGCCCGCTGATTTCGTGTCTTCTCTCCAGGCCGCATCGGATTTGCATGTCAACCATTCCCGTCCAGGGATCTGTCCGATTCTGCGATATTGTGTACTCGCCGGAGTTGCTGCTTTCCTCTTCGTTTGCTGTGCCATTTGCCATTCTCTCGCATAAGTCACCGCCTGAGTCACTACCTCCTCTACGGTCTGACTCTTACTCTCAAAGATGAGTAAATTTCTGGCGATCCAAATCCTCCATGCTACCCAGGGGAAGATGGGCCCTTCTCCGATTCATGTGGGCGGTAAGCCAATAATGTTTGGCGACAATTCCATTCCTGCCCGTATATCTCCGATACTCATAGGTTCGATTTGGCTTTTGCAGGGTATTCTTCTCCAGATTTGAGCTGCAAAGTTGCAGTGGAGTAGGAGGTGTGACGTCGTTTCCTCCTCTCCGCAGCGTGGGCACCGGACCGTTGTGTTGATATTCCTGGCCTTCAGGTTTTCTCCCACCGGTAATGCCCCATTCATCGCTTTCCATAGGAACATCTTCGTTTTTGGTGAGCTATGTATGTTCCATATATTCTTTAGCCAGTTAAATCTCTCTTCCTGTTTCCCTTGATCTTCATACTGTTCCTCCAGGTTTTGGTTCAGGCATCCGTAGTAGCCGGATTTTGCTGTGTAATCTCCTGTGGCTGTTGGCAGCCAGATGTAGGTATCTTTCGTTCGTGCTTTAGCTATCCATATATTATTATCAATGTATTTGGAGACAAAAAAAACATCCACGTGAGAGAGATACTGTGCCTAATTTTAGTTAGGAAACTGTGCCTAATTTTAGTTATCATGGTTTCGAATAGAACTATGAAATTCAATTATTACGATTGAATTGGGTACTGAATCAAAATACACTGTGTATTATTATAGGTTTTTTTTGTTCTTCGGTCAAATTTTGGGGTTTAAAAAAACAAATCTATAGCTTCCGGAGCTTCTCTTTGTTACTCAAAAAAAAAAAAAAAAAAAGGGGTTTACAATGAAAGAAATTGTTACTTTTATGTTGGAAGGTGAAACAGAAATGGGAACTTCTATATTGTAACTTTCTAGAGCCCTTACACGTTAACTTTGCATTTGTAACTTTTATGACATTGACCCGGTTTAGCTACCTAAATCGGGGTTGAGATAATAATCGATTTAAGTGGGATAAGTTTTTTTTTTCCAAGTTTGTGATCATAAAGAAACCAAACTGAAGTTAAACTAACAATTAAAGATGGAGTCAAAAGAACATTTAAGACATTAAACCTTAACATGAGTTACACTTTTACATGTTATTCTTGGACAACCAATCTTGTTTCCTGATCCTATAAATTATATATGTTTCTTCCTACATCAAAAACCATCCAAGCATCTTTAAGTCTAAACCAAAACAAACAAACAAAAAAGAAAGGAAAAAGGAAAGGGAGAAAGAGATTAATAAGAAAGATGGGAAGCAAAGCTAATGTCTCAATCTACTTGATTGTTTCCCTTTGTGCTGCCGTTTTTGTCCCTCAAGGAGAAGCTCAAACGCTAACGCCACCACCGACAATTCCAGGTCTTTTCCCACCTGGTTTAGTACCTGTTGATCTCGTAAAATGTTGGTCGTCTCTCTTCAGTGTTGAAGGATGTGTGCTTGAAATCTCCAAATTGATTTTCTCTGGAAAGATTGAAAAAGTTGAAGCCGCATGTTGCAAGGTGTTTACATCCTTAGATGCAAACTGTTGGCCTCAAATGTTTCCATTGAATCCTTTCTGTGAGTCAAGTGAGTAGAGAAGCTGAAATGTATATGGGTCAAACAAGTAAGAGGAAGAGAGAAGAAGGAAGCCCACACAAGCCCAACATGTTATCTTCTCAGAAGAAGACAAACAGAGGAAAAGGTGATAACGCAGAGATTGGAAAAGAGGATCAAACCCGAGGAAATCGCTTCTATCCGTTGGCAACGGATCAGGAGCCTTGACTACTTTACAGCTGTGTATTAGCTAAGATCTAGAGGATTCTAAGCTCTCTTTATATATGAGTGTAATCACATTGTAAATCTTATCTTGAATAAAATCGTTTAAGTTCAAAGTTCATATCTTTCTTGTTTGTTTTACACTTTCTTCCCTCCTCTCCTCAAGGCCAACTGTGCACGCATCGTTCCCAACTCCATGGCCCCCTCACACAATTGAATGGAATAATAAATGCTGATCTACATTTTATAACAAGTAGTTAATTAGCTTCAAAGTTTAATAAGTTGTAGGAAATGTTAATTTCGTTGGAAAATGTGAACTAGAGCCGATATCTTTGGAGAGCTCTATGAAAAAAAAAAATCTCAATAAAAGTCAGTATTTTTTAGCAATATTCGTTCAAAATTTTCCTTATTTATAAGTTTTATCAATGTGTCTTGGCCACAAAATTCAATAACCAGCATAAAATTAAGTAGTAGTGTATATAATAATTATAAAAAATTAACGAGTAGTATAATCACAATACATAATGAAATGGATTTATTATGGGTTATCTTAAGTTGGCTAACACATTAAAATCTTATATCAAAATTCAATAACCAGCCCAAGGATTTAGATGTGGTCTACGATATTTTAGATTCAGGCAAAAGAACAAGTCTTTCGTGCTTTACCTATCCATATATCAATGTATTTGGAGAAAAAGAATAAAAAAATCTACGTGAGAGAGATCATAAGACCGTTGAAAAGCGCCAAATTTTAGGGTTTCATGATCTACTGATTGTTAGGAAATTTTATTTAATTTTAGTTATTATGGTTTCAAAATGAAAGTATGATTTGAATTCCTTGGTTGAATTGGGTCACATGTCTTGAGAGTGGCTGAAATACTACTTAAGGGTTTAGAATGGAAGGTGAAACAGAAGTTCTAACTTTTATGTTGGACGATGAAACAGAAATTATAAACACCTTGACCCGGATTACCTACCTAAATCAAGGGATAATTTTTGTTTTCAAGTTTTTGATCATAAAGAAACCAAAGTGGCGTTAAAACCAAAATATATCAACGAGTCAAACGAAAATTATAACTTTCACATCTTATGTGTCAAATCTTACACAAGAGCATACACACTATGTGTAGTTGCATGAGTCTAGTCAACTTAATGTGAGAAAACTTAAGAGTTAAGACATTAAACCTAAACATGAGTTACATTTTCATCAGTTACTCCTCGATTTATCAAACATAATCTTGTTTCCTGATCATCCTATAAATTCTGTGTTTCTTCCTACATCAAAAACAATCTAAGCATCTTAAGTCTAAACCAAAACAAACAAATAAAGAACGAAAGGAAAGAAAGAAAAAGATTAATAAGAAAAATGGATAGCAAAGCTTTTGTCTCCTTCTACTTATTTGTTTCTCTTTGTGCTGCCATCTTTGTCACTCAAGGAGCAGCTCAATTGCAAAAAGCCGCCCACAATTCCAGGACTTTTTCCGTTTGGCTCACCTGTTGATCTCGTAAAATGTTGGTCGTCTCTCTTCACTGTTGAAAGGTGTGTGCTCGAAATCTCCAAATCAGTTTTCTCTGGAAAATTTGAAAACGTTGAAGCTGCATGTTGCAAACTGTTGGCCACAAATGTTTCCGCTGAATCCTTTCTTCCCTCCTCTCCTCAAGGACAACTGTGCACGCATCGTTCCCAACTCCCCCACACACAATTGAAAGGAAGCATGATTGTTTGATCTACACGTTTAGACTAGTATCTAGCTTCAAAGTCCAATAAGTTTTTATTTTATGTTTTGTTGGCAAAATGTGAACTAGAGCCGATATCTTTGGAGAGCTCTATGAAAATGTCAATCAATAAAGTAATTTTTTCTTAGCAATACTCAGTCAAAATCTTCCTTATTTATATAACTCTAAGTCCTCTTATCAAATAAAAGAGTTTTATATATAATCATCAAAAGTAAATGTGCGAAGTGGTATAAACATAAATATATAACAAAAACGATTTATTATTATCTATTTTAAGTTGGCCAAAGACCCTAAAATCTATAATATATTATAGGAGCTGTCTGGCCTCTTAGTGTGTCCACGTTAGCATTTTTGCCTTCTTTCCCACACGCTGCCACGTCACCTCCATCTAAAAAAACTGTCACCTTCGCATAAAATCACATATAATCTTTAGAAGCCCATTATATGCATATAAGCTCATCTGCAAAAAAAAGAAAATGAAAACCAGTTAAACGACGAAAGAGATGTCGTCTTCTCCGTCGTAGCAGCAATGTCGAATCGATTCGTCTCCCACCTTAATCGATTGGCATTACACCGTGAAACAGTTTTTTCTTCAATGTCCCGACATCAATGGTTGTTAATGGCACCGCCAATACGCCAATACGCCACTATAAAACCAGGGGATATGCGACTCCCAGAACACATCCACCCTCTTCCACATCAGAGCAAATTCAGAAGCTACAATGGCATCCAATGCTCCCTCCGCTGCTCCCTCCGCTGCTCCCTCCGCCGCTTCCTCCGCTGCTGTCGCCCCACCGGCATCCAATCCTCTCTCCACCGCTCCCTCCACCGCTCTCTCCGCCGCTGTCGCCTCACCCGCATCCCATGCTTTCTCCGCCGCTGTCGCCACACCGACTTTCAAGATTCTCGAGCAAATTGAGGGTCAATTTTGCAACGCCCCCGTATTGGTGCGGCTCATTCATTTTTGGGAAGCACGCAACTTTAAGAAAGGGAACATCCTCATGGGTTTTGAGCTTCTCCTCCTTGACGCAGAGGTAATATGCCCCCCCCTTCCATTTTCAAATACACTGTGGTATAGTTCCTATAATGCTACTGAGACTGTATCTTTCACAGTCAAACGCTGTCCAAGGCTTCATCTCCGCCAACCGACTTTTCCGATACGAGCCCAACTTGAAGCGGAACTCCATTTACAACTTGAGCAAGTTCATGATCAAGCCTGCGAAAACGCTTTACAGGGTCTTCGATCACAAGAATACCATTTGCTTCACAGACCTGACAACAATGGTGGAGGTCCGTGATGGTGACGACCAGATTGATGGCCAGAAATTCTGATTCCGACTTGCCTCTGATTTTGCCCCAATCGCAGACACGGACGTTGATCTGTTCGGTGAGTGTGCTCTTTTGTCTGATCTCATGTTTAGAAGACAACATGACAAACTCATTACGGTTCTGCCCTCATTCAATATTGCAGATGTTATTGGACGGCTCCGGCTGATTAGTGGTGACAACCTTACGTCGCCTACAACCAATCACCCAAAACCTGAAGTTTCGGAGAACAGGTCCAAAGATAGAGTGTTTTTACACTTGCTGATGGAAGAGTAATGTTCTGCTCTTCGACTTACTGCCCGTTCCTCTTGTTTAGTCTCATTTACCATATAAGTACTCATCGCACAGTTACATGTGTCAACCCAGCGACGAATCAATTCGTGTGAACCTGTGGGGGAACATTGCTGGAGCATTCCGCGACAGGTGGAACAACGGAAACGCACAACCTACTATCGTCCTCATCACCACTGTCAACCCCAAAACCATTGGAGGCACTTTGATAGATTATAACTTTACGATTTTGGTTTTATGAAATCGTTTGGTGCAATGCATCCACTGACTTTGTTTGGTTGACACTTTGTAGGTGCTGTTACGCTTAACTCCACCTCAGCGACAAGACTTTACTTCGACACAGACATACCTGAGACACAACAGTTTCTGACACGGTCAGTTTACAACAGACATTTAGTTCCTCCGCCACTCTTACACATTCTCTGACATTTCTTCTCCACCTTTCACAATGGCACAGTCTAGGTGGTGTCGACGGATCTCTCCCGGCAGTCACTACCGCCTCATCTTCAATCACCAAGTGCGAGACGGTGACTATCAACAAGATGCACCAGTTCTTGCAGGGCAAACCACATGTTCGTGGATTAGCACACCTGATGTTTACGTTTACTCGCATTTTGGGGTATTCACGTTTCTAACTGGGAATGATCTTGATTTTCCTCAAACTGAATGCTAGCTTCTACTGCATTGCCACGGTCACTGACATCCTTGGTGAGTATGGATGGCATTACATCTCCTGCACCAAAGCTGGTTGCAACACCAAGCTTGGAAAAACTGAGACGTCTTTGTACTGTGTGGCGTGTAAGAAAGTCAACAACGTCGGCCTAATCAGGTTTGCTCATTTTCTTCAAGCGTCTTCTTCACACTGAAAATTATTGCTAAGGTTTTGTTGGTGACTCGATTATTTAACATCATTGAACTTGGGTTTCCAAGTTGCTCTGTTTTCTCCCAAGTTCCATTTTTATTTTTTACTTTTTTTGCTATATTTTGAATGAGGTGCATTTATGATTTATATACGATTACATGAAATGTAACTAGATACATTCTTGAATGTTTGTTTTAAATATCATGTCTTGGGTTATTTATCACCTGCATTTTTAAATCTATTTACACATCACTTAAAAATTCAGATACCGGTTTGAGATATCAGTACGTGACAAGAACGACGAGGTTGCCACATTCGTCTTTTCGACGCCGACGGTAGAAACATTGCCGGGGCAAATGCTGGAGATATCTTGGAAGACGCGCTCCAGATCCAGGTAAGTGGTTAATACATCGCCCGACGCTGCTTAACTATAACCCACAACTAACAGGTTCTCTCTGTAGGGTGGTGGTCAGAATGATCGTCAGGCAATTAACACAACCACACCGGACTGTCTCAAATCCATCATTGGGCAGACTCACAAATTCCAGCTTAGAATTAAGGACTACAATTTCAGCGCTACCCGTCAAACTTTCACTGTCTCCCGTATTGTCCGTGACACAGATGCAGCAGGGGAAGAGGCAGCGCCTGCAGAGTCCGGAGTCATTCTCATTGCCCCAGAAATCCCTGCTGAACATGAGTCGCCTGCAGTAGGGGAGACGAGCTTACCGGATCCTAAAAGAGGCGTTGCAGATCTGGAGGAGGCTACCGAGGAAGACTCTGGTGACAGGCAAAAAGAGAAGCGTCAGCTTCTTCAAGTCTAAGATGGTGTACTGACGTCACTTTCGGTTCCGCGTGGCTTTCTGTGTTTTTTTTCCTTTTTCCTAGATTTTAAATTTCCAGTTACTGAGTAACGTCTACGGTGCGTTTTAGAGATGGTTGTTATACTATCACGAACCTCTTTCACCTCTTCACTTTGAATCAATTTTATCTTCAATACCAACTTTGTTTCCTTTCTCTTTTCCTCCAACCTATAATCAGCAAATGTTTCTATGCAGACAGTGTTTATCCAAGATACTTTGTCAAAACAGATATTCAAAAAAACACTCATAGACGCGTCTTTAGTAGGCTGTTTCGGAATGTTTCCACTGGTGTATTCATTTCAGCACGCAAATCACGCTTATGAAATTATAGTCACAAGGCAAAATATATGGCACAGCTAGAATATTTAGTTGACATTTATTGGGACGTGAAATTATAGTCATACAAGAATCCTCCATTCATTACTGGAATCACTTAAGTCTAAACGAATCACATATCCGGCGAGAGGAAGAGGAACTATACGCATCACTTCCATCATCTCCGGGTAAATGTACTAACGTCTACAAAGCCAGATTACGTCTCCGCACACTGTTCTGTAAGAAAGGGCCGTCGCAGATTTACATACCACATCACACAGGCTTTTCAACCAACGAGGCCCTACTAATGGTGCAAGTAGGAGACCGTAAACGAAAACAGGGACAGACTGACCGCAGAACCAACCAAGATCCATCACTCATTCTCTTCACTGAAATAGGAAACCAAAAAAATTGATTAAAATTAGCCACATGAAACAAAAACTAAACGTTTTCACTTTTCTTAGCTTCAAATATAAAAAACAGCGATGGATTCACCGCCTCCAATACGTGTATATTATCACTGTGAGTCCCTCTTCATTCGTTGTCTTCTTCAAATCTTATTTTATTATTACTCAGCCTTTTTCTAATCAAGTTTATATGTTCCGTTGATGCTATAACAAGGTGGCTGTCACAGATGCACTGTCTACGGTACGTAAACACCCGAAAAGGATAATTAGGTCCAACAAATGAGGGAAATTACCATGATCAAATACTAACCTTACCTTATTGATGTTTCAAAAAATTGTTTTCGCGCAGTACAACAAAAACAAGCTCGATACATTCGGAAAACCATTCTGCTGTCCAAATGGTGGAAGGCCCGTGGTAGATCGGTGAATAATACAAACACAGATTTCGCTTCTTCAAGCAAGGTTCCTGACAAGAACGAAGGTGCAAAGGCAAAAAAGAAAACTGTCAGGCGGAAAAAAGTTTTGTTTCCAGAGCATCATCAAATAACATCATACAGTTTACATTCTCATTATATATACACGGAGTTCTGCTATATCAGTTATCTAACGACACATGCACCTTAGGAACAAACAATGCCCCTGGAAATCCCAAAGTGACTTACTACGATTGTAAGTGTCAATATTTTCGAGCTTTTCCCCTAACAATACATTCATGTGATCCTACTAATGAGCAAAGGTTTATCTCAAACAGGTGGCTGCGATATTTGCTCTGACTACGGTATTCCCATTTTACAAACAATTCTTCAACCAGATCCATATATTTCACCACACCAAGAAAGCGTCATTTTTGTTATTTTAAAATACTACAGTGCGCAAGAAGAACAATAGAGCTATGAGGCGTGCAATCATTGCCTCCAAACGGGCATCAAAGAGGCACAAAGGTTTGACTTCTTACACCACAAGAAAAACGACCTCTCTCAACTACAAGTTTAAGACGACACAAACAATACTAAAACAGTTCACTTACAGGCGAGGCTTCAACATCTGCCCAACCCTTAACACGCCAACAGCGTAAACAAATGAAAGGTTAACCAAAACTAAACCTCATTCTCTACCTAACTTTCAACTTGAAGCTTATGTCTATGTTTCTCTCCTAAAACAGAGCTGATGGAAAAAGATAACCCAATAATGCAATGCACCTACTGCAATGCATTAGTATGGTATTCAGAGAAGACAGGAGAAGACAGAGATGGAGCACCTACCTTCACCATTTGTTGCCAACAGGGTCGTGTGAAACTACCGCCACTCAGGAAACCGCCACCTTATCTAGAAAATCTACTCGCAAACAATCCAGAATTCAGGAGATTAATACGTGTCTACAACTCAATCCTTGCGTTCACATCTATTGGTGCTAAGATAGACTACAGTATTATCATCGGATTGGATCCCTGCTTCCAGCTCCCGGTGAAACACCAAAGTTCCTGCAGATGTATATCTTTGACACAGAGAATGAGGTCGCAAATCGTATCAATTCAATGAACCGCAGGAGTCATCAATCAGAATTGGATGAGGAGATCGTTGCAGGATTGATAAAGATGTTAGATGAACACAACTGTTTGTGTCAATTCTTTTGAAAGGCCAAGGATCGATATAAGGCAAATCAGATTGAAGACCTGACTATTAGATTGGTTGGCCGGAAAGGGAAGGGAAAACAGTATGATTTACCACAGGTACAAGAGGTTGCAGGACTGATTGTTGGAGATTTAACAGCGACAACTGGTTATCGAGACATCGTTCTGCAGCTGCACTCAAGCCACTTGCAGGAGATCAGAGACGACCACCCTTTGTTCATGAGCTTACAATATCCACTTTTCTTCCACCCGGAAATCCCACATGCAGTAACACAACAAGGCGAGAGGAAGAGGAGTAATATTAGTACAAGGGAATATTACGCATATCAACTGCAGACACGACTAACTGAGGGAATGACTATTGTAAAGGGTGGACGTTTGTTTCACCAGTATGCAGTAGATGCTTATACAGCCATTGAGCAAAAAAGGCTCCAGTGGGCTAGGGATAATCAGGAGCAGCTACGAGCCGATTTGTACAACAACGTCTTCGATGCTGTTGGCAAGGGTGAGACAGAAGGAACAAAAATTGGGAAAAGGATAATTTTGCCGTCAAGCTTCACGGGAGGGCCAAGATACATGATTGAAAAATACCATGATGCAATGGCCATATGTAGACATTACGGGAATCCGACTTTGTTCATCACCATGACCGCAAATCCTAATTGGGATGAAATAAAGGAACACATCGCAAAACATGGTGAGACTGCAGGAAATCAGAGACCAGATATGGAAACGCGTGTTTTTGAGAAGAAGCTTGGGGATTTGTTAAAAGATCTAGAGAAGGGTCTATTCTTCAGCCCTTACATTGCGGGTATGTTAACTCTTTTGTTTACGCCTCACTAATCTTTCTCGGTTAAAAACTGAACAAAACTCTTTCGTTGTTGTGTCCTTTAGCCCTCCACACAGTAGAGTTCCAGAAACAGGGTCTGCCTCACGCACATATGCTTATCTGGCTGAAAAGAGAAACAACAATTCCAACACCCGATGAGGTGAATAAGATCATCTCTGCTGAACTACCAAACAAAGAAGAAGATCCGATTGGCTTTGAGCTTGTGGAGAAGCACATGATGCACGGCCCTTGTGGAGTGGACAGACCATCCTCACCCTGCATGAGTAAAAAATTTTGTACGAAAAAGTACCCAAGGCAGTACAATGAGTTCACATCCATCGACAAGTCAGGTTATATTATCTACCGTTGCCGTCATAACGAAGCAAGCATTGTGAAAAAAGGCGTTACAAATCTGGATAACAGATTCGTAATTCCCCACAATCTGGAAATCCTGAAAAAATACCAAGCGCACATAAATGTGGAATGGTGCAACACAACAAATGCCATCAAATACCTGTTCAAGTATATTACCAAAGGTGTCGACAAAGCAACATTCATGATTGAGAAGGGAACACCGGAGCTTGGCGATGAAAAATTTAAAGTTGTTAAAGAAAGAAACGAGATCCAAGAGTTTCTTGACTGCCGGTTTTTATCGGCATGTGAGGCGATGTGGCGCATATTTGCTTTTCACATCCACAAAGGGTCTATTCACATCCAGTACCAATGCGCGGGTTCCGTTTTTATGTTTTCTTTAAATTTTTTTATGAATTTTCTAATTTTACTTTAAAAAAAAATCGTTGATACAAAATCCTTTACAATTTTTATTTTTATTATTATTAATACTTTTCTTTTCTAATTATATATAACTAAATCTCCAAATATTTGGTTCAAGAGTTAGTTTTGTCACATTTTGGGTTTAGTTATCACTGTGAAAATAGAAACTCATTACCTTCACATTTGAAATGCAAATATGAATATTCATAAATGCGATTCTTTTGCCAGTGTTTCTCAAAAGTCTTAAATTAAATTTCACTTGAAAATCAATTTCGTCGAATTCATAAATTCTACATCAATATTATTACCCTCGGCCCTACATAAAGCTGGTAAAGCATAGGATTTAGGCCACCGAAAGATATATAAAAACTTTAATGCCACATGTTATTAAATGTTCATTTACCTTATATGCACTGTTGCTCTTCATTCTTCTCAATGTGGATTGTTTGAAACTTCCCAACAATAGACTCTTCAATTTATCATTATTTTTTATTTAAATATTAAATAAATTTATTGAAAAATAATATATTTTAAAATTTGAGGCCACCAAGAACCTCAGGCGACCCGGATCACCCTATCTCTCATTTGCTTTAATTATATGCACACTACCAAACATTTTGTTTCAGAATTTTAGAGATTGCATGTGTTTAAAGGTCACGATTTGTACCAAATCATCTTAACCACAAATCTTTTTAATAACTAGGTTTTTGATCCGCGCACGCGCGGGTCTGTTCTAATGAAATTTAAACTGTTATATTAATTTTTTTTTACAAACGCTTCACATTTATTTCATTTTTTGTTGTTTGTTTTTTTTTTTATAAACTTTTCTTTGTAATATACTTTTTAATTATTTTTTACTTAACCAATTTAATTATTTTATAATTAGTCATAATAAGTAAGGTACTTTTTAAAAACATATTTTCTGTAAAAAACATACAACAGCCTTATCCTCACATTTCTTAAATTAATCCCTTAATTTTACTATTCATTAGACACTTTTTTTATATCCATTAAAGGTCATCCGGCAAGCTTTTGTACAATCCAATATTAGTCTAATACATATTTTAGTTGTTAATTTCTTTTTAATTTTATTTATTAGTTTAGCTTTTCCAGCTCTGAGTTTATGATTTATACTTAATTTATTTATCTATTTTTTTAGTTTAATTATTTTGCATTCAATTCCATTTAATAAATTCATCTCTTTATTTTTAAATCACTGTTTTGATAGTTAAAAAGTCTCATATATTCCAAACTTTTTTTTTCGTATCCTGTTTAATTAATAACCGCGTTTCCAATTCCGGTTCCATTGTTTTGGTTTTTTTACAGTTCGGTTTTGCTATCACATTGAAATTAGAAATGATTCGTTGTTTTTCTTCATTTGCGACAACAAAATCGAACAATGTTTCTACCTTATTCCCACCGGAACATTGTTAATCTCATCATCGAGATCCCTCTTCTTTGTTTCTCATCTTGGTTATTTGCCTTAATCCCTGTGAGCGATTGAGACCTGTCAAAACTAATTTGATCAATTGATTGAGGGAACAGTTTCTGCTTTAATCCCTCTTCCGAGACTTTATTTCTCTGTTTCTTCTACTGATTCTCTCAAGCTAATCACTTCGTGAAAGGTTTGAATTTTCCCTATTTTGAAGCCAGTTTTGTTGATGTTGAGATTATGTGTTTAGCGTTTAATCTATTTCTTCCGATCCGAATTTGTGATAAATCTATAACTCTAGGTGATGCCAACTGCTCCGCCAAGTTCCAGAGACTCAGATGTCTAATTTTTCAAAATTGTCGCCTTTCGATGGACGTTACTGGGGTAAAGCTAATGACTTTGCCTCTTTTCTTTTATCAATTTCTGAGTACAGTAGAAACTCTATAAATTAATAATAATGGGACTTTGATATTTTATTAATTTATAGAGTTATTAATATATAGATTTTGACTAAAAACAATTTTCAAACAATTTAATATTTATAATCTTTTATAGTTTCATTCAAATTAAATAAAAACTTTCATTTATAATATATTTTCTTAATTTTTTTTTTATATTTCTGTATTTACTTTATTGTTTACATTTTTTTATACTTGCCATATTGTTTTAAATTCCATTTTCTTTTCATTTCCATATTTGTCTGATGTGTGAGATATTCATATTTTAGTAGTTATATATTTTATTTATATATAAATAATTTTTTATTATGATGATTATTAATTTATGATATTATTGGGACCATATTTTACATAAGAATTTCAAAAACATTATTATCTTATCGAATTATGTTATATTGTACACCGGCCCAACTCGGGACCGAAAGATTTTATTAATTTATCGTGTTTATTAATTTATCGAGTATTAATTTATAGAGTTTCTACTGTACTTGCCGAGGTATTTGTTTCTCATCCAAGTGAATGTTTATTATCTAATATATGATTTTGTTCTTTTCATTTTTGCGTTGACTAAGTATTTGCGAGTTCTCTAGTTGTCTAATGCTCTTGTTTTTTTTTTTATATTTGGTAGATTAAATTGCCTCTATCTTTCAAAAGTCCCTCAAGTCACCGAAGTTCCATGCTTTTCAAAAGATGGTGATGTCTACTTGCAATTCATATTCGCTGTGTTTAGCATTGATGATACGTTGGAAGTTAATAAGGTCGAGAGAGTAGCATATGATGATGTGAAAGCTGTGGAGTATTTCTTGAAACAAAAGTTTGAATCACAGCCAGAGATTGTCAAGGTTGGTAAACTTTCTCTCTGTTCCACCAAGTACTTAGCAACATTAGATAATAGTCTTTAGATAAAAAGTAAAAGGATAAGCATTAGATAATAGTCTTTTAATCGAACATTATATCTAGTCTATCTATTATAGCACGGCATGTCTTTGAACTCAGCTATTGATCGTCCATGCTGGTTCATAAGTTTCTCTATCTCCATCAAAGTGTATTGCTTTAGCTGATTTTCATTTATACGTAGGCTTGGGAAGTTGAAAGTCTTGCGTTTTCTGTGAAGCATGTCTTCACCTAGTGATTTCCAATAGCGATTCCACAAATTTAGAGGACTCCCAACTTGACAATATATCAGCAAGCAAACAAATAGTCTTCGTAGTTGATAAGGTGTAGACCATTGAGTTGCTTTGTCCATCACGTCATGCCACTCAGAGTCTGAATCTAGGAGACCTCTATCATAGGATACTGATTTGTAATCATCATATTTTGTGTCCCCAGCACTTTGAATCTCTTCAAAACTTTCCACTTTTGACCATAGACTTCTATCGCTGTTTGTTCCATGTAAATTTTTTTCAGAAATTCCGAATAAGTTATCTGATGAGCCTCTTCTGATTCTTCGTTTCTCTCCATCCATCGTCTAAACATACTTTTCTCAATGTCTTCCTTTGATTGAACTCTACTTATAATGAAAGAGTTATTACTATAAAGGCAGAGGCGTGCCTACTTGACACTTTTTGAAGCTTTGGCCTACGGCATCCAAATACTATATGTAACTAAGGAGAGGCAAACATGTATGGTTTATATGTGGCTTGTTGGTTTTAGTGTGTCTTCTCCATGTTTTTTCCAAAGTTCAAGTCACCTCTAATGCAAACTTTCTTTTTATACAATTTTCAATGGTCGTCAAAGTCGATCCCTTTTCCAAATCTACATAACTAATAAGCCTTGGGACACTCTCCAGCTGGGGACACGTGGCACCCTTCCTTTTTGTGGCCTAACACCAAAAGTCGTTTTGTGTCTCTCCTACCTGCTTCCAAAACGACGTCGTCTTACTATCCAACACGTCATCTGTCCGCCTAAACGACGCCATTTTCGCGTTTTCACTTCGACGCGCTCCGTCCCACCTCCTCCCTAATCAGATTCGAATACGTTCGTAACCCCCAAAATTTCTATTTCCGCAGATGTCGCCGTCTCTCTCCTCACGAAGACGATTGCTCTCCTCGCCGGCCGTCGCCATGGTTCACGGTTATCCCTCTCCTCCAGTATCTTCCTCTGTCAATTCCGGACACAGCTCGCCTCGTGCGTCTATGGGGTCACGGGCTCATGTCTCTAATTGCTTTTTGTTATTGCTCTTTCTTACAGGAATTAGGAGAACCGTTACATTATTGGCTCTCATGTTTCTGTTTCCTCTTTGTTACAGGAATTCAGAGGACGGTTGGATTATTGGCTCTCATCTTATTGGGCGATTAGATTATAGTTTCTCATGAATTTCTCTCGCCTTCAACTCAGAACAACACCTATTAATGAAGATGATACATTGTTATTGGTAAGCAGAGTTGATGGCTTTCATTTCACTGTCTAAATCCTCTGTAACTTTGTATATGCTTATCATATCAACCAATTTAATTCTGATTGTTTTTCAGCGTTGATTATCAATCCACATTGGTTAGCCTTTCAGTTTCTGATGGACTTTCTGTAATTTTGATTGCTGAACCAAACACATGAAGTCTTCGCGCATATGACTCACCAGCCAATTAACGATCTAGGTTTTTTTTACCTTATTAACTTTGTATATCTGAGGAGTATGGACTAATTGTTCTGACCCATTTTCATGAGTAGTATGATGGAGATGCATAGAACCATACACCAGAGTGGCTAAAGTGCCTAAATTGTTTTTTCTGAACTTCAATTCTTACGGTATTGAGAATCATGGAGCTTGTGGTGTCAAAAGGTGTGTCCATGATCTAACCGTTACTGTATATATTGAGAATCATGGAGCTTGTTGTGTAACTCAATCCTGAGATTAGCTTCTTTTTTATATATACAGGAAAAACATAACTGTAGGTAGCTCAGTTTCAAGCAGAATATCCAACAATGTGCAAAGACAGCCTCCTCTCGGGTAAGTGGATTAAGTACTCACTATCTTATGTCACTTACTGCAATGGCTTCAGTTGGTTAATGTGGAAATAAGTCTAGGTTGTTTTTGTCTAATGGATTTGCAACAGTGAAAATCTTTCAACTCAAAGCAGAACCAAAGCAAAGTCTTTCACTGTATCTTCTCCTTTCAACTTCATAAGTGATGAAAGGGCAGAGAAGAGGAAAGGGTAAAACTACAGAAGAACCCTATATTTATCTCTATCTTTCGAATCAAATAAGAGCCATAGGTTTAACGAAGCTCTCTCTTTGTTGTGGCTGTGTTTGTTAGTTCTTCAAGAAGCTAGAAGAAAAGAACAAGAAAGAGGAAGATGTTATGAAAGAGCAGTTGTCTTGTGTCTTCAGATCAGTGACTCTTCGAAACAAAACTGTAAAAAAAATATAGTGGCCTACGGATCTTATATACAATCATTTAGAAACCAAATTTTTGATTAGTTTTATCTTCTATGTTTCGTAATTTGTTTTTTCTAAATCAAAACCCCACTATAAGATGAAGAGAAAGAGAGCTCAAATTCTTCTTATCAAAACCCCACTATAGACTTTCAAGGATGAGTTGTGCAGTAGAATAAAAATAGAGAGAGAGCTCAAATTCTTGGTATAACTACGTACTCGATAGTTTTTGTAGTCTCTCGATCTTGTATCATTTGTCTACATGGACAATGTGATAATGTAAAATAATTGCGGATCTAATTTTTCTATTATTGATAATCTAAATTATTCCTTCTCATTGATAATTCTAAATGAACTCTTAGAAATATAAACCCGCGCATTACGCGAATGCTCATATTTGAATAATATTAAAAAAATCTAGTTTTCTATTCTTATATGCATACTTTTATCTGTATAGGATAACTTCCATCTTAGTAAATCTCTTGTTTGTATAAAAACTCTACCTATTCAATATATACATAAGTTTTTTCGCTATTTTTTACAATTGTTCATTCTAGCAATTTTTATTATTTGGTCCATTATCTCTTGTTTTTTTTTAAACTGCATTTTATATAATTCTTTCCTTTTATTCTATTTAAAATTAGCTTAACTACTTCAGCTATTTATAATAAAATAATTTAAATCTTTTTTTGGATTACAGCATCAGAAATGCTAGGCACGACTCTGCATAAAGGTCCTCGTTATTGTCAACAGATTCATTATACTCGGCGTTGGAACGAATCAAAGTTTTGACCCTCAATAGTGTAGTCATCATGGTCGGCTTGCACCATTGTTGTTTCCGGAATGAATTGGATGAGAAATCTGTGTGAGGAGAACTTGTAGCTCGTTTTGTTGATGATGACCAAAAAACTACCAATGTTGTAGACTTCTCGCCTTTTTTGTTGTTGATGACCAGAAAGCTATTAAACTTGTAAACTTCACCAGCCTTTAATTTTTCTCATAGTCTCCTAGTCGATAACTGGTATGAATGCTTGGATTGTAGTTCCCTGTATTAAATTATGGTAGAAAAGAGTATTATAAGCTGATGATGATTTAACTTTCTATTGGTAATTGGTAAATAATGTTGGTGTCGTTACCTTTTGATCGATTAGAAGCAGTTCATATCTCATAAGCAGACCTTCTTTTTTAGGGTTCCTTGCCTCCCAGAAGTGGATGATTCTAGCAAGCAGCTCTTTCTTACAAAATCCTTTAGTGAGTTCATCGAAAACAAAAGGACGCCATAACTGATCAGAAACAGAAGAGCTGGAAGAAGACATAGCTATTTTAATAAACGATCTCTCTCTTGAAGAATATGTTGTTGTCTTTAGAACTCTTGTATGTGTATTCTAAAGTTTAGAGGACTATTTATAGCCAATGCCAAACATTGAAATAGCTAAATTGTTAATTTTCTTTTTATTTTAATTAGTTAGTTTAGCTTTTCCAATAATATGTTCTTTTTGTTAGTTTAACTCTTTTTATGTTGAATTTCCATTAAACTATTTAAAATAATGGGTTAAGGTAATTGGTGTCGTAATGTAAGTATTAAAATTCAAAATAGTACAATTTCCATTCTTTAATACAATAATGTAATTTTTCTCAAAAATTATTTAATTTTCGATTTTAAAATTAAAATGCTGATTTGGCAAAATTTAATTTTTTTAAAAGCTGATGTGGACGCCTTCAGAGGCTTATAGCCTCAACTTTTATATAGTATAGATTTCCAAATATTTTCATTAGACAAAATTAAAAAAAACATAGAAAGTAATTTTCCTTTTTATGTCATTAGAAATCTTATATTTTCTATTTTCTAAACACTTTAATATGAATAAAAATAGAATTGAGTATTAAGAAAATATCATAATAACAAATAAAATGAAATTCTTTTAAGATGCTTATGTGTACTTATCAAATTAAATTTCTTATTTTTCTTTTGCTACACCGCAACACCTTGTTGCTAAAAGAAAATTTATTTGTCTAACTACTTAGTGTGTTTACCATGAAAAACTGCTTAATAGAGATGTTTAAGTCTGAAATTCATTAAAATGAATGGTTGAATGTGACATAATAGATAGTATAAGCTTCTTAATCAATTTTCCACTAATATAAAAGACAAATTCTAATGTCATTTTTTATTAGATAATCTATATAAAAATTATAATTATTAAAATCTAATTAATAAAATATTTGTAAAATAGGAAATTTACTAAAGTTATATATTAAAGTTATAATACTTATTGGAATAAAAGAAAATATATGAATATTAAAAAATGGAAATTTGCTAATATACATAAAAGGGAAATTTGCTAATAAGAATAAAAAGGAAATTAATTATTCAATTAAAAAAATTAATAATAATGTCATGGATAAATTAAATACAGTTTTAGAATCCTAGGTGGACACCCTCTAATGCATATAGGCTCATGCAACTTTTATTAGTAAATAGATGTATCTCAAGTACAATATTTAAATAAAATTTCAGATATTAGATATATCAGAAAAGAAAAGTATATAAAAAAGAGAATTGTATTTCAATAATAAATAAAAAAAATGAACCATCGATTCAAATCTTTCTTGGTTAATCTAATTTGGACATCTCGAGGGTAGACTCTTCCAACACAAACTAAAAAGAAAATCAAATATCAAAAATTCATGAAAGAAAATCAAAACCAAGAAATCTACTAACCAAAACTAGATACTAAAATAAAACAAAAAAAAACCAGGAAGAGACTAACAAGCTCAAAGAGATCATACATGTCGATCTTAACGAGGAAGCTCTTGATAAGGTATAGGGAACATCCCAATCATACTTGAACTCAGACCAATAGCTACCTACCCCGTAGATTCCATCTTCTTTAGCTTCCCAAGTACGAGGACCAATGTAATAAACGTCAAAGACTTGGTGATGCTTGAAGTTAGGTCCTTGCCATAGGTGACACCATAATATTTCGGGGGCCAAAGTATTGGATTCGTGACGAAAACCGTAAGATCCTGTGGGATGCACCCTATGGTATCCCATATCTTGGTCGGCGGTTTTGCAATGGACTACGAGATCGTTTCCGCTGTGCAGAAGGTTTCTGATCCACACAGATCTTATGTAGAGAAAGGATAAGGCTGGTTTACTCATCATGGTAAGGCTAAACGCGAAAGCGAAAAGGATGAAAGATCGACGACGATTCATTGGCATCTTTGTATCGAACTAATGCTTCGGTTTTGCAATGAGTTTTTTAGGTTTTTTTAATAGTTTGAAACGAAGATCAATAAATAGTAGTAATGATGATGGAAAGAGAGAGAGAAAGAGGGGATAATATGCGAAAGAAGGTATTCCTCTTTGATAGAACTTTAGAAGAAATATATGATATTTCGTTTATCTATTTTTATTAAAAATAATTGTTATACTAGTCATAGTCCTAATAGTTTTAGGAAACACCAAAGTAAATTAATTTAGTATCCTTAGTATTGGAAATTCTCTTGATTTTAATATTTTCTCGATCAGTCATCTTTCCCGAGAGGACATCATTTAGACTCTTATACAGATGAAGTAAAGATGATAATGACAGCAATTGCTGTCATACAGATGAGATTCTTTATCTTATTGCTGTTATTATTTGTACAGATGAGTTTCATTCGCACAAAAGACATCTGCCAGGAATATTCAAACAGAGCTATATCAAGTCAGAGTAAATGAAACAGGATGAGGCCAAGTCCAAATCTTTTAAGATACACGCCAAAGAAACAAATGTTGAATCATCATCAGGAACAAAACAAGGCAAGCAATCTCTTAAGGAGAGAAAGGAACAGGTGACGAGCTCTACCAAGGAGCCACAAACCTGTGCTACCAAAAGGCAAAACCTTACCGAACAAGCAGATTTTGCATATAAATGTAGAGAGAAGCGACCATATATTCCAATAGAGAAATTCGATTAGTCTTGAAAGAAAGCAATGACAGATAATGACGCAAACATAGTTCACCAACCCAAAACACAAACCACATAAAGCATTAATAGAAACGCAAAAACAGGAACTTCTATTGGAACTTCATAAGAGAGACGCAACAAGTAAGTTTTCAGAAACCACCACGAAGACGGAGGACCAAGTGAAGGGTCGACTCCTTCTGGATGTTGTAGTCAGCAAGTGTGCGACCATCCTCCAGCTGTTTTCCAGCGAAGATGAGACGCTGCTGGTCCGGAGGGATGCCTTCCTTATCCTGGATCTTGGCTTTCACGTTGTCAATGGTGTCGGAGCTCTCCACCTCCAATGTGATGGTCTTTCCGGTCAATGTCTTCACGAAGATCTGCATGCCACCACGGAGACGCAAGACCAAGTGGAGGGTCGACTCCTTCTGTATATTGTAATCAGCCAATGTGCGACCGTCCTCAAGCTGCTTGCCGGCGAAGATCAACCTCTGCTGATCCGGTGGAATGCCTTCCTTATCCTGGATCTTGGCTTTCACGTTGTCAATTGTGTCGGAGCTCTCCACTTCAAGTGTGATTGTTTTGCCGGTGAGAGTCTTCACGAAGATCTGCATACCACCACGAAGCCTGAGCACAAGATGAAGTGTAGACTCCTTCTGGATGTTGTAGTCAGCCAAGGTCCGGCCATCTTCAAGCTGCTTTCCGGCGAAGATGAGCCTCTGCTGGTCCGGAGGAATCCCCTCCTTATCTTGGATTTTGGCCTTGACGTTGTCAATGGTGTCGGAGCTCTCAACCTCCAAAGTGATCGTCTTTCCGGTTAGGGTTTTGACGAAGATTTGCATACCACCACGGAGCCTGAGGACCAAGTGAAGCGTGGATTCCTTTTGGATGTTGTAATCAGCCAAGGTCCGGCCATCTTCAAGCTGCTTTCCGGCGAAGATAAGCCTCTGCTGATCCGGAGGAATGCCTTCCTTATCCTGGATCTTCGCTTTCACATTGTCGATCGTGTCGGAGCTTTCCACCTCGAGGGTGATAGTCTTTCCGGTGAGAGTCTTAACGAATATTTGCATCTGGAAAATCAGAAAAACCTAAGATCAACAATCTATTTAGGAACAAAACTCAGATCAATTGGATAAACAGTCGGTAACAATAACGAAACCGATTCGCTATACCAAAATCCGATCGCACAAACACGAATCAGATCCGATCACGCAATTGATAATACAAGCCCTAATCGAGAATCAAGAGAAGATCTATCTCAGCTATTGGCCTTCTATAACCGAATCAAATTCAAAGAACAGAGAATCAATTGCGAGCGAACGAACGAATCAACAAATCGAAGAAAACCTAATAAGGAATCAGAACTCTACCTTGATTGTAATTCGCGATTGAGAGAGAATTTGAGAAAATGATTTTTTAGGATTGTGAAATTGAATATGCGAGAGAGAAGAGGACTTAGGGTAATTATTTATAGGAGAGGATGACGAGGAGTCGGTCACGAGCAAGGTAAACGCGGCGAAGCAATAAAAACACACGCGTGTAAATATGGTCGCTAAACGCAGCGTTTCGATCTAATGACCTGGCCCATTAACAGAAATCAAGTTTGTGAAAATAAAGAAACCAAACTTGAAGTTATAAACTAAAACACTTTAAAAACAAATGTTATTGTTATGAAATAATGAGTAACCATCATGAACACTTGGCATAGGTGGTTGATTACCAAGTATATGCCACTAATCTTCACTTTATGCAAATGTCAATATTCTCAAGAAGATATATGTGAATTCATCCCTCTAGTCATTTGATAACTTAACCAAGTCTTTGTACCACTATATATACATGAAGATTTCATCACTTGTGTGAAGAAGTGGATAAGAAGAGATGTGTAGAGAAGAGAGTTGTTGTAATTGTATGAGAGAAACCATGAATGAAACTCTTTCTATAAACTCTTGTTCATTCTTTCTTCCTCTTTGTTCATCTCTTTTTCTTCCTTTTAACTCTCTTTGATCATTATCTCTTGTGTATTATATACACATCTTAAACACATAAACACATACATATTATTAGAGTATGGTTTATACCACAAGAGAGTATTTATTCACAACACGTTATCAGCACGATTGTCTCTATCCGTTGAGCCATCACGATCGTCTCTATCCATATATATCCATTGAGCCATCAAGATATCCTAAGTATGATCGTTTCTCTACCCGTTCATTGGTGCATATATTTAAATTTTGGTTTACATAATTATGTTTATATATTATGTACGGAGTGAAAGGTTATAACTTCTCCGATTCATGTAGGCATGCCTTCTCCAATTTATTATTGGGTAGATAGGCTGTGCCTTCCCCAACCAAATAGTCTTTTGTTGGCTTTGCCTTTGACGATTACGTATGATCATATGGTAGACTATGTCTCCTCGAATCAATATATATTTGGAGTGGTAGGTAAATCCTCCTTTGGAGTTGATAGTAAAAACCTCCTCCTTGTGGTTGAGTAGAAGGCTTTGTCTCCTCCCCAAATTCATGATGTCGCAAATTTGAGATTTGGAAGGATAAATATATATCTAGCATATAGTGCTATGATTATACAATATCTTAAAGATAAGAAAGTATATTTCCTGTCTCAAACTAAAAGTCTCCGCAAGAAGCGTGAGCCATATATTTGGTAATAAAAAAAAATTATACCAAATTTTGTACATGTTAGTTATTCAATGCTAAGGGGAGGAAATTTGAAATGCTAGATGCATTATATTGCTCCGAAGTCTCAAAGAAACTTGTTAAGTTTCAAGGATATTCGTAGAAATATCATATAGAGACTATGAATAAGAGTGGCATTGAATAAATTTGTATTACAGCAAAAGACATGTATTGAAAGAGTTGACATTTATGTCCTCTGATTGTGGTATACAAAGATAAATAAGATTGAATCTTATGTTGCAGTAAACCAGAAGTTTACTAGCATTTTTAGAGTGTGACATGAAAAGTTAAGTCACCCTAATCTATTTCTCTATGAGAATGATTGAGCGGAAATCAAGTGGCCACCTATTGAAAAACTAGAAGATTTTTCAATATGGAAAGTTTTCATAGTGTATTTTATTAAAGAAAACTCATAAGTAGGCACTTGCTCATCAAAGTTGGGAATGAATCTCTTGTAATTCTTAGAAAGAATACATGATGATATAAGTGGGCAGATTAACCCACAGTGCGAGCCATTTAGATGTTTTATGGTTTTAGTTGACACATCTAGTAGATGGTCACATGTGTGTCTTTTGACCACAAAGAATATGGCTTTCGCAAGATTCATTGCCCAGATCATCAGGTTGAGAGTCCACTTCCCTGATTATGCCATAAAGAAAGTAAGGCTTGATAACGCTTGTGAATTCACTGTATGGGGAAATGTTAAGTTGTATATTGAGCATTGGTCCAGGAGCGACCAAGTGCATATAAAAGAATATTTCCCTATATAGTTAACAGTGAATATATGTTAAGCGTTTGTCACCAAATAAATTGAAGCAGTTGAACAAGTAACTGGTGTTATGTTCATGGCAAAGTCTGCCGATAAACGAAAGTAAGTTCTCCGCATTAGGGGAAGAATTGAGAGAATCACCAAATGATAGCACTTGGTGTATACACTCTTTGGCTATCTCAATTCTCCTACTACTTAGCGTGAGTAAGAAGTGAACATTTCGATGAAAGTGAATTCCCGCGTTAAGGGGGAGGATTAAGAGAATCACCAAATGATATCACATAGTGTAAACACTCTTTGGCTATCTTGATCCTCCTACAACGTGAAGTGGAAGTTCAGTAAATTATATATTTGCAAAGTTAAGCAAACCAGTTACATGATATGTTCACAAATATAAGAAGAGTGGCAAAGTCCTATAGCCCCGCTGCTAATGCTCCATCAAGAGAAAAGTTCTTGAAGAACATATTGATGTAAGTAGAGCGAATGAACCGGTTCAATTGAAGCGCGGGAGGCATATAGGATCAAAATATAGAAATTCCCCAACAGAGAAAGAAATTGGGTGAAAAAGGTTTTAGAGAAACCATATACAAACAAATGTCAAGATGACATATGTGAAAGAGTTCTAAAAGAACTATATAGAGAAATTCATCTAGAAGATGAATCTGGATCATAAAAGATATGAGATTTTCCATCAGCTTTGCGCAAAGCCAATATTATGAGATTTAAAGATAATGATGGAATGTTCTCTCTTAATGTATCCAAAGAGATCAATCTTGAAAATGATCTAGACTTTAGGTCCATGTCAGAGTGCCAGAAAAGGCCTGACTATGAGAAATGGAAATGCATGAGATATAAAATATTCTCCCATAGTGAAAGAAATGTTTTTGGACCTAGAGCCATCATACTATTATTTGCAAAGTCAGATTTCGAATGGAGCCACCACGTTAACTCTCAGCCTCGGAATTACAGAACTACCCTTAATGAAAATCTTGAATAAATCTTCGAATTTCCTTTTTTAATAATATTTTTTTTTGGCTAATCATCAGTTTTATTTTCAAAAGAAGAAAAACTTATGCCTACTAATTTATATAAATTAATATTGTAGAGAAAATCTTGAGGAAACCCTAACTCTTATAAATTTGTACAAAAACCTATATATACAAAGTTGTGACTAACAAGAACGGCCATCTTATTTGTACGGTGTTATATCAATATCTGCACATGGTATTAATTGGAACCTAGCGGGTTTTGAACTCAGCAAGCTCTGGAATTGAGTATAAATGAATCTCTTGGGTGTGAAGCTTTGAAATTCGAGTGAAACTATGGATTCTGATACCGATTAGATCATGGGTATTTGAGATGAATGAGCTTAAGCAGGTTTTAGTTTGAAACCCTATCGCCTTTACTCAAAGCAAGATGGATCGAATTTGAATGTATGTATTGCTTGAGTTTGATGCTTTGAAGCACGACTCAGAACTTGGGAAACCTACTGGAATACAGTTTTGGTTTGGAGACTTGCTCAAATATACAACCAAGACTAGGATTAATTATCATCTCTTCTTTCCTTGGCGAAGACTTACTTTCGTAAGAATAGTCTAATCAATTGGTTCTCTAGACAAGTTTCTCTTCATCTTGAATCCTAGAACTCACGTTATTTGAATATTTTTGCTCTGTTTTGGTTTTAGTTAATCCTTATTAGTCGCAAGTACTCTCTCTTTATCTCTTTCTTAAACCTCGCAGGGATATTTTTCTTAAAATATTGGGCATGCATGCTTGAGAGGTACGTGAGTTCTCCAATGTACACGTCTATACCAACATGCTCATAAATGTTCTCCGATCAACTCCTCTCTTTCTTTGCCCTATATATATTCAACATCTTCGTACTATCCACGATCATGTGTTTTAGGAATTCTCGGTGAGGTTGTGTATCATGGAGTGCAGGAAGAGTGAATTTTGTTAAGACACGATTGTAGCAATCTGCAAATTTGAGGATGAAAATCAGCTTTGGTTTTAAATGTTACTTCTGATGCTGACCAGGTTAAAATCTTTCTCCTTGTGATGGTGATAATGACTTATACTCTTGACTGTTCCTGTAATTTGTTTGTATTGTTTCCTTTAGGATGATGCCTAACAGTTGTTACTAACTTTTCAAGGAAAAAATAACTTGCAGAATCATAAATGGTGTTCTCACTTGCCTTCCGCTCCTCCAAAAGCTATCACTCCAAACATGTATCTTACAAAGTGATGTGATGTCTCTCTGTAATGCACTAAAAGATCGCGATAAATGATCACGGAGGTTTTGCGTGAGATGAAAGGTAACGACGTGGACACTGAACCGGAACACAGTGATATGTTTGCTATATTTTGTCACTGCATCACGACGTAAACTCATCCAGGTCTCCATGCTGGTGCCCAGAGATATTATTAGCTACGATCCACAAACGATGTAGCATTGCTTCTCCACAACCTGCTCCCTCTTGAGAGTGAGGTACTGAGGTGTATGTATACTCTCATAATACAAAAAAAGTTAACATTGAACACATATGGGTTGATTTTTCTTCGAATATGAAATGGAATAATACCAAACATATTTTTGTTTTTAGATGTGCAATGGCTCAAATAAGCGTGCCTTCTTGTTGTTGCATCCGTTGAAATCAGTTTATTCAAGTAGACACTTTGGGTTTCGGGTTTAAGTCTGAAAATCAAAATTTTGAAGAAAATAGTAAGGTATTATGAGTTGGTGGGGGTTTGGAAGTTAATAACGATTGCTTTATTAGTGAAATTTTTACATAGATAACCAAAAGATCGTTACTTCCTAAATGCGATTTCTTGGCGATTAGGGTTTTCTCCTTCGTCGCCGCCGCCGGAGGTGCCTCACGCCCTTCGACGAGAATCCTTCTCTTCGTCTCTGCTCATGGCTTCGTCCTCGACCTCTATCGTTGTTCCTCCTCCTTCTGTTCCGCCAGATCTGCTTTTTCTTCATCCCCTAGATCCAGTCTCTCCGTCTGGGTTTGTCACCGCCTCACTATCCCCTTCGTGCCCTCCTTCAAGGAATCAGCTAGCTCCAATTGATGTAGCTCACATTCCAGCGGAAGCTTCTGATCCAAAGATTAATTTGAAAGATTCGTGGGTATCTAAGGTCAGAGCGACCTTTCAACCTCTTAGCAAGATCGCTTCACCTACCTTTACTGAGGATGGAACACCATCAATTCGAGCCCCGGATTCGATTACTCTTGGATCCTCAATCCTTTGGAAAGATCATCTGGTTGCTTTTTTCCATGGAACTCCTCCGTCTACAGCAAAGATTTTCGCAGATCTCAACCCGATTTGGGGAAAGAATGGGCAAATTACGGTGAAACACCACTCGGAAGACATTTGTATGATCTATGTTCCTTGTTCAGCTACTAGACAGTGGGCGCTTGACGTTGGATTCTGGCATTTGGGGAACTGCTCTTTCACATTAGCTCTCTGGACGCCTTCCCTCGACCTTTCACCTATGAAGCTAGTTCAAGCACCGCTATGGGTCCTCTTCAAGAAAGTTCCGCCAGAGCTCTGGTCTATCGATGGTTTCAGTACAATTGCTTCAGGAGTGGGTAACCCTGTTCATTCAGAATTCTCGGCTCTCAAACCATATACTAATGGTATTATCAAGCTCAAGGTTATTATCGATCTAGAGAAGAAGAGACCTCCTTCTGTCAAGGTTACCGACAACTTGGGAAACTCGGTCACTGTTATTGCGGAATATCCTAGGCTTCCCCCAAAGTGTAATAGATGCAAGGAATTTGGTCATCTGGAATTGAGGTGTCCCTTAGCTCGTTCCACCCGAGACATTCCCAAACCAGGTGATTTCATTGGTCCCTTGCAAGAAGAACCTCGTCCCCCCCAGATTTCTCTAGAGAATGGAGTACGAAAGGATTCTCCTGGAACCAAGTCGGCAAGCGCGCCTGTCTCTCCTACAGTTGCTGCTTCAGGCGGATTAGTTCGGTCCACAAGTTTAACCCACTTCCCTCGATGCTCCTCCTTGGATCCTTCTTCAGGAGGGTGGCTCCGTACTGTTAAAAGATCCAAAGTGCGATTAGATGTTTCCTCCCATCCCGGTTCCGTGGGGATTCGTTCAAAGCTTCCAGTCACTGAGTCTCAGTTTGCAGAGGAAGAGGAACTTATTAACGAGGCCCAAGCGATTATCCGCAGACGTATCTCGGTCCTCAAAGCAGCCTCTCCAAAGAAAAAATCCACAGCTTTAAGAAGGAATGCCAGAAAAATCCAGAGACAGAAGCAGCTTCTATTATCTTGCTCTGAGCCTGATGGTGTGGATATAGAAACGTCAGTAAGGTCCTCTTCGGAATCTGTAAATACTTTAACTTCAGCTGTAGGCGGACGGGCACTTCCGTGCTTTGTCCCTCCTGTCTTAGATTAGTGCTTGGCACTGCCCTTTTTTGACTTCTTAATGAAGTGCTTTTTTTGGAATATTCGGGGCCTTAACGGCGATACAAGGCAATTATCAGTAAAGAGATGGATCAGCATCAACCGACCCTTAGTAGGCGAGTTTTTGGAAACACATGTGAGGCAGTCTAATCTTCTGGATGTTATGACAAGAATTTTACCGGGTTGGAATTTTGAAGCAAATTACTCTTCAGAGGCAGAAAATGGGAGGATTGTTGTTGTTTGGGACCCTCTTCTTTCAGTAGTTACCTATTACTCATCTCCTCATCTGATGTTGTGTGGAGTCTTTAATCCCCACACGAATGATAATTTCACTATCGCTTTTGTTTATGCAAGGAATACACGAGAGGAGAGAGTCTCTTTATGGACTTTAATTAAGGATTTGGCATCTGAGAATCTTCTTCGTCAATCTCCTTGGATTTTAATGGGGGATTTTAACCAAGTATTATCAACTTCGGAGGCCTTCGCTATGATCCCAGCCCCGCTTAATCTTCAGGGCATGGAGGAGTTCAAGGACTGTCTTAATGAAAGTGAAGTCTTTGATCTCTCTTTTAGAGGCTGTCACTACACCTGGTCAAACAACAGTCTTTCCAACAGGAAGCTGAGGAAGCTCGACAGAGCCTTGGTGAATGAAGCTTGGATGGATAAGTACCCGAATTCAAATGCTCTCTTTGATGCACCTGGATCCTCGGATCATTCCCCTTGTTTGGTCTCTCTCTCCAATAACCTCACTAGGCGGAAGTGCAGGTTCATGTTCTTTAATCTTTTCACTTCTCACCCGGATTACTCAACTCTTATCAGTGAGGCTTGGAATGCTCCTATTTTGGCTGCTGGATCGATGTCTTCTCTGTACCAGAAGCTCAGAATGGCAAAGATTTGCTGCAAAAACCTCAATCGGTCTTCCTTCAGTAACATTCAGGCGAGAACAAAAGAAGCTTTTCAGAGGTTGGAAGATATTCAAAAGAGAGTTCTCACCTCCCCGGAACAAGATTTATTTGAGGAAGAAGCAATTGCAAAAGCTCAATGGTTGCACTTATCTGCTGCAGAAGAATCTTTCTTTCACCAAAAGTCAAGAATCAGATGGTTGAAAGATGGCGATTCAAACACAGGTTTTTTCCACAAGTCTGTTAAGGCAAATCTTTCTAAGAACATCATACATTACCTCAGAGATGATAATGATGTTAAGGTTTCGGATCCCGTCCTTCTAAAGGAAATGGTCACCAGTTTCTACCTGAATCTATTAGGCTCAGCTAATAATCACATCCGCCTTATTTCGGTTCAGGAGATTCGTCATCTTCATCCTTTCAGATGCAGCGATGCCCTGTCAGTGCAATTATCTGCTTTCCCGACGGATGAGGAGATTAAGTCCATAGTCTTCTGCCTTACCGAAGAATAAAGCACCAGGTCCCGACGGGTTCTCGCTGGAGTTCTTTACATCCTCTTGGGACCTCGTTGGAGCGGATTTAATTCGAGCTGTCAAGGATTTTTTTGCAGATCCGTCTCTCTCTAGACAGGTTAATTCAACGGTGATCTCTCTTTCCCAGTTCAGACCCATTTCCCTGTGCAACACTGTCTATAAAGTAATTGCCAAGATTATTGGGACTAAGCTCAAACGCCTGACTCCTCTGGCTGTTCAAAGAAATCAGGTGGGGTTCGTGAAGGGAAGGTTGCTATGTGAGAACGTGTTATTAGCTTCAGAGCTCGTTGCTGATTTTAACAAGCCTGGACCCATCACTAGAGGCTGCCTGCAGATTGACATAACAAAGGCGTATGACAATGTTGATTGGGGTTTTCTTCTTCGTCTGTTGGAAGCTCTGGAGATACCGCCATCTCTTGTTTCCTGGATTCGTCATTGTATTACTTCGCCACATTTTTCAGTGGCGTTGAATGGAGAGTTGGTGGGGTTTTTTAAAGGAGGAAAAGGGCTTCGCCAAGGAGATCCAATCTCATCCTCTTTGTTCGTTTTGGTGATGGATTTTTTATCCAAAATGCTGGATGATGCGGTAAGGACAAGTAGAGTGAAACCTCACCCCCATTGTGAAGATCCGCTGCTCACTCATCTAAGTTTCGCTGATGATATGTTAATCTTCTTTGATGGATCCCCTCAGTCGCTCAAAGCCATTCTTGAGGTATTATCAACTTTCAATGAAATTTCCGGTCTAGCTCTCAATCCAAGGAAATCACTTCTCTTCTTAGATGGGAATGATAGTGTAGCTACAGCTTCTATGGCAGAGAGTTTTGGTTTGCTTCCAGGTTCCCTTCCTGTCAAATATCTTGGCCTTCCCCTTCTTCCTCACAAAATGCGTAAGCAAGATTATCAGCCTTTAATAGACAGAGTCACAGCTAGAATCTCTTCGTGGCCTGTAAAAAGGTTGTCTTTTGCAGGGAGACTGCAGTTGATTCAGTCAGTCTTATCAAGTATGGTCAACTTTTGGGCAGCTGTTTTTCCACTCCCAATGAGTTGCATAAAAAAATTGGAACAAATATGCAACTCTTTCCTTTGGAATGGAGCGCCAAATTCAGCGAGAGGTGCAAAAATTTCATGGGAATCTGTCTGTTCTCCAAAAGCAGCAGGAGGTTTGGGGTTAAGGAGGATTGCTGACTCGGTTCAAGTTTATGGCTTAAAGCTTATTTGGCTCATCTTTGCTGGAAATGGCTCTCTATGGGTTGCTTGGGTGCGAAATAATATTATTGGAGAAAGGTTGATATGGACGGCAGACTTTAGACAATCTGGGTCTTGGTTATGGAGGAGAGTGATGAAGCTTCGAGACTTGGCCAGACCATATCTTGCTTGTCAATTAAGATCCGGATCCAATGCTCTCTTTTGGCATGACGATTGGACAGGCTTGGGTCCATTAGTGGATATTACGGGTGCAAATGGACCAAGAGTTTGTGGGATTCGATCTATGGAGGTGGTGGCTAATGCCATAACCCAAGGACAATGGCGGCTTCCTCGTGGAAGACATCCGATATTAATCCTGCTGCGTAACTGCCTTCCTCAGGAGGTTCCTGATTTGAATTCTTCATTACCGGATTTTTTCTTATGGAGAAACTCTCCAGATTCACCTCCAGGAATTTTCTCTACTTCTCGGACTTGGGATTCTTTACATCCGCCTTCTCCAGCCTTACCTTGGACGGAAACGGTTTGGTTCAAGCAGAGAGTTCCTAAACACGCTTTTATCTTATGGGTGACCCTCAGGGACCGATTAACAACAAGAGACAAGCTGAGGAGTTGGGGGATAAATGTTCCAGCTAGTTGCTTGTTATGTGGATCGAATCCTGAGACGAGGGATCATCTTTTCTTCCAATGTAATTTTGCTGCTGGAATTTGGAATAGTTTTTTCACGCACAAAACACTTTCCCCGCCGATATCTTTTCAAGATATAGTGCTATAGTTATTTGTCACCTGGTGTTGCAAGCGACAGTCTACATCATTTGGAAGGAAAGGAATTCCCGTTTACATTCAACCGAGGTCAAACCGGCAAGAATCTTGGTTAAGGAAATTCGGACTATTTTGAGGGCAAAGCTATTTTCTCTTGATAGAACGATCGTTACAAACAACACCGCTATTACTTCAACTGAGGCCGAAGAATCTTATCTTCACACTTGGTTCAACTTCTTCCAACCTTAATGTCTCTGAGTTCTTGGTTCTCCTCACATGTGTTTGTTTTTATCTTTTGGTTTCTATTCAGGGTGTTTCCCTTTCTTGTATCGCCTTGTAAACTTTTTCCCAGGCGGGAAGATAAATAAAAATCAGTACTTCTCAAAAAAAAAAAAAAAAAAAAAAAAAAAAAAAAAAAAATGGAATCATTTGTTAAAAGATCATGTGGAATGACAAGATTATGTACGTATAGAAAAACTGAGACCACAAGAAACAAATGAGCTGAAAGATATTGGTACAACTTTTTAGTTGCAGAATTTTAATGTAGATTAATCAAGAACATGAACTATGACAAAAAGAGTAACAAATGCCTACTGCGTAAACACGATAGAAAAACTGGAAAAAAAGAAGAAGTTAAAAGAGATGAAAAAAAAGAGAAACAGGAAGAATGAGAAGTCACATAGAAAGAAAAACAAACTAAAGAATACGAAATATAAGAAGATGAGAATAAGTTGCAAAAGAACAAAAAGAAGACCAAAAACAAAGTCAGGAAGAATAAAATTCATAATACAACCATTGAAAATATATATTATTCTTTTTTTTTCTTATTAATCTAGAACTAACATTGTCGATTTAAAACAAAAATAACAACAATTTTTTTTAAACCTAAATTAATAAAAGAAAATCCTAAACAAATTTGTAATGTGGGATTAGAGTGTACTATTTAAGAGGGTTTATAATTTTGGGTTGGGATTTAGAGTGTAAAACCAAAACTGTAAAAGCAAATACAAAACATGTTTGTAATGTGAGGTTAGGATGTACAGTTTAGGGGGGTTTTATAATGTGGGGTTTTAGGTTGTGGGGTTTATATTGATGGTTGTAGAGTTTAGTTTTTGGTCTATTTTAAAAACTTTGAATACACGAAAATTAATGATTAATAAAAGACACAACAACAAATTATTTTAAAAAAAACTTAAATAAAAGTAAATTGACAACCAGTTTGTAATGTGAGGTTAGGATATACGGTTTAGGGGTTTATAATGTGGGGTTTACGAAATTTTTAGTTTTCAATGCATTTTTAAAAATTGAATTATTTGCAAAATTAAAAATCATTGATCATTGATTTATATCTACCATTTTAAAAATACATTCACAACAGAAAAAATTAAAACATTAATAGGAGGATAAAGAAGACTAAAGTAGAAATAGGAGAGGAGAAGATAAGATAAAGAAAAATCAGAAAATTAAGATTTCATAGTAAACAAATAAATTAAAGAAGATGGAAGAAGTGCAACTGGAAAAAAATAAATAAAAAATGTTTGAGGAAGATGATGAAGACATATGAGAAAACGAGAAAAAACCAAAAAGTAAAATAAGAAGACGAAACTGATAAATAAGATGTTGAAAAAATCTTGAAAAAAAGAAGGTAAAGACGTGAAAACCAGAATTTTGAAAAATAAAATAAAAGATTGATAATATATAGAAAATGATGAAGAAGAAATAAGAAGAAAAACATGAATAAAAAAAGGGAAGACGGAGGTGGTTAAGAGGGGGGAGAGAGGAATAGACAAAGGAAAGTTGGAAAACAAAAACGGAAAAAGGATAAAAGAATTAGCGAATATGAAAACAAATAAAAAATTGAAAAAATCAATTTGGGTTTAGTAAAAACGCTATAAATTGTAGTAAAAAAATATGAAAGAAGTAAAAGATAAAGAAGTTAAAATGAGGTTGGAGTTTACGATGTACAATTTATATTGAGGGACGTAAGGTTTAGTTTTTCGTGCACTTAATTTTTTTTAAATACACCACATTATCGATCAAAAACAAAAACAAACTATTTTGAAGAAAAAAATAAAATAAAAGTAAATTTATAAACAATTTGTAAAATGTGGAGTTCGTTTTGCAGTTTGGGGGGAGGGGGGATTGTAATATGGGGTTTGTGTTTAGGGTGTAGGGTTGTTTAAAGGAGGGGGGTTGTTAGACTGTTGGGTTTAGGTTTAGGGTGGAGGGTTGTCTAGGGGTGGGGTTTAGGGTTTAAAGTTTATATTAATGGGTGTACGATTTTTGGTGTATTTTAAAAATTGTGAAATATTATGAAAGAATCACATAATTAAAAATCATTGATCAGAAACTAATATATTTCTTTCTAAATTACATTCACAAATAAAAAATACTAAAACAAACAAAGAAAATCCATAATCAAAATATAACAAAACCCATAGATTTTGAAAAGATCTCTACTATATATAGATAAAAACTATATCACAAATATTTTTAAATTTAAACTATCGAATGAATTGATAGGTTAAATGTAAGACGTGGACAAGAACGAATAAAAACACGACTAAAAGAAAAGAAGATGGAAAATTTGGAGAAGAAAAATAAAACTTGAATATGAGGAAAAAGAAATCAAAGAAGAAAAATTTGAATGTGAAGAGAAAAAAATTAAGAAGAGATAAATGAAAACTAGAATAATATGATTAGAAGACAAAGATGATAAAGATAGAGAGAGGGGGAATGAGGAAGAAGAAAAACCGGAAAAATAATGTAAAGAAAATTAGAAAGAAAAAGAAGAATAGTGAGTTGGAGAATATAAAGACACAACAAAAAGATTGAAGAACAAAATTTGGAAGGAAAAAAAAAAGATGATGAGAACGAATATAAAGTTGAAAGAAAAAGAAGTGATAATTGGAGAAGAATAAGAGGGAAAATAAATAAGAAGTGGGAAATCTTTTGAATTTCTCAAAAATGATTGGAGTGGAGGGGAGTTGGAAGACGAAGATAGAGAAACGAAAGAAAAAAAAATTGAAGAAGATGTTGGAAACACAAAGCCAATTGAAAAATAAATTTTAAATAAAATGAATAAAACGAACAAAATCCAGGAAATAAAAAGATGACGATGAAAAAAGAGAAATAGAAAAAAGTATTAGAAAATTGGAAAAGAAAAAGACAAAAATGTTAGAAAATGAAGAAAAAAAATATGAAAGAAGTAGAAGACAAAGTAAAAGAAGAAGAAGATAAAATGGGGTTGGGGTTTACGATGTATGGATTATAGGGATGGATGTAAGGTTTAGTTTTTGGTACATTATATAAAATTTGAATAAACTATATTACCAATTAAAAACAAAAACTTAAAAATTACTTTATCAAAAAAAAAATTAAAAAGTACAAGCAAATCCACAACAATTTGTAATGTGGGGTTAAGTTGTGCAGTTTAGAGGGGTGATTATAATGTGGATTTGGGTTTAAAGTGTAGGGTTGTTTAGGGGAGGGGGTTATAATATGGGTTTGGGTTTAGGGTGTAGGACTGTAGATTTATATTTATGGGTGTAGGGTTTAGTTTTTTGTGCATTTTTAAAAACATGAATTATTATGGAACTATATCAAAATTAAAAGATACTGACTATAAAATTATATAGACCATTCAAAATAATTTCACAAATAGAAAAAAAAATTAAAACAGTTAAAGTAAATCCAGAAACAAAAGATTATGACAGAAATAATATTTAGAAAGATCTCCGACTGTATAAAGATTATCATTATTTCACAAATCTTAGAAACTCTAAACTATCGAATGTATTGATAAGTGAAATACAAGACGTATACAAGAACGGATAAAAACATGAGTAAAAGAAACGAAGATGGTGAAAAAGAAATGAGAAACTTTGAGAAGAAGAAGAAAAATCGAACATAAGGAAAAAGAAATTGAAGAAGAAAAATGGAATGTGAAGAGGAAAAAAAGACAAAAAGAGATAAATAAAAACTAGAATAAGATGATGTCAGAACCATGAGTAAAAGAAATGAAGATGGTGGAAAAGAAAATGAGAAACTTTGAGAAGAAGAAGAAAACTCGAACATGAGGAAAAATAAATCAAAGAAGAAAAATGGAATATGAAGAGAAAAAAAAAAGAGAGATAGAGAGAAAGGGGAAATGAGGAGGAGGAAAAACCGGAAATAAAATGTAAAGAAAATTAAAAAAGAAAAGAAAAATAGTGAATTGGAGGATATGAAGATAGAAGAAAATATTGAAGAACAAAAATTGGAAGAAGAAGAAAAAAAAAATGGATGATGACAACAAATAAAAAAATGGAGATCAATGGAGAAGAATAAGAGGGAGAAGAAAATAACCAACTACAATAAAAAAACTTCTTTTAAAAAATAAAAACAAATTCATAACCAATTTGTAATGTGGGGTTCAGGTGAGGGTTTGGGTTCAGTGTAGGGTTGTTCGGCGGGGGGGGGGGGGGAGGGGTATTGTTTAGGGGGTTTATAATATGGTGTTTTGATTTAGGGTGTAGGGTTGTTTAAGGGGGTTATAATGCTCGGTTTGGGTTTAGGGTTTAGTTTTGGGTGTATTTTTAAAATTTTGAATTATTATGTAAGTATTTCAAAATTAAAAAATCATTGATTCTGAATTTATATCTAACATTCTAAACTATATTCACAAATAGAGAAAAATAAAACAAGTAAAGCAAATCAAGAATCAAAAGATAACAAGACAAATAAATTTTTAAAAGATCTAGACTATATAAAGATAAAAACTATTTGACGAATCCTTGAAAATCTAAACTATCGAATGAATTCATAAATAAGATACAAGATGTAAAACAAGAACAAATAAGAACACAAGTAAGAGAAAAGAAGATGGGAAACTTCAAGAAGAAGAAGAAAACTCGAACATAACAAAGAAGAAAAAATTGAATGTGAAGAGAAAAAAGACAAAGAAGAGATAAAACTAGAATAAGATGATATTAGAGAAAACGAAGATGATAAATATATTGAAAGAGGAAATGAGGAAGAAAAACTGAAAAATGAATGTTAAAAAATTAGAAAGATAAAGAAGAATAGTGAGTTGGAAGATATAAATACACACAAAAATATTGAAGAACAAAAATTGGAAAAAGATGAAAAAGAATATAAAAAAGAAGATGACAACAAAAAAAGAAAAGAATATGAGATCACTGGAGAAGAATAAGAGGGAGAAGAAAACAATCATTACAAAATTTAATGATATTATGTGTGTTTAACAATTTAAAAGTTCATATCAAATTAACAATATGTTAAACTATTTTTTCCTTGGAAAATAAACACATTAGAAAAAATAGGAAAAGTAATTAAAAAGAAAATGTTTCTATCTAATATTAATAGAAATGACTAGAATTTTAAAACATCTCGTGCCCGCGCAGGCGCGGGCCAACTACCTAGTTACACTTATAGATGTAATGCTAGCCATGTACAAATTAATTTTGTATGAAAGAGATATGAGATAAACAAGATCACAAGGTATAAAACTCAACTTGTTTTACAAGATTTTTCTTAAAGTCGGGAATCGATTGTGTAGAAACATATTCCCGGTTATATATGCAGTCACATCATGTACTTAATGAGCCTAACGGCGTATTAAAGTTTAAAAAGTACATGATAGATTAGTGACATCATATCTATTTGGACCACTTAATGATATTAAAGATATATAAACTCATATTGAGTAAATAATGCATGTGTTTCTATTTCTGTGTATAAGGGAATCGATCATGAAGCTGACGATTCAGATCCAAGGTATGATTGTTATTAGATTATATTATTATAGAAATCTTGTGGTTGGTCTAGTTGGTTTTTGCAGATTCAAGGAATGGTTGTGGCTTAGAGTTATAACTCAGCACATACAAGCAGAAAATATAAGTCTCCAACAAAGAGCGAATAGAAGATCTCAAGACAATGACACTTGTGTCGCATAAGTTAACGAAGGCTATATCAAGAGGCGACAACACATAAGATCTTTTCTAAAAGAGTTTTCAACCACAATGTTCATGAAGCATATTCAGAGAATTTGAATGTGTCATCTACAAAATCTATGAAGAAGAGAATACACTCTTTTTTCAGGGGGAGTTTGCATCACGGTACTCTTTTTCCTTCTCATGGTTTTTATCCCATTGGGTTTTTCCATGATAAGGTTTTAATGAGGCCGTAAGCAACTTCACATTAATTAATGATGGATACTCAAGGGGGAGTGTTATGAAATAATGAGTAACCATCATGGACACTTGGCATTGGTGGTTGATCACCAAGTATATGCCACTAATCTTCACCTTATGCAAGTGTCAATGTTCTCAAGAAGACATGTGTAATTTATCCCCCTAGTCATCTGATAGCTTAGCCTCCAAGTCTTTGTACTACTATATATACATGAAGATTCATCACTTATGGAGATATGAATAAGTGGATAAGAAGAGATGTGTAGAGAGAGAGTTGTTGTAATTGTATGAGAGAAACCATGAATGAAACTCTTTCTATAAACTCTTGTTTATTCTTTCTTCCTCTTTGTTCATCTATTTCCTTCTCTTTTAACTCTCTTTGATCATTATCTCTTGTGTATCATATACACATAGAGTATGGTTTATACCACAAGAGAGTATTTATTCACAACAGTTATTGAATTGTGTATTTGTTTGTTGTATTTTGAAATACATTAAAAACATGTGTTGTTCAATATGCACCTGATTTCATGGGATTTTGATTTGATTGGATTTAAAAGTATTATTTTGTCTAAAACATGAGTAAAACAAATACCACATCTAAGATTCCGATTTGAGATTAAAAACAGTTTTTTTTTTTTTTATCTGGCAAACTTTTAATTTTTTCTCTCTCTTCCTCCTCTCTCTTCTTTGTCGTTCATCTTTGTGAAGTTCACAATCAAAACCAGTTTTCATATTCTTCACAAAGTTTTTTCTATAACTTGGGATCCGAAATCAGGTTTTTATATCTATCAATTTACTCCTAGACAGTTGAAAATTTGGAATGTTCGATGCTGGTTTGTAGATTGGATCTGGAGAATAGAAAAATGTGTGGTTTTGGATAGACAATTCTTTAGTTTAATACTTTTTCTTAGCCGTTATAATTTTGGGCTTAGTAAAATTAGTTTTAGAAAAAGTTTTTGAAATCCCTAGAAATCAATCAAAACACATTGCACTAATACATTAAAAACTCATGAGAAAATTGCCAAATTACTCCAAAAAAAGGCTTTTCTTGTCTCACTACACATTTCCATTTGGTTTTTGTCCTAATACACTTTTTTGGGTAATTTGGACATTTTTGACCTTCAAATTGAATTGGTAATGCTTTTGGAGAAATTGAAACATTTTCAATTAAAAAATTAAAACAGAAAGAAAAATAAAATAGAAATGGGATTAATAAAACAAAATAGACATAAAGTCGAGTCAAAAGAGATGAAGCAATTTGCAAACTTATTTCGCACGACAAAAACACAGCAGTGGAGAATGTTAGTAAGGAAAAGGGGAAGATCTCGCAGCAGAAAAATCAGAAAGCTAAGGTGAACACGCAAACAAACTCCACATCTTCTGAGATTAACTAGTGGTTGTAGTTGAATAATATAATTGGTTAGTTATTTTGAGCAAAGATATGAAGAAAGTTCACACTTTTCTCGCAGGGGAAAAACAAGAAAGCGGCGAGTTTGATTAAGGAAAAGGATACTGAAGACACCTCTAAGAGAGAAGGAAAGGTAACTATACACATAAAGGAGAAGTTGTTGTGATTTTGTGTTATTTGAAGACCATTTTATCTCATTTTTTTTGCGTTTTGTTTCTCAGGCCGTGAAGACGGAAGCAAATGGTTCTACAAAAGATCCTAAAGCCGCAGAAGTCGACTCCGATACTGAAGACGTGTTGAAAGTACTTGCATGTCTAACAAGACCGATTAAACGCAGACCCCTTTACAGTGATTCTGATGAAGACCAGGACGGTGAAGACCGTGAAGACCCGACAGGGGAGGAGATGATGCAGGATCATCCATTGTCAGAAGATCCCGATGCATTCCTGTGGTATATCTCAGAGGAGCGTTACGAGGAGCTACATCAGTGGTCGCAGACATTTGTGTAAGTCCCTAATTCTCTTTTGGACCCGGTTCTGTCAATTACACATTTTCCCCTGGTTCTTATTTTGTATTTGTGGGTTACAGGGACATAAAGGTTGGTCCTATCTGCTCACATGGGTGTTATCTAACCGTGTTGTTGGTCCAGGTGGTCCAGAAAAATGGCTAAAAAACGAGGTTTGAGTTAACTTAAACTAGAATATTCGTCTCACATATTTAAATTTTACTATCAGGTTTGTTTTGACCTAAGTTTACGTTGCATATGCTTATGATTTCAGGAAATTGATGGCTTGCTCTATGTATTTCGTGAGAATACGACTCTGAAACGATGGGATGTCGACAGAGTGGGGTTCATGAACTTCAATTTCGCATGTTGTATCAAGGCGGCGTATGAGCAATGGAAGAGTGTGAAGAAGAAGTTCGAAGTCAGTGAGTACCTCATGGCTTTCGGCAAAGGTATTCTGCCTGCTCACGGCAGAACCGACAAGGTTTGGGGAGTGGATTTTGATCGCATATAGTGTCTGTAGGCGGCAAGCACTGGATCGCTTTGTGTATCAATTTCTCGGAGCGGGTCATTGACGTCTTTGACTGCAACAGATTGAAAAGGTACAGGGAGGTGGACGCTTTCACGCACATGGTGCCGCGTATCATGAAGGAAGTGCAGACAGGTGAAACGAAGAAAAACCTCTCCATCGCCCATATACCGCCAGGTACGTCTCAATGCGAGATGGGATGACCGAGAACCATTCTGATTGTGGGGTTTACACGTTGAAGTTCATAGAGTGTCATTTGTTGGGACGAGATGTGTCTTTGCTAAACGATGAAAACATGAAGTATGCTAGGTACAAAATAGCGTCTGACCTACTTCAGGCGGGAAGGGATGAGGTTTTGCTTGAGCGGATGTCAAGGCATGTGACGCCGGAGTTTGCTCCCACAGAGACCATAGACGTTAGTTGAAAATTTTCAGGCAATTTGGTCTATGCTACTCGCTTTGTTTGATTAGACATTGGTTTGATATTTTTGTTGGTTTTTTTTGTTACAATTTCCTTGATTGTTTTGAGAAATGGCAAATCTATTGAAACATTGGTTGTGTTATTGTATTTGGTTTGATATTGTCTTTGTATTTTTATATGAAGTTTCGTTGTTTCCTATCTAAAGAGGAAGTTTACAAGAAAGATTTCATGTGTTTTCGCTGATTCTAATCAACTTTAAAAACCAAGTTTTAATGTTCACATTTCGCAAATGATTTGACCTTAGAGCTCGGTGTTACGGCTGAATTTTGTGGGTGGAAATGAAGTATTCTCGAATTTGATTTTTCTGGTTTAACACCGGTTCACTTAAATCGTACCAGTGTTTCGAATTGGTTTGGGAGAATCAGCATAAGAAATGAAATAAGGAAACAAAACGACGTCGTCAAGCATATTCGCGTAGCTCTTTCGACATAGAAGAACCCTTGAATCTGATTTCGCAAGCCATCCCAAATTGTCTAAGGTTATTTCGGCTCTGGGTTTTAGCAGGAATTGGTTTGGGAGAATCAGCATAAGAAATGAAATAAGGAAACAAAACGACGTCGTCAAGCATATTCGCGTAGCTCTTTCGACATAGAAGAACCCTTGAATCTGATTTCGCAAGCCATCCCAAATTGTCTAAGGTTATTTCGGCTCTGGGTTTTAGCAGCCGATCTTAGGCGATGAGTAACATCTCTGGAGCTTCTAGTGGGTCGTCAGTTGGTTGTCCAAGAGGGAGAGTTTATGGAGTGCCAAAAACTTGTTCATGTGGAGAGAAAATCATGGAATTGATTTCCAAATCGAACAACAATCTGTATCGGTGGTACTATCGCAGTCTCTGATTCATTTTTTTTGTAATGTCGATTTTCAAAAATATTTGTTTTGATGGATGTAGCTTATGAATGATAACCACACATTCAAGTGGGTTGATGAGGCTCACTTAGATGAGATAGAGGGATTGAAGATGAGAAATGCAAGGCTTGAGAAAAAACTTGAAGCGGTTACCATTGAGAGGATGGAGTTTGAGAGGCTTGTGTTTGAGAAAGTGAAAATGAAGATTGAAGAGGCTTTGGTTGAATCATCACATACTACAAAGGAGATGATGATTGGTGCAATCGTTTTGTGTATGGTGTTGGGTTTAGTAAGTTGTTAAATTAAGTTGAAGAGGTTTAGAAGCATGTTCTTGTTTGATGTGTTCAGTTCTTAAGGTTGTGTACTTGACATAGAGTGTTTCAAATAATGGTTTTGCTTTGTCTATTTTCCTGCTCTTTCGTTCAAACGCAGTGCATAAGCATTACCAAAAACCGAGTGCAGTATAAAGACGCCAAATGGAACTAAGATAACAGAAATTGAGTCTTTCTCCAAACAATTAAAACAACTGAAAGAAACATAAACAAAGATAACAGAAACAGAGTCTTTCTCCAAACAATCAAACCAACAGAAACAAAGAAAACAAATGGAACATGGTGTTATACTAGATTGGCATGTCACATGTTGCTCTATTGTGGCCTGGATTATCACATCGACTACACTTGTGTGTCTTCCTTTGCTGCGATCTAATCTTGTCCTCAACCGATTCAAACTGTCTCTTTCTTCTCCTACCAGCAGCTCTGCGTGATTCTGGACAAGAAACAATCTCTTCATCAACAACTTGGGAGACACTCCATGCATCCTCAGGAACACCTATTGGATTTACTGCTTCTTCATACCCAACTCTCCATAACTCAGTTTTCCACAGCTCATCTGTGAATTCATGTGGTTGCTTTCCAATTGCAAAAATTTCTGGGATCGCATGCCTACATGGAATTTTCTGCAGATCAAACTTGGCGCATGTACATGTTCGCTTCGCCAAATCAACCACACATTCGTAGATGTCACCTCCCAACACAAATCGAGTTGCATCTACTTGCTGAACCGTGAATGCTTTACCCTTTTCCGTCCTTCTTGTAATCTTCTTCTCAACAGCAACGGTTAGAAGGTGGGTATGCTTGGAGCTCAATGTTCTACGCTTAAAGAACCACCTTGTCAACATTTCTCTAATGCTGTCTAGTAGAGGGATTACCGGGAACTCTCTAGGTGATCTCAATGCTGAATTCAACGACTCAGCGGGGTTAGTTGTCCTAACATCATACCTGTATCCAACAAATAGACAGCGAGCCCACTTTCTCACATCAGCTTTCACAAGATACTTCCCCACATCCGGTCTGTTCTTAACGATATCAGTCATCATCGTCTGAAAATCAGCAATTTTGTATGCTTTAGAAGCCTTTGCAACCAAAGCAGCCACACCTTTTCCATGTAGATAAGAGATGACATTGTTCAGCAAGTGGTGAATACAAATTCCATGAGTAGCTCGTTGGTAAACTATAGGAAGTAGTCTGCCAATGGACAAATTCCTGTCTGAGATGAAGGCCATATCGTAATCATCCTCAATAACAACATGTAGCTGCCTCAAAAACCATTCCCATGATAGATCATTCTCTGAATCAACCACACCAAATGCTAGTGGATACAAATTCGAGTTACCATCTAAAGCTGTAGCAACTAGTAGTGTTCCTTTGTATTTATTCTTCAAGAATGTACCATCAATAACGATTACCCGTCGCATGGCTTTGTAGAACCCTCTTATAGACTGACCAAAAGAGATGAACATGTATCTGAAACTACCATCATGATCCGTCTTGAAAGCTGTATGGGTACCCGGATTAGCTTCTTTTAGCATGTGCAAATACCTTGGTATTTTTTGCATAACTCTCCTCAGGTATTCCTCTCACATAATTGACAGCAAACTCATGTGCCTCCCATGCTAGATCGTAAGAGATCTTGCATCTGTGCTCAATACGCATCAGCTGAATGATATCATTGGGTTTAGGTCCTTCTTTGACACCTTCATACTTCTGCATAATGAGATTGCCAATTGTCTTCGCTGAAGCTGTCCTCACGATTTTGGCTTTACCTGAAGGAGCACTTGAGCACGATGTAGTCGAAATTGTGCTTCATAGCAAGGATTTCGAAAGTGGATTTCAACAGATTTTTGCTTCTGAATTCTTGCTTTATGTTCACAGCTTCCATCAAAGCACCACAAAATTAATTATCATACTCGATTTCCTTTTGCGACAATACTTCCTCTTCATCATTGATCTCTTTGAATTTCATTTTCCCTTTTCTGATATCATCTTTGACATTGGATAATCCATTGGTTGGAGGTACACCACCATGATCACCATTACCATCAATGTGGACTCCATTATTTTCTTTGGGATCCTTAAGTGTCAAACACAACTGCTTTCCTGCTTCCTTATGTATCCCACGAAATTTTGCACTTGCCGATCGTTGGAAATCACAACTCGGGGAGATATAGCATTGTTGATCAAACCGCGTGGCAAATAGCTAAACTCGACGTCGACTCCGCTCTCGAAAGAGAAATAGCTTTTAAGTCGTCAAACCTAGTATTAGATTCCACCCAACTACTCTTCCTCCTTTCCTCTCATCAGCAACAAATATCCACCCATTGATTTGACACCTTTTCCATGAACCACATACTACATAGATTTGAACCATATTGGATAGAGAGAAAGAGGACTAGAGAGGAGAAGGGGATGAAGAAGACGAGGAAGAAGATCATGGAGGAGTCGTGGTTATTTTCGGATAGTTGGATGAAAATAAGGAAACAAAGATTTGAAAAATATTTTTTTGCAATATTCTCTCGATTTTTGCAGATGATGAACTCTACACAATGTAGAACTAACCTATTTAGTAGAACATCCGGTGTGAAACACGAGTACTGCGGATTATAGAAGTCTTCTTTTTAATAGATACTAGTTCTACGCCTTGCAGAAAAACATGAAATATGTAGTACACGAAAACTATGACTGGTAGATAGCAGTGTTTACCGTAGAATTTGGAATCTACGAGTAGTAGCGGATGGTGTATTCTGTAGAATATTTTTGGAGCGAATTCTACAAAATGGTAGAGTGTATTGTATATGGTAGATATCGAAGTCTAATCCGGAAGATGAATGAAGAAATTGTAGATATCATATCCTACGGACGGTTAGACTTGCGAATAACTTGTAGAAAGCGTATTCTGCTTTGATATTTTACTTTGTAGAACCAAAACTTCAAATAATCTTTTAACCATTCAAAATATTTTAAAAATATTCAAATATTTTACACATTCTTTAGATCATTTATAGGACTTTTAGAAATTGTGTTCACTTAAAAAAATATTCATTATCATGTTTAAACAATATTGAAGGGCAATTAAGGCAAAAAATGGCCAAAGTCAAAAAAGGGGTAATAGGACAAGAAAAACATTTTTTGGGGTATTTTTCCAATTTTCCCACAACTCATTGTGGATTGTGTAAAATTGAAACCCAACAAAACACTTCCCAATCTAAATACACTAAAATCCACTAAAACACACAATCCAATAACACCTACAATAAGTTATCGAGTCAAAAGAACGTAATTAACTTTCATCACATATTTGGTTTCAAAACTTAGGGCAAGAACACACTACAGTTACATTAGTCAAAAACACAACTCAATGTTTGAAAATTTAAGACATTAAATTAAACCGTAACATGAGTTACATTTTGATATGTTACTCTTTGACAAATAAATAATCTCGTTTCTGAAAGAATGTAATAGCTCCGTGAGCCTTAGTGTTTATTAGGGTGTCACTATATAAAAAGTTACAAGAGATCTCCTTAGTGATTACACGAGATACTTAGTAATGATACAATATATGCAATCGGGATAAATATGGAATTATAGATATTCTAATAGTCCCCCGCAGTCGAAGCGTCGGTGTCAGCGGACGTTGAGGCTGGACCTGAAATCCAGAAACAGAGGAGATGGAAGTCCTTTGGTGAAAATGTCTGGAAATTGTTGAGCAGAAGGAACGTGGAGAACTTTCACTTGACTAATAGCGACTTTCTCTCGAACAAAATGGATGTCGATCTCGACATGTTTGGTACGTTGATGCTGAACCGGGTTAGAAGACATGTATATGGCAGAGACGTTATCACAGAACACAATGGTAGCTCGAGGCAGAGGTATCTTCATTTCAAGGAGCAAGTTTCGGATCCACGTCGTTTCAGAAACAGCGTTGGCGACACCTCTATACTCAGCCTCTGCGCTTGAGCGGGAGATAGTTGCTTGTCGTTTAGAGGACCATAAGATGAGGTTAGGACCAAGATAGACACAGTATCCAGAGGTGGAGCGTCGTGTTGTAGGACAGCCAGCCCAGTCAGCATCAGAGTAGGCAACTAAGTCATAGGAGCTGCTGCGAGACATCCGAAGTCCTTGAGAGAGAGTACCTTTGAGATATCGCAGAATCCGTTTCAGGGCATGGAAGTGGCTCTCACGAGGGTCGTGCATGAAGAGGCAGATTTGTTGAACGGCGTAGGCAATATCTGGTCGGGTGAAGGTGAGATATTGGAGGGCGCCAGCGAGACTTCGGTAGAGAGTTGGATCAGATATTCGTGGACTGTCGGCTGCTGCGAGCTTGGATTTTGTGTCACAAGGAGTTAGACAGGGGTTACAATCAGTCATGCCCGCACGGTGTAAGATGTCAGCGGCATAGTTCTGTTGTTGGAGAAAAAGTCCTTGGTGATCACGTTTGAAGGAGATACCGAGGAAGTATTGAAGAATACCCATGTCAGTCATCTCAAATTCGGAGGCGAGTGCAGAGATGATCGGCTGCTGCGAGCTTGGATTTTGTGTCACAAGGAGTTAGACAGGGGTTACAATCAGTCATGCCCGCACGGTGTAAGATGTCAGCGGCATAGTTCTGTTGTTGGAGAAAAAGTCCTTGGTGATCACGTTTGAAGGAGATACCGAGGAAGTATTGAAGAATACCCATGTCAGTCATCTCAAATTCGGAGGCGAGTGCAGAGATGATGCAATTGAGAAGCGGCATGGAGGATTCGGTGAGAGCTATATCGTCGACATAGAGAAGCAGGTAGGCAATCTCGTTGTTGTGACAGAGGATGAACAGAGACGGGTCGGTGATGCTCTGTTTGAAGCCGATGTTGCAAGCATGTGTTGCAAAGCGTTTGTTCCAGGCGCGAGGAGCTTGTTTGAGTCCATAATGAAACAACCAATTTTTTTTTATATATAAATAAATATAACAATTCTAGCGGAAGTCTTTAAATAAATAAATAAATAAATATCAATAAACAAATAAATCAGTTCAGCGGAAGCAAATAATAATTAAACAAGTCTAGCAAAACAATGCAAAACAATAAAACAGTAAACATCCTATCATCCCCCTCTTCAGCCTTGATTCCGCGATCACACAAATCTTTTACCTGCAACACATTGGAATGGAGTTGCGTAAGTATTTAATAAATACTTAGTGAGGCAATCACTCTGCCTACGAGCCATTTACGCAATTACTAGATATTTAATAATATTTATAAACTCCAATAATTATTAAATACCATTTTCCAATTATTAAATAATTATTAATAATTAAAACTCATTTCTCAATTATTAAATAATTCTCATAATTAAATAATAATTTTCCATATTTTAAAATAATTAAATAAATTAAATCAATTAATTAATTAAATATTACATTAAAAATAAATTCGATAAACCATTCCAATTGATTTAAACCAGTCAATTTCAATTAAACCAATTAAATCAATTTTAACCAGAGTTAACCGGCTGTGTCGACCGACACAAGCTTGGTGTCGACCGACACCGATTCTGGAAAAACAGATCGCTATGAACAGTCCAAATTCGCACACAGGAAATCAATCAAACAACCATAAATACTGAAAAACATCAATATCATCACAAATCATCACATAAACAATAAATCCTGAATCTAGCAATCACGGACCCACAGTCATGCACTCACCTGATTTAGGATTGAAAGAGGAAAAATAAAGATGAATGAACAGGCAGAAGAACAACGCAGAACACACCACAGAACTTATCCGATGAACAGATCGATCACCACTAATCACCTCCAAAACTCTTCTCCTCTCCAAGCCCTAAGACAAAACAAAAGAGGAAGCGGCTGCACTTTTATTCGAACAAGGGTTTCCAACCCTAAACCGGCTAAACCAACTTAAATTGAACCGAAATTGAACCATTGGTGTCGACCGACACAACCTGGTGTCGTCGACACTCGACCAAAATCATTTTTGGTTTACGGATGTTACAACTCTCCCCCACTAAACTGGATTCGTCCTCGAATCCCAACAAACGTCACAAAGACCACAAAACCCGACCTCGCAAGGCCGCAACACTGGAGATCCTCACCTGATCCCCGAGACATACGTCAATCTTATGTCATAAACACGTTCCAAGAAATTTCACTCCTAACTCATCATCCAAACACACAAACCACTTGTACTGAGGCCCACTTGCACCCAGACAAGTCCACACCGGTCCGCACTGAGGCCCACTTGCACCCAGACGAACCCGAAACCGTCCATACTGAGGCCCACTTGCACCCAGATGAACTAAACTGCTTATACTGAGGCCTACTTGCACCCAGATAAGCTACACTCAACTGAGGCCTACTTGCACCCAGAGAGTCTGCCAGAGAACGAAGTCTCCAAAAACATGATGAGTTATTCAGGATCGCAATCCTTAGAGTAAAAATTCCGGAAAATGTCTATAACCATAAGATTAGACCGTCTCACAACCAAAAACTGGTCAAACATGTGTAACATCCGAATACCATTTCACAACACAAGGCAAAATGAGGAAAAACTGCATCTCATTAAAACTCCAAAATGTATATCGTTACAACGAAAACGAAAATACAATAACACCAAAGCCAAAAATAACAACTGAGGCTACAAAGATGAAATAAGCTCACTCCTCGACCTGCTTGTCGAACCACTTCCTGAACTTCAACTTCATCTTTGCCTCTGGCTCCCAAGTCTCCTCTGTAGAACCACTGCAATCCCACAAAATCCTCAGTAAGGGAATCCTCTTGTTCCTCAGAACCTTTTCCCTCCTCTCTAAAATCCTCACAGGCACTGCCGGCACTGTCAAATCTGGCTGAAGATCCTCTGGAATCCTAGCCACTAACTCCTCTGTAGGGTGAAGACACTTCCTCAGCATCGACACATGAAAAACCTTGTGAAAGGCTTTCATAATCTCAGGCAACTCCAGCCTGTAAGCCAATGGCCCAACTCGCTCCACTACTGGAAACGGACCCATAAATCGCGGACTCAGCTTGTTCTCTGCTATGGATCTGTTAGGACCCCTCAACATAGCCATCTTGAGATAAACTCTATCTCCAACCTGAAACTCAAGCTCTCGTCTGCGTCTATCTGCATAACTCTTCTGCCTATCCTGAGCCTCCTTCATGTTCAGCCTCACAACACGACCTTCTCTGTCGTCTCCTGAACATAAGTAGCTCCATACATGCTGCGCTCCCCCACTTGGGTCCAGCATAGGGGTGTCCTACATGGCCTCCCATACAAAGCCTCAAATGGAGCCATGCCAATACTCGCCTGAAAGCTGTTGTTGTATGCAAACTCAACTAAGCTCAGGTGATCTGCCCAATGGCCACCCCAATCCAACACACACATCCTCAGCAAATCCTCCAAAGTCTGAATAGTCCTCTCTGACTGACCATCTGTCTGCGGATGATAAGCTGTACTCAATGCACCTTAGTGCCCATCTCTGCCTGAAACGCTCTCCAAAACTCTGAAGTGAATCTGGGATCACGGTCTGACACAATACTAGCTGGCACTCCATGCAGCCTCACAATCTCTCGCACAAACTTCCTAGCCAAGACAGCAGCTCCATCTGTCTTCTTGATGGCCAAGAAATGTGCGGACTTAGTCAACCGATCCACAATCACCCAATAGCATCGAAAGTCCTCGAAACAGGTAGTCCAACCACGAAATCCATCGTAATCCTGTCCCACTTCCACTCTGGAATGGGTAAACTCTGCAAAAGACCACCCGGAACCTGATGCTCTGCCTTCACCAAGGCACAAGTGTTGCACTTCGCAACCCAGTCTGCTACATCCCTCTTCATCCCGACCCAATGATAGTACCTCTTGAGGTCATGGTACATCTTGGTCGCTCCCGGATGAATGGAAAACTTGCTCGCATGAGCCTCTCCCAAAATCTGATGTCTCAACTCCACATCCTTAGGCACACAAACTCGCCCACGAACCAAGATAGTCCCATTCGCAGAGACCTCATACTCAGAACCAGTCACTCTCGTCGCATCTAGCAAACTCTGATCACTCTGCTGAGCAACTCTGATCCTGCTAAGTAGATCCGCCTGATCCACTGCCTCTAAACCCAAAGGCTCCTGCGAAATGGCACACAAACGCAAGGTACTGATCTCGCCAACTAGAGACTCCACATCTCGCTCAACTGCGGAATCATACCTCCGTCTACTCAACGCGTCCGCCACTAGGTTAGCCTTGCCCGGATGGTAGTTAATGCTCACCTGATAGTCCGCCAAGAACTCAACCCAGCGCGTCTGTCTCGCGTTCATCATCGGCTGAGTGAAGATATGCTGCAAACTCTTGTGATCCGTGAAGACCTGTACTGTCTCACCTAGCAAGTAAGACCTCCAAATCTTCAACGCGAAGATCACTGCTCCCAACTCTAAGTCATGTGTAGGACGGTTACGCTCACTGCCCTGCCACTGTCTCGAAGCATATGCTATCACTCTGCCCTCCTGCATCAGCACACAACCAAGACCAATGCCTGAAGCATCTGTATACACCATGTAAGGCTTCCCTGGCTCGGGTAACGCCAACACTGGTGTAGTAGTCAACATCTCCTTGAGCTGACTAAAGCTCTCCTCACACTCAGCTGACCAAACAAACGGGACATCCTTCCCAGTCAACTTCGTCATCGGCTGCGCCATGGTAGCAAACCCCTTGACGAACCTCCTGTAGTATCCTGCCAAACCCAGAAAACTCCTGATCTCGGTGGCACTACTAGGTCTAGGCCAATCTCTGATAGCCTCAATCTTAGCCGGATCCACAGAAACTCCCTCTGCAGAAACAATGTGGCCAAGAAATCCCATCTCTCGCTGCCAGAAACTGCACTTGCTCAACTTAGCAAAAAGCTTCTGCTCCCGAAGCTTCTCCAGAACCAACCTCAAGTGAGTCGCATGCTCCTCCTGACTCCTCGAGTATACCAGAATATCGTCAATGAAAATGATGACAAACACGTCCAAATACTCCCTGAACACGTCGTTCATCAATCTCATGAAGGCTGCCGGCGCGTTAGTCAAACCGAAAGGCATAACCACAAACTCAAAATGCCCATAACGCGTCCTGAAAGCAGTCTTCCTGACATCTGCCTCATCTATCGGGATCTGATGATACCCGATGCCAAGTCAATCTTGGAGAACCAAGTAGCACCCCTCAACTGATCCAACAACTCATCAATCCTCGGGAGTGGGTACCTGTTCTTCACAGTGACTCGGTTAAGACCTCTGTAATCGATACAAAGTCTGAAACTCCATCCTTCTTCTTCACAAACAACACCGGTGCTCCCCACGGTGAAACACTCGGTCGAATGAACCCCTTAGACAAAAGGTCCTCTATCTGCTTCTTCAGCTCTGCCAACTCAGCTGGCGCCATCCTGTAAGGCGTCTTCGATATCGGTGCTGTCCCCGGCTCTAACTCAATCGTGAAAGGATCAGACCGAGATGGTGGTAATCCCTTCAGTGACTGAAAGACATCCTCAAAATCCTGGACAACCTCAATATCTCCCATAACAACTCCAGCTCCTGACTCAGACATAGAAATCGTCGCCAGATACGCCTCACAGCCCCGCTCTAACAACTGCTCGGCCTGAATAGCAGATATCACAATACTCCCGGAAGTCGGTCTCACTCCCTGATAAACCAACCTCCCTGCATCTCGCTCGAAGACCACTCTACCTCTGTAGCAATCCAGATGAACTCTGTAGTGTGACAACCAGTCCATCCCGAGAATAACGTCATACAGCTCCACCGGACTGATGACTAAGTCTGCTGGCATTGACTGCCCCGCAATCTCGATCTCGACTCCTCTAGCACGGCCCAAAGTAGACAAGAATCCACCTCCCGCCACCTTGACCATGCCCGCGCTCTCGCCCGCGCTACTCCGGATGCCACTCTTCTCGGCACGCTCCGGTGTAATGAAGCAATTCGATGCTCCAGAGTCGAATAAAACGTGGGACTCAAAACCGCCCACTAACAAGGTCCCTACACATTCAATTGCGTTGAGAACCTCCACAAGACTATCACAGATAAAAATGACTAACAGACAATACACAACAACAAATTCTATACTAAGAATTTACAAAGTCTGAGTCGAAGATTTACCTGTGATCTGCCCGGTCTGACTAGTCCCGCCAGTCTCCACTGAAGAGTAACCCCGCGGCGCCGGTGCAATCTGACCCAACGGCTGCACTGCTGCGATCTGACTCACTGGCTGAGCCGCTACTGGCTGAACCGAAGCCACCGACATACTCCGCAACTTAGGACACATGGGCTTGATATGCCCAGGCTCCTTGCAGTAGTAGCACACCCTCGGTGCTGACTCCCTCTTGGGACAACTCGAAACACGATGCTCCGTGCTCCCACACCCAAAACACGAACCACGAGGAAACTGACTAGCACCAGAAAACTCCTCTCTACTCCTCTTCTGACCCTGCGCAGGCAAACCGCCCCTGCCAGAACCAGAACTGAAACTCGAACCACCTCTGCGCTGCTGCTGCTGTCGCGGCTGCTGATGCTGACCCCGAGGCTGGGTAGCAGAAGCAACTGCTGACGGCACAGCCACCGGACCAACTGGCCCACCAAGATCCGCCTCACCGACGCGGCCAACTCTACCAGACTCGCCCTCGAAGTGTGCATACTACTCCTGCATAGAGTCCGAATATCCTTGCGAAGTCCCTCCAGAAATCTGTTCGTCAACTGATGCTCAGCCTCCATACCAAAGCCCGCATGCACTAACAGACGGCTGAACTCCTCATCATACTCGCGTACAGAACGCGAACCCTGCTCAATGCCCATAAACCGCATCTGAAGACGATCACGAGCCTGCCTCGGGAAATACTTGGCGTTGAACTCCACAAGGAAGTCGCCCCAAGTCCAAAATGCCCTCCGGCCCACCGCGGCCTGCCACCACAAATGAGCATCGCCACTCAAATAGTGGACCGCTAACTCCACCCAGTACTCCATCGGACAACGGATCGAATGAAAGTTCCGCTCCACTCTCTGACGCCACGCGTCTGCCTCCTCTGGACCAACTCTGCCCTCGAAGAAAGGCGTACCAATCTCTGCATGTGGCCCATAAACTCCAAATAACTGGTCACACCCGCATCCACAGCCTCCGGCTGCGCAACCTCTGCAGCAACATGCTGCACCTCTGCCACTGGCGGTACTCCTGGAGCCCCCTGTGGAACCACCGGCGGAAAACGAGCCAACAGCTGCGTCAGCAACCCCACCACTAAGTCATCATGACCCGGAGCCGGAGCGCCACCCCCACCCGGAGCAGCCCCCGCTCCCATACCAACACTCGCACTGGCATCACCCGCCAACGGAACTGACTGGGTCACCGACGCAGTATGCACACTCGGTGCCGCACTCTCTCCCGACTCCTCCGGAAGTCCACGACCACGACCTCGGCCTGCTCGGCCTCCAGCTCTACCACCAGCTCTGCCGCCACGGCCAACTCTGCCGCCACGACCTCTAGCACCGCGCCCTCTCGCGCCACGACCTCTAGGAGCTCCGTCCATCTCACTGCATGGACCCGAACATGAGCAACTAGACAATAACACAAAACACAAACACCAAAACTCACCGCGGAATCTCCTTTAGCTGAAGGGGATGATACTAAGCCTAGCAATTCTAGCTGTCCTAAAACCGTCTAGGCTCTGATACCAAAATGAAACAACCAACATTTTTTTTTTTTAATAAATAAATACTAATCAATTCTAGCGAAGGTCTTTAAAATAAATTAAATAAATAAATATCAATAACAAATAAATCAGTTCAGCGGAAGCAAATAATAATTAAACAAGTCTAGCAAAACAATGCAAAAAATAAAACAGTAAACATCCTATCATCCCCCTCTTCAGCCTTGATTCCGCGATCACACAAATCTTTTACCTGCAACACATTGGAATGGAGTTGCGTAAGTATTTAATAAATACTTAGTGAGGCAATCACTCTGCCTACGAGCCATTTACGCAATTTACTAGATATTTAATAATATTTATAAACTCCAATAATTATTAAATACCATTTTCCAATTATTAAATAATTTTAATAATTAAAACTCATTTCTCAATTATTAAATAATTCTCATAATTAAATAATAATTTTCCATATTTTAAAATAATTAAATATAATTATTTTAAATCATTTAATTAATTAAATACCAATTAATTAATTAAATATCACATTAAACCAATAAATTCGATAAACCATTCCAATTGATTTAAACCAGTCAATTTCAATTAAACCAATTAAATCAATTTTAACCAGAGTTAACCGGTTCGTGTCGACCGACACCAGCTTGGTGTCGACCGACACCGATTCTGGAAAAACCCAGATCGGGCTATGAACAGTACTGAAATTCGCAATTCACAGGAAATCAATCAAACAACCATAAATACTGAAACAAACATCAATATCATCACGAAATCATCACAGAAACATATACATATCCTGAATCTAGCAATCACGGACCCACAGTCATGCACTCACCTTGATTCTAGGTTGAAAAGAGGGAAAACGACTTGGAGAAGATGAATTGAAGCAAGGAACGACGAAGAACACCACGCAGCACCACCACACACACCCAGAACTCTGAATCGCTGATGAACAGACTCGGATTTAACACCAAACACTGGAATCACCTCCGAAAACTCTTCTCCTCTCACAATCGCCCACTAAACGACAAAACTAAGGAAGAGGACGGCGGCTGCGCGATTTTATTTCGTGAACAAGGGTTTCCAAGCCCTTAAACGGTCTAAACCAACTCAAATTGAACCGACATTGCAAACCAGAACCGACACAAACCTGTGGTGTCAGTCGACACTCGACCAAAACTGCACCTTTTTGGTTTACGGATGTTACACATAAAGAGAGCGTTTGAGGAGACAAACGTGATCAGGCTTGGTCTTGTCAACGAAACCAGGCGGTTGGTGCATGTAGACTGTTTCATCAAGAGTTCCGTGGAGAAAAGCATTCTTGATGTCTAACTGTCTGATTGGCCAGTCTTTATTGATTGCAACATGAAGAAAGGCACGGATGGTTGTGGGTTTGACAATGGGACTAAAAGTCTTGTCACAGTCAATGCCTGGTTGTTGAGATTTTCCGTTGGCTACGAGTCGTGACTTGTGGCGAGTGAGTTTGCCATCTCCATTGAATTTATGCCTGAAATTCCACAAAGATCGAATAATATTAGTAGCAACTGGTCGTGGCACCAAGGTCCACGTTCCTGCTTTAATAAGAGCGTTATATTCCTCTGCCATTGAAGGATTCCAACTTGGATCTTGTGCTGCCTGAACATGAGAGGTTGGTAAAGGAGAAACTATGTCAATATGTAAACATAGAGGATTGCGTGGTTTAATGATACCACTTTTAGCTCGGGTGACCATATGGTGACGCATATCTGGAGGTGGAGGTGGAGGAGCTGCGTCAGAGGTCGAGGAGACAGGAGCTGGTGGGGTGCTGTCTCGAAGAATAGGAGAAGGAGAAGGCAAAAGCTCAAGAGATGGTGTAGCAAGATCAAGCGATTTTGAAATTGAAGAAAAAGGAAAAGTAGATTCGTCAAAGATGACATGACGAGAGAGAATAACCTTACGGGTAGAAATGTCGAGGCATCGATATCCACGGTGATTATTTGGATATCCGAGGAAAACACATGGTGTGGACCGTGGTTCCAGTTTGTGAGCAGTAGTGGCGGAGAGATTTGGATAGCAGAGACATCCAAAGGTTCGTAGGTGAGAATAACGAGCCGGCACATTGAAGAGTTTGGTAAAGGAGATTTGGTTTGAGATAGCGGAAGAGGGCAAGATGTTGAGAAGATAAGAGGCCGTGGAAAGAGCTTCGGCCCAATATTGGTGTGGCATATGGGCCTGAATAAGAAGAGTCTGAACCAGGTTATTAATTGTGCGGAGCATTCGTTCGGCGAGGCCGTTTTGCTGAGAAGTGTGGGACAAGAGAAGCGGACGGTGGTGCCATGAGCGGCCAAGTAAGCCAAAAATTGGCGATTGTTATACTCTCCACCGTTGTCGCATTGGAGGGACTTGATTTGGCGATTGAATTGGGTCTGCACATACTTAAAAAATTGAACATATTTCTCATAAGTATCACTTTTTCGATGCAGAGGATATACCCAGATAAAATGAGTGAAATGATCAAGAAAGAGTAAGTAATATTTAAAACCACTAATGCTCACAATAGGAGAGGTCCATAAATCTGAATGAATAATATCAAAAGGTTGAGAAACTTGAGTATTTGAATCAAAGAAAGGGAGGCGAATGTGTTTCCCCAATTGACAAGCTTGACACATAGTAGTCAAGTCTATTTTATTGCAAATAATAGATTGAGAAGAAAGAATATTTTTGAGAGATTGGTGGCTCGGATGTCCGAGACGGTTATGCCAAACGGAAGTGCTAGCAGAGAGAGCGAGAGGTGAAGATGATGAAGGCTGAGCGGATGGAGTGACGGTGTAGAGAGGGCCGCTACTATCACATCGGAGAAGTCTTTTCCGAGTGTGAAGATCCTTAACACAGAAACCAAAAGGATCAAATTCAACTGAACATTGACTATCAATTGAGAATTTGCGAACAGATAAGAGATTTTTCACAATAGATGGACAGACAAGAATATTTTTTAAGCGAAAGTGACGAAGTGGAGAAGCAAGAGTACCATGACCAATACAAGTAACAGGAGCATATGATCCGTTTCCAACTATGACAGGAGAAGTTGAGCTCTTATTAAAGCGGGAAAGTAGATTACCTGGTTGAGCCGTGATGTGGCTGGTTGCACCCGTATCCATGTAGCAATTCGACTCACTAGGATCCTGCAGTGACATAGTGCTGAAAGCGTTGTTAATCTCGGATGCGACATACGCTGCTGGTGCGTTGGGAGTTAAGTGAGCTTCATTGGTGGATCTAGTTGGATATGGGCCAAGAATGCCGTTGGAGGCAGAGTTGGTTGTGTTCCCATGGTGTGATGACGGTGGAAACGGCATCGGTGGTGCAGGATATGAGACGGGTCCAGCGTACATGGGATAGCCTTGGTATGGAAACGAGTATGGATGTGAGGGAGGTCTGTAGTTCCATGGATGCATCCAGTTATGACCAGTGTTGTGGTGACGTCCCCTGCCTCGATGATGGCGACCACCACGATCACGGTTCCTGTTGTTTCCACGACCATAGGAGTTGCCGTTGGAAGTATGATTCTGGTAGGAGGCGGTTTGTGGTGGTGCAGAGGTGTAGAGGATCTGAGGAGAAGAAGCATGAGGCGAGGTGGAGATGCTCTGTTTTGGATGCTTGGAGATGTGATCTTCTTCCATTTGGAGCATGGATCTCGCTGCAGCAAAGGTAGGAAAGGGACTCTTGTGTTTGATGACATTGAGTATGTAATCATACTTTTCGGACAGACCATTGAGCATATACATCACAAGAGAGCGATCCGAGACAGGGGAATCTTCGTTAGCCAATAGATCGGAGAGAGTTTTGAGCTTCTGGCAATATGCGTGGACGCTCATGTCTCCGATGGTGAGGGTACGAAGCTCCGTGTCGTATTGGATGGCACGGGCTTCTTTGTTGTCGCGGAAAAGGTTCTCAAGCGAGAGCCAGAGATCGCGAGCAGTGCAGTTTTTGGTGATGATGGTGTCGAGGAGAGAGTCGGTGATAGTACCGAAGATCCACATTGTAACGAGACCGTCACGTTCTTTCCAAGGAGCATCGGTGGCTGAGGAGGGAAGAGATGAGCCATCGAGATGACCAAGAACACCGAAAGTGAGACAATGAGTCTCAAAGAGTTCTCTCCAAGTGTCGTAGTTAAGCTTGGTCATGTCAAGCGTGATTGGGACATAGGCTTTGATTTGAGAGATACCAAAGACACGTTCAGATCTGGTAGCGGGGGCGGTGGTGGCCATGGTGAATAGATCGAAGAGAAAAGAAAAAGGAAGAAAGAGAGGTGAAAGAGAGAAGAAGAACGGAGTGTATCGCACGACTAGCTTGGCGGCTAGGATAAAGTTGCTGATACCATGTAAGAATGTAATAAGCTCTGTGAGCCTTAGTGTTTATTAGGGTGTCACTATATAAAGGGTTACAAGAGATCTCCTTAGTGATTACACGAGATACTCAGTAATGATACAATATATGCAATCGGGATAAATATGAATTATAGATATTCTAATAGTTTCATGATCCTAATAAATTCTATGTTTCTTCCAACATCAAAAACCATCCAAGCATTTAAATTCTAAAACCAAAACAAACAAAAGGAATTAATAAGAAAGATGGGAAGCAAAGCTGTTGTCTCAATCTACTTGACGGTTTCCCTTTGCGCTGCCATTTTTGTCATTCAAGGAGTAGCTCAAACGCAAATGCCACCGACCATTCCAGGGTTTTTCCCACCTGGCTTAGTACCGTTGATCTCGTAAAATGTTGGTCGTCTCTCTTTACTGTGCTCGAAATCTCAAAATCCATTTTCTCTGGAAAGTTTGTAAACGTTGAAGCCGCATGTTGCAAGGTGTTTACATCCTTAAATGCAAACTGTTGGCCCCAAATGTTTCCGTTGAATCTTCTCTTCCCTCCCCTCCTCAAGGACAACTGTGCACGCATCGTTCTCAACTCCCCAGCACACAATTGATAAGAAGCATGATTGTTTGATCTACACGTTTAGACTAATAACTTTAGTTAGTTTATAAGTTTTAATGTTAACTTTTGTTGGCAAAGGAAAATGTGAACTTGTCCATGTATTTGGAGAGCTCTATGAAAATGTTTTCTCAGTAAAAGTAACCTTTTTAGCATTATTCCTTCAAAATATTGCCTTGGTCACAAGTAAATTAATAGTAGATATAATCATAAATAATGTGTAAAGTAGTATAAACACAAATATATACATGGCGAAATGGATTATATCATCTATCTTTAAGTTGTCTGAACAGTGAACACCCTTAAATCTTATATTGAACTAGGAGATGATCCGCGCTCCGCGTGGGAATTTATATTATTGTGTTAATTTTATTGTTTTTCCGCAAATTTAGTTTTTTCTATTGTTTATTATTGTTTCAAAAATATTACACATATTAATTAAAAATAATTAAGATTAACATACCGTCTTGTCCCATTATATCCCATTTCGTTCATTTTCATCATGTCCGTTCGGGGGCGGATCTAGTAACAAGGTTAGGGGTTCAGCTGACCCCCCACTAAATTAAGAATATCTTCCTTAATTACCACAAATTTTATTGAATGACCCCCTAAAAAATTTATGTTTGACCCTGTTTCCATTTTTGCTCATTGTTTCTAAATACAATTTCATTATTTCTTTATTTTTTAAGGAAAACAAATAACTAATTTCTATCTTTGACTATATTATATTCATTGTATAGCTCTCACTAAATGTTAAATTCAATATAAATACATTTTTTTATGTTAAAATTTTCATTTACATTGATTTTTACGTGAGAAATTCATGTGTATTAGTTATTGGTTTTCAAAATTTGGTTTAAATTTTCCATATGGTTAAATAAATTTACAAGTATTTTGAGATATTAGAAACTTGTAAAAATTTAAATGTTTTTATCGCTTTATTTATAGTATATTTTATTAATTAGTAATTAAAAAAATATATTGACCCCTGTAAAATGTAATCCTAGATCCACGCCTGTGTCCGTTCTTTCTCGTCTCATCCGTCTTGTCTGTCCCGTCCTATCCTATTATGTTCCTTTCTATTTTGTTATGCCCCATCATGTTCCTTCTGTTTCTTCTTGTTTCGTTTCCTAAATATAACTAAGACAAAATTCCCGTATAGTCCCATATTGTCCCATTTCATTCTTTCTCATCTTGTCCCATTCTTTCTCCGTCCCGTTCCATCCTGTTCGCCCTATCGAGTTCCATCCTATCATGTTATTTTTTTTTTTCATTTTGTCTTGTCTGTGTCCAATCCCTAAATATAGTTAAGGGTGGGTGAAATTTATGTCTTGTCCCATTATATCCCTTTCATCCCGTCCCGTCCAATCCCGTCGCATTCCATTTTTTTCATCTCGTCATGTCTAATTTGTCTATCTCGTCTTGTCCAGTCTTATCTCATTTCTCTCGTTATGTTTTTTTCGTCTCATCATGTCCGGTTTCGTCTCATTTCATCCCAAAATATTTAAAAAAATCAATGTTCTGTATATAATATCTTGACGTCGATGTAAATTATATAATCTAACAAAAATAAATTTACTAAATAATAGTTTTTGTAGATCTATACATAGTCTTTCTCCTTTTTTAAAAATGACTTTTTATATTCTTGTTAAACTTATTATAATAATGAATGCTAATTATTATGAAATTAAAATATTAAAAAGTAAAAAATATAAAAAATTAAATAAAATACTGACGTGGCAAATTAGAGAATTTATAAGAAACTAAAAAAGAGGAATATGAACTTTATATATATAGATTTTAATTACCAGTCCAAGGCATTCTTTAATTATATACATCTTAAAGCAACAAAATTTAGCTCTCATAAAAAAGAAGTAGCAATGCAGAAATGAGAGCACGCACGTGTCAGCGGAGAGGACACTGAGATTATAAGATCGTTGAAGCGCCAACAAATTATTCCAAATGGTTCACATTCTCATTGCGTGAATCCTACGCTACACATTCTCAATTGGTTTCCAAAATCAAATCTTTGCATAATTTCAAACATGAATGATCCTAGAGTGAAACTTTTCGTCGTCACTGAATTTGATGAGTTACACGAAGATCAAACTACAGGTCATCAAATAATCTTGTTTTCCACCCTTGGATCAGATTTAGGGTAAATTGTAACTTTTATTTTGGAAGGTGAAACAGAAGTGCTAACTCTTACTGTTGGACGTGCGAAACAGAAATTGTAACTTCACAGCCTTTATTTGTAACTTTTACGACCTTGACCAGGTGGTTTAGCTTCCTAAATCGAGGTTGATATTATAGTCGATTTAAGTGGTATAAGGTTTTTTTTCTTTTCAAGTTTGTGATCATAAAGAAACCAAACTGAAGTTAAACTAACAATAAATTATCGAGTCAAAAGGAAATAATAACTTTCACATCTTCGGTTTCAAAACTTAGGGCAAGAACACACTATAGTTACGAGTTCTCAAAAAAACACACTATAGTTACGTCAGTCAAAAACTCAACTCAATGTTTTTTTTTTTTTGTTAAAAGGCCTTCATAAAACTCAACTCAATGTTAGAATGTTAGAAATTTGAAGACATTAAACCATAACATGAGTTACATTTTGATATTGTATCTTTGACAAATAATCTCGTTTCATGATCCTATAAATTCTATGTTTCTTCCTACATCAAAAAATATCCAAGCATCTAAAGTCTAAAACCAAAACAAACAAAAAAAGAAAGAAACGAAAGGAATTAACAAGAAAAATGGGAAGCAAAGCTGTTGCCTCAGTCTACTTAATTGTTTCCCTTTGTGCTGCCATTTTTGTCACTCAAGGAGTAGCTCAAACGCAAACGCCACCAACAGTTCCAGGACTTTTTCCACCTGGCTTAGTCGTTGACCTCGTAAAATGTTGGTCGTCTCTCTTCAGCGTTGAAGGATGTGTGCTCGAAATCTCAAAATCCATTTTCTCTGGAAAGTTTGAAAACGTTGAAGCCGCATGTTGCAAGGTGTTTAAATCATTAGATACAAACTGTTGGCCACAAATGTTTCCGCTGAACCCTTTCTTCCCTCCTCTCCTCAAGGACAACTGCGCACGCATTGTTCCCAACTCCCCAGCACACAATTGAAAGGAAGCATGATTGTTTGATATACACATTTAGACTAATAACTTTAGTTAGCTTCAATGTCTACTAAGTTTTTTCTTTCTTTTGAACAATATGTCTACTAAGTTTTAATGTTAACTTTTGTTGGCGAAGGGAAATGTGAACTTGTCCATATCTTTGGAGAGCTCTATGAAAATGTTCTCTCAATAAAAGTAACCTTTTTAGCAATATTCCTTCAAAAAAAATCTTACTTATATAACTCTTAATGTTATGTGCCTTGGTCACAAATAAATTAGTAGAGAAATAATACTGTATATACTTTTTAATATATACTTATATAGAGAAATAAATATGTTATCTATCTTTAAGTTGTCTCAAGTCTCAACACCCTTAAATCTTATATTCAAATCTAATTACCAGCCCAAGGCATTCTTTAACTCTCAGAATTAGATACATGTTATAACAACAAAATTTAGCTCTCATTGCGTGAATCCTACGCTTCACAATACTCAATTGGTTCAAAAATCAAGTCTTCTCTCTCAGTTTGGTTTGCGAATTTCTCTCAGTGAATGATCCTAGAGTGAAACTTTTCGTAGAAGGATGGAGACTTTCTCCATCGCAAGGATTTATCACCACCATTCACAAACTAAGTCAATTAACATCATCGTCGTCACTGAATTTGATGTGATACACGAAGATCAAACCACAGGTCATCGAACATTAACCGGCCGGTTCAATCTGGTTTCTCCAGAACTTCTCACCATTATCACTCTCCACAATCAATTCAATACTTCGCCTTGGTTTTGAATAAAATCGAATTAAACAAGTTTGTGATCATAAAGAAACCAAATTAAAGTTGAACTAAAAAATATCATCAAATCAGAAGAAAACTGATCAGTAACTTTTATATCTTCTGTTTCAAAACTTAGACAAGAACACACTACAGTTACATCAGTCAACTAAACTTAGAAAATTTAAGACATAAAACATTAAACGTGAGTTACATTTTGAGCACAAAAAACTAAAACTGATATGTTACTCTTCGCTTCATCAAATAATCTTGTTTCCTCGTCCTATAAATTCTATGTTTCTTCCTATATCCAAAACAATCCAAGCATCTAAACCAAAACAAACAAAAAAGAAAGAAAAGAAAGAAACGAAAGGAATTAACTAGAAAGATGGGAAGCAAAGTTGTTGTCTCAATCTACTTAACTATTTCCCTTTGCGCTGCCGTTTTCGTCATTCAAGGAGTAGCTCAAACGCAAACGCCACCGACCATTCCAGGACTTATCCCACCTGGCTTAGTACCCGTTGATCTTGTAAAGTGTTGGTCGTCTCTCTTCAGTGTTGAAGGATGTGTGCTCGAAATCTCAAAATCCATTTTCTCTGGAAAATTTGAAAACGTCGAAGCCGCATGTTGCAAGGTGTTTACATCCTTAGATGCAAACTGTTGGCCACAAATGTTCCCGTTGAATCCTTTCTTCCCTCCTCTCCTCAAGGAAAATTGCGCACGCATTGTTCCCAACTCCGCCGCACACAATTGAAAGGAAGAATCATCGTTGATCTACGTTTTGTAACAGGTAGTTATTAGCTTCAAAGTTTAATAAGTTCTAGGAAATGTTAATTTCGTTGGAAAAAATGTGAACCTAGAGCCGATATCTGTGGAGAGCTCTATGAAAATGTTTCCTCAATAAAGTAACTTCTTTTAGCAATATTCATGCCAATTGTTCCATATTTATAACTATCCGTACATTATTTATAACTGTTAGATCTGAGATAGCACTCGTTAAAACGGGTTACCAAATATGTGAGTTTAGGAAACTGAAAGCTTGATTTAATTCGAAGAATATCAGGAATGTTACAAAAGGTGTTATCTCGCCGACAAGCTTGGCGAGATGAACTATGATGAACAAGAGGAAAAACTGAGATGAAAGTAAGGAGGTGCAAAGCCTAGTAATTCTAGATGATTTCAGATGCCTTTTCACGAATGGGGGGTCTTCAATATATAGGGTTGATAGGTCGGCTCCTTGGTGAATATTCTTCTACCGGCGAGATAGAAAACTTCCTCTTTTGCGATATGGAAAATTTCATCTTACTCTTGATTTCCTTCCATTCTTCGAGTCGGCAAGAGAGTTTGTTTACATTCTCTCACGAATCGTGCCTTCTTCCTCAAGTCTTGCCATTTTGTTGAGGAGGTTAGGACCAAAGTTAGATTGGGCTTTTATGGTTTTACTAATGGTGACGGGCTCAGGAAAATGTGCTAATTTCTCCTCTAACAATAACCTCAGCATAGCAATCATTTATAACCTCAGCATTGCAATCAATATCCTCAATAACCAAAATCGAACGATTCGTGGTTGATAACAAAACCCTCTTCAGTTGACCATTGTCATAGACACTACTAAGCTCAAGATCAAACACATCGAATTTAAGGTAATTAGCTATTGCAGCTATCAAGATAGATTTACGAGTTCCCGGAGGCCCATAACAACAAGTAACCTCGTTTCCAAGCTTTACCAACTCTCTTGTAAAACTCTCTCCTCTTAAGAAACCTCTTGTGATCGATCTTCTTCTTCGCATCTGGATCCATCGCCAGTTAATCAAACGTCGACGTTATGTACACTGTCAACGTAGCACGCACTATTAAAAAGGATTTGAAATTATTTAATGAAAGATTACATCATCAAATTATTATGTTTATTAATCAGTTCGATACATTCATTTGCAGGACCAGTTGGGAGTTATTTCCACCCAAAATTCAGTTTACAATCTTGCCAGATGCATTTGCTATTTGGAGATTCTTTTTTTAAAGATATTTTGAGATTTTCAGTCCGATGATGAGTCACCAGCATCTATCCGCCTCGTACTCAGTCTTGTGGTGTCTCATCACCGGCTTTTACACCACTTTGATGTTAGCGATGCATTTGTGCATGCATGGTCCTCTCTTTGAATATCACGTTCGAAATCCAATGGTAGAATGCATGCACTGCATGGGCTTCTAAGTCAACCTTAGTAGGATACTTTTAAAATGGTTACTGACTGAATCCCAACTTATCACATATAGCCATAAGGCATTCTCCCAAAACCCATTACACATTTCGTCATTGTTCGTATCATTGGCGTCAAGCCCTGCGTAAGTACGAGCCCAAATATCATATACTCACGAATGATTTAACCCAAAAAAAACAAGATAGAGTAATGATATCCGCACAAATATGAATAAATATATAAACGTATAATTTTAAAAAAAAAATGGAAAGAAAGAAACAAAATTTATTGATTGTTTAACTGATATATGAAGAGTTATATCTTCCACAACAGAGTGGTAGTTTTGAGATAGAGTTGTCATGTTGGTATAGACCAGAGACCAGTTATTTTCAAACTTGAAATTATTTAAATCATTCCACTATAATCGCATAGGTATAGGTCATTGCTTTCAATCATTTTCATAAGTCCAAAATTTACTTTTAGCTTGGCTGTAAGCATGTAAAGAAATAAAATAATTCCCTTCATTCCCTAAAAATTACACCATTCTCATGAAATGTGTATTTTATATTATTCCTTATTATTCTATATTAATTAAGGAATTTTAATGTTAAAATATTCCTTATAAAATATGAGGAGGAATGAGTTCAATATATTTTGTTCCTCCTTATTTCATTCATTTTCATTCTTTTAGTTTCTTTACATGTCACAGCATTTGAGTTTACAAAAAAAACTATATATATATATTCCACGTTTTTTTTTCAATTTATGAGATCATCTAACTAGAAAGTAGGAACATTGTGGCATGAAGACATTTGGATGTTAGTGTATATAAAAATAAAAAAATAAAAAGTAACAAGGGACAATTATGGAGTCTCAAACTCGCAATGGATGAATCTTATATATAATTAGGGAGTTGCTCTCTCCATATAGAGTGTCCACATCATCACAAAAACATTAAATTGTATTTAAAATATTTATTAAATATATGACTATTCATATTTCTTTACATTTATTCATATTTAATAAAAATATAGAAATTAATGTAATAATTTGATGTTAAAAGTTATCAAAAAGTTGGAATATAAAATAGAGATGGAGTAAAGAAATATTTAACTTCAAATAGTATATATTTACCTTTTTATTCAAAGGATTTATCCTATTTAAAAATGTTATAATGTGTTTACAAGTTAAAAAGTTGAATATAAATTAATTAAGATAATAGAAAGCTAATGAAAAATTAGAGTTAGAGTTTGTTTTTCTAAACAAATAGAAATGGAGTTTTATATGTAAATTTAATTGTAGTGAAAAACAAGAATATGTTTACAAATTTTAACCTTCAGTCAAATGCATATACATATTTATAAATTTTAACCTTCAATCAAATACATATACATGTTTACAGTCTAATAGAAGTAAAAAAAAAGTAAACAAACATAATATTTATAACATGATAAAATTTTAAAATAGAAAACTCGAGATAAACTCGAGATAAACGGGGTTTAATATCCTAATAAATTAAAATAAAAAATCAAATTATTCATATTTTTTAGTGTTAGTGGTTGAGTTAACTCAAAACATAACAAAAACATGAAAGTTTACACAAAACCATCATAATTCAAATGAACGAGTATAAATAAAATTAAACCGAAAAACTATCGCAAACAACCCCGCGCTTGCGCGGGGCTTCAAACCTAGTTTAAATCAATAAGATAACTGTGGCTAGAAAACATTGGATTTTTTCTTCTTTTGAAAAAATAAGTTTGTAGATTTGAGTTTTAAAGGCATCTCCAATGTATTTCTCCATATTTTACTCCAAAATGAAGAAATTTCAAAATGGGATTGGGTTTTGCTCCAATATATTGCTTCATTTTTTACCTCAAAAATAATATTCTTTTTGAAAAACTTTTTATTAATTACTAAATTTACATTGTATATTTATACCTATTACAAATGGCCCCATAATTTTTTTTCTTTAAAACTTTCACAATTTATTATAATTATTTAACAAGAACTCTCACAATCAACAACAAGATCAACAAGAACTCTTATTTTAGTGATATTGGTGGATCCGGAAATGGATTAGGAGATTATTAAATTAAAAAAATCATTAATAAGTTGTTTTAATAAATTTCTTTTTGATTTTATTTCTAATAAAAGTTTTTTTTTTTAAAAAAATCATTATTAGCTTAAATAATTAAATTTCTTATTAGATATGTGTTATTTGTATTTCAGAGTAAAAATAAATATCAAAATAATTAATTATATATCTTAAACTGAACTAATGTAAAACTATAAATTAAAAACTTCAACTCCAAAATAGAGATTCAATCTCATTTTAGGAAAACATATGGCATTTTGCCATTTTAAGATTGAAAATGTGTTAGGTTGTAAATTGGATTACTCCACTTGTGCTTTGACTGGTAATTAACCAAAATGAATAAATTAACTATGAATTACTCCTTATGTTCCTTAAAGATGAAATGTTAAAATATAAAAGTAACTTTTCGGATGACTATCCATCCTTTCATCCTAAAAGGACTAGCCGGTGTAAGTCCCCATCATCCATCATCCATCATCCATCATATGAGAAGCAACCATTTTCTATTTAAAAGAAAATATTTTATATCCTCTGTTGACATTGGATCAGTATATGTACTATTTCACTTCTGTTACTTTCAGAGACGGTCCTAAAAGAGCCAAATGAGGCGTAGACATGTGACTGATCGTACTTTTTTAGAGTTAATATACATTACTTTTGACCCCAAGTAATAATAAAAAATGATTGTTGGCCTCCAAATTTCTTAGAACTCTATTGAATTGTTTTTGCTCCTTAAATCTCGAAAGAGGCCCTGATTACTTCAAGAGCGGATTCAATTGCTTAATTCATTGGGCTGGGAAGGGAAGAGTGGAACAAGCTAACCCCTTCCTGGTTATCGATAAAAAAAAATTAAAATGTTGGAAAGTAAAAACTTAAACATTCTTTCCTCTAGTCTTTCTAGTAATCGCTCTAACTCACTGGCACGTCATGAGCATCAGCACCTGTGACCCACTTCTATTTAATTTGTCCACCGTGATGAGACTATTGTCGTGGTTCTCCTCGAGAAGTCATAGTACATGTTAGATCATTTTCTGAATTATTGGTATTTGGAAGTTAACAAAAGCGTCAAGAAAACACGACAATTTTTTTTTTTTTTTGTGGGCAGCAAAAACACCACAAATTTTGCGTACAAGTAGTCACCATAACTGTCTCAACAACATGGACACAGTAACATGTAAATGCTATCTCAGATGAAAATTAAAGTATAAAGTATAAACAGTTAGCAAACTTTAACGTCATTAAAAGAAATTTCAAAACAATACTAACAATATTTCAAAGTAATGAAATAGTTAGATAACTTTGTTATGTCTAGGCAGGCCTGTGTATTTTACCCAAACTCGAAGACCCGAATAAACCAATTGGATCGGGTTTGGGTATATGTATCTAGACATGTGGGTGCCGCGTAATACCTGGAACCGTCTGGAGACCCAAACATATATCCAAAATATCCAAAATATAAGTATATTAGTTCATTTTGGGTCAGTCAGGTATTTTTTGAAGTTTTTCTGGTTTTTTTGGTATATTTTGAGTTTTTGGATATATTTTTGTGATTTGGGGTATTGTTTGGATAATTTTTTGGATTATTTGGGTTTTTGGATGATAAATACCTGAAAATCAAAAATATTAAAGCGTTTATCGATTGTCAATATATAATAAGAATCGAATCGACCCGGACCCGAAAAGATCCAACCTGGTCTCCGAACCACAACTCTATTGGTTCTTATATGGGTATAAAAAATTTCTATCCAAAAGATCCAGAACAGAAAGGAATCAACCCGGAATGCCCAAGCCTAGATATATCATGAGAAAGTTGTGTGCAAATCGAATTGTCACTTTCAGCCATGTGAAAGAAAACATAAACTTTAAAATTTAACCTTAAACATGGCTGAAACTATACTCTGATTATTTTAGGTCTATACCCTTTTCCAAATCTCTTAAAATATTCTGTCCAATAAACCTCTTATTATTATGTTTTTAGGTTTATATGTAGTAATAATAAACCTTTTTACTTATTTACAACTTTTGAAACCTTAAGGACTTTAAAACCTTTAAAAAAGGTACTCTCTAAATGAGAATTCAATGTATTTGAATGTATTAAACTCAAAATAACACTTATTATTATCCAGATACATCCAATTATTGTTTAGATACATTTTCTCTAAATGACACTTATTATAAAACGGTAGGAGTAAAAAAATTACTATGTATACTTAGGTGATGATTGGTTCTCCAGCTAGCGTTTGCGGTTCGTAGCGATTTTTAGCGTTTTATAACAATTACGACAACCGCTTTGAACCGCTCTATACCACTATGTACTGCTCTATATCGCTGAAAATCAAAAGCTCATTTCCGCAAGTCTTTGCGGTTGCGGGCGGTTGAGGAATAAAAAAAAATCATGATATCTCCAAATTTGGAATAAGGGAATATTTTTTTGAAAAATACCCTACTTATGTTTAAAATTTGGAAAATACCATAGATTTTTTTCTGTTTTGAA